AGGCACATCGGCGGCCATCTTGGGGCCATTTTGAACCCATTTTTCTCCATTTTGGGACACACTTGGTGACACATTTGGGGACACTTTTAGGACACTTTGAGGCACATTTTGGGCACAATTTGGGGCCATTTTGGGGAACATTTTGGGACCATTTTGGGGAACATTTTGTACCATTTTGGGAACATTGGCGGCCATTTTGTGGGAGCCATGGGGCCACTTTAGGACACACTTGGTGACACATTTGGGGCCATTTTGGGACCTTTTTGGGACACACTTGGTGACACATTTGGGGACACTTTTAGGACATTTTGAGGACACATTTGCGGCCACTTTTAGGACATTTTGGGCCCATTTTGGGGCAGATTTGGGCACACTGGTGGCCATTTTGAGGCACATCGGCGGCCATTTTGGGGCCATTTTGAACCCATTTTTCTCCTTTTTGGGACACACTTGGTGACACATTTGGGGACACTTTTAGGACATTTTGAGGACACATTTGGGTCCACTTTTAGGACATTTTGAGGCACATTTGTGGCACAATTTGGGGCCATTTTGGGACCATTTTGGGGAACATTTTGTGCCATTTTGGGAACATTGGCGGCCATTTTTTGGGAGCCATTTTGGGACCCTTTTGGGACACACTTGGTGACACATTTGGGGCCATTTTGGGGACACTTTTAGGACATTTTGAGGCACATTTGTAGCACAATTTGGGGCTATTTTGGGGAACATTTTGGGACCATTTTGGGGAACATTTTGTGCCATTTTGGGAACATTGGTGGCCATTTTGTGGGAGCCATTTTGGGACCCTTTTGGGACACACTTGGTGACACATTTGGGGACACTTTTAGGACACATTTGCAGCCACTTTTAGGACATTTTGGGCCCATTTTGGGGCAGATTTGGGCACACTGGTGGCCATTTTGAGGCACATCGGCGGCCATCTTGGGGCCATTTTGGACCCATTTTTCTCCATTTTGGGACACACTTGGTGACACATTTGGGGCCATTTTGGGGACACTTTTAGGACATTTTGAGGACACATTTGCGGCCACTTTTAGGACATTTTGGGCCCATTTTGGGGCAGATTTGGGCACACTGGTGGCCATTTTGAGGCACATCGGCGGCCATCTTGGGGCCATTTTGAACCCATTTTTCTCCATTTTGGGACACATTTGGTGACACATTTGGGGCCATTTTGGGGACACTTTTAGGACATTTTGAGGCACATTTGTGGCACAATTTGGGGCCATTTTGGGGAATATTTTGGGACCATTTTGGGGAACATTTGGTGCCATTTTGGGAACATTGGCGGCCATTTTGTGGGAGCCATGGGGCCACTTTAGGACACACTTGGTGACACATTTGGGGCCATTTTGGGACCTTTTTGGGACACACTTGGTGACACATTTGGGGACACTTTTAGGACATTTTGAGGACACATTTGCGGCCACTTTTAGGGCATTTTGGGCCCATTTTGGGGCAGATTTGGGCACACTGGTGGCCATTTTGAGGCACATCGGTGGCCATCTTGGACCCATTTTTCTCCATTTTGGGACACACTTGGTGACACATTTGGGGCCATTTTGGGTCACTTTTAGGACATTTTGGGGACATATTTGGGGCCACTTTTAGGACATTTTGAGGCACATTTGTGGCACAATTTGGGGCCATTTTGCGACAATTTTGGGGAACATTTTGTGCCATTTTGGGAACATTGGTGGCCATTTTGTGGGAGCCATGGGGCCACTTTAGGACACACTTGGTGACATATTTGGGGCCATTTTGGGACCTTTTTGGGACACACTTGGTGACACATTTGGGGACACTTTTAGGACATTTTGAAGACACTTTTAGGACATTTTGGGCCCATTTTGGGGCAGATTTGGGCACACTGGTGGCCATTTTGAGGCACATTTGCGGCCATCTTGGGGCCATTTTGAACCCATTTTTCTCCATTTTGGGACACACTTGGTGACACATTTGGGGCCATTTTGGGGACACTTTTAGGACATTTTGAGGACACATTTGCGGCCACTTTTAGGACATTTTGGGCCCATGTTGGGGCAGATTTGGGCACACTGGTGGCCTTTTTGAGGCACATTGGCGGCCATCTTGGAGCCATTTTGAACCCATTTTTCTCCATTTTGGGACACACTTGGTGACACATTTGGGGCCATTTTGGGGACACTTTTAGGACATTTTGAGGACACATTTGGGGCCACTTTTAGGACATTTTGGGCCCATTTTGGGGCAGATTTGGGCACACTGGTGGCCATTTTGACCACATAGGCGGCCATCTTGGGGCCATTTTGGACCCATTTTTCTCCATTTTGGGGCCATTTGGTGACACATTTGGGGCCATTTTGGGGACACTTTTAGGACATTTTGAGGACACATTTGCAGCCACTTTTAGGACATTTTGGGCCCATTTTGGAGCAGATTTGGGCACACTGGTGGCCATTTTGAGGCACATCGGCGGCCATCTTGGGGCCATTTTGAACCCATTTTTCTCCATTTTGGGACACACTTGGTGACACATTTGGTGACACATTTGGGGACACTTTTAGGACATTTTGAGGCACATTTGTGGCACAATTTGGGGCCATTTTGGGGAACATTTTGTGCCATTTTGGGAACATTGGTGGCCATTTTGTGGGAGCCATTTTGGGACCCTTTTGGGACACACTTGGTGACACATTTGGGGACACTTTTAGGACATTTTGAGGACACATTTGCGGCCACTTTTAGGACATTTTGGGCCCATTTTGGGGCAGATTTGGGCACACTGGTGGCCTTTTTGAGGCACATCGGCGGCCATCTTGGGGCCATTTTGGACCCATTTTTCTCCATTTTGGGACACACTTGGTGACACATTTGGGGCCACTTTTAGGACATTTTGAGGCACATTCGTGGCACAATTTGGGGCCATTTTGGGGAACATTTTGGGACCATTTTAGGGAACATTTTGTGCCATTTTGGGAACATTGGTGGCCATTTTGTGGGAGCCATGGGGCCACTTTAGGACACACTTGGTGACATATTTGGGGCCATTTTGGGACCTTTTTGGGACACACTTGGTGACACATTTGGGGCCATTTTGGGGACACTTTTTGGGACACACTTGGTGACACATTTGGGGACACTTTTAGGACATTTTGAGGACACATTTGCGGCCATTTTAGGACATTTTGGGCCCATTTGGGGGCAGATTTGAGCACACTGGTGGCCTTTTTGAGGCACATTGGCGGCCATCTTGGGCCCATTTTGGACCCATTTTTCTCCATTTTGGGGCCCTTTGGTGACACATTTGGGGCCATTTTGGGGACACTTTTAGGACATTTTGAGGACACATTTGTGGCCACTTTTAGGACATTTTGGGGCAGATTTGGGCACACTGGCGGCCATTTTGAGGCACATCGGCGGCCATCTTGGGGCCATTTTGAACCCATTTTTCTCCATTTTGGGACACACTTGGTGACACATTTGGGGACACTTTTAGGACATTTTGAGGACACATTTGCGGCCACTTTTAGGAAATTTTGGGCCCATTTTGGGGCAGATTTGGGCACACTGGTGGCCATTTTGAGGCACATTGGCGGCCATCTTGGGGCCATTTTGGACCCAGTTTTTGGGAGCCATTTTGGGACCCTTTTGGGACACACTTGGTGACACATTTGGGGACACTTTTAGGACATTTTGAGGACACATTTGCGGCCACTTTTAGGACATTTTGGGCCCATGTTGGGGCAGATTTGGGCGCACTGGTGGCCATTTTGAGGCACATCGGCGGCCATCTTGGGGCCATTTTGAACCCATTTTTCTCCATTTTGGGACACACTTGGTGACACATTTGGGGCCATTTTGGGGACACTTTTAAGACATTTTGAGGCACATTTGTGGCACAATTTGGGGCCATTTTGGGGAACATTTTGGGACCATTTTGGGGAACATTTTGTGCCATTTTGGGAACATTGGCGGCCATTTTTTGGGAGCCATTTTGGGACCCTTTTGGGGCACACTTGGTGACACATTTGGGGCCATTTTGGGACCTTTTTGGGACACACTTGGTGACACGTTTGGGGACACTTTTAGGACATTTTGAGGACACATTTGCGGCCACTTTTAGGACATTTTGGGCCCATTTTGGGGCAGATTTGGGCACATCGGCGGCCATCTTGGCGCCATTTTGGACCCATTTTTCTCCATTTTGGGGCCATTTGGTGACACAACGCCACTTCCACCACGCCCCCAAATGTCCCCAAATGTCCCCAACTGTCCCCGCAGCGCCGCCGCGGCTGCGCATCGTCCCCGATTTTGGGCCCATTTTGGGGCAGATTTGGGCACACTGGTGGCCATTTTGAGGCACATCGGCGGCCATCTTGGGGCCATTTTGAACCCATTTTTCTCCATTTTGGGACACACTTGGTGACACATTTGGGGACACTTTTAGGACAGTTTGAGGACACATTTGGGGACACTTTTAGGACATTTTGGGCCCATTTTGGGGCAGATTTGGGCACACTGGTGGCCTTTTTGAGGCACATCGGCGGCCATCTTGGGGCCATTTTGGACCCATTTTTCTCCATTTTGGGACACACTTGGTGACACATTTGGGGACACTTTTAGGACATTTTGAGGCACATTTGTGGCACAATTTGGGGCCATTTTGGGGAACATTTTGGGACCATTTTGGGGAACATTTTGTGCCATTTTGGGAACATTGGCGGCCATTTTGTGGGACCCTTTTGGGACACACTTGGTGACACATTTGGGGACACTTTTAGGACATTTTGGGGACACATTTGCAGCCACTTTTAGGACATTTTGGGGCAGATTTGGGCACACTGGTGGCCATTTTGAGGCACATCGGCGGCCATCTTGGGGCCATTTTGAACCCATTTTTCTCCATTTTGGGGCCATTTGGTGACACAAAGCCACTTCCACCACGTCCCCAAATGTCCCCAAATGTCCCCAAATGTCCCCAACTGTCCCCCCAGCGCCACCACGGCTGCGCATCGTCCCCGAGCGCTGGGGAACCGCGCTGGCCCTGACGTGTTACGCCTGGGCCTTCTCCCCTGCCGACATCACCCTGACGTGGCTCCGCAACGGCGTCGTCCCCGATGCCACCACCGGTGACATCATCGGTGACATCATCGGTGGCACCGTCGGGGACACTTCGAGACAATCGCGGGCGCTGCCGGTGGGGGACGGAACGTTCCGGGCGCAGGTGACGATCCAGGTGCCACCGGGGACATCTGGGGACACTTTCGAGTGCCTGGCGCTGCACCCCGGCCTGGAGGAGCCGCTCCGGGTCACGTGGGGTGAGGATTTTTGGGGAAATTTTGGGAAATTTTGGGACATTTTGGGAAATTTTGGGACATTTTGGGAAATTTTGGGACATTTTGGGAAATTTTGGGAAATTTTGGGACATTTTGGGGGATTTTGGGAAATTTTGGGAAATTTTGGGAAATTTTGGGACATTTTGGGAAATTTTGGGAAATTTTGGGATTTTGGGGGATTTTGGGAAATTTTGGGAAATTTTGGGACATTTTGGGACATTTTGGGACATTTTGGGAAATTTTGGGAAATTTTGGGAAATTGTGGGACATTTTGGGAAATTTTGGGAAATTTTGGGAAATTTTGGGAAATTTTGGGACATTTTGGGAAATTTTGGGAAATTTTGGGAAATTTTGGGACATTTTGGGAAATTTTGGGAAATTTTGCGAAATTTTGCGAAATTTTGGGAAATTTTGGGAAATTTTGGGACATTTTGGGAAATTTTGGGAAATTTTGGGACATTTTCGGAAATTTTAGTAAATTTTAGGAAATTTTGGGAAATTTTGGGACATTTTGGGACATTTTGGGACATTTTGGGAAATTTTGGGGAATTTTGGGACATTTTGGGAAATTTTGGGAAATTTTGGGAAATTTTGGGAAATTTTGGGACATTTTGGGACATTTTGGGAAATTTTGGGACATTTTGGGAAATTTTGGGAAATTTTCGGAAATTTTGGGACATTTTGGGACATTTTGGGAAATTTTGGGAAATTTTGGGACATTTTGGGACATTTTGGGAATTTTGGGGGATTTTTGGGAATTTTTGGGAATTTTTGGGAAATTTTGGGACATTTTGGGAAATTTTGGGACATTTTGGGACATTTTGGCAAATTTTGGCAAATTTTGGGAAATTTTGGGACATTTTGGGAAATTTTGGGAAATTTTCGGAAATTTTGGGACATTTTCGGAAATTTTGGGACATTTTGGGACATTTTGGGAAATTTTGGGAAATTTTGGGAAATTTTGGGAAATTTTGGGACATTTTGGGACATTTTGGGAAATTTTGGGAAATTTTGGGAAATTTTGGGAAATTTTGGGACATTTTGGGACATTTTGGGAAATTTTGGGACATTTTGGGAAATTTTGGGACATTTTGGGACATTTTGGGAAATTTTGGGACATTTTGGGACATTTTGGGACATTTTGGGAAATTTTGGGAAATTTTGGGAAATTTTGGGATTTTGGGGGATTTTTGGGAATTTTTGGGAATTTTTTTGGGATTTTTCATAATTTTTTGGGGCTTTTTTTTAGTTGATTTTGATTTTTTTAAAAATTTTGACGGCGTTTTTTACAATTTTTTTTTTACTTCTTTTACAATTTTTGGGAGGATTTTTAGGATTTTTTAGTTTGGGGATTTGGGGGTTTTTAGGAATTTTGGGAGGTTTTTTTGGATTGGATTTTAGGAATTTTGGGTGGAATAATTGGAGTTTTGGGTGGAATAATGTGAATTTTGGGTGGAATAATTGGAATTTGGGGTGGAATAATTGGAATTTTGGGTGGAATAATTGGAATTTTGGGTGGAATAATTGGGATTTTGGGTGGAATAATTGGAATTTTGGGTGGAATAATTGGAATTTCGGGTGGAATAATTGGAATTTTGGCTGGAATAATTGGAATTTCGGGTGGAATAATTGGAATTTTGGCTGGAATAATTGGAATTTTGGGCGGAATAATTGGAATTTTGGGTGGAATAATTGGAATTTCGGGTGGAATAATTGGAATTTCGGGTGGAATAATTGGAATTTTGGGTGGAATCATTGGAATTTTGGGTGGAATAATTGGAATTTTGGGTGGAATAATTGGAATTTTGGGTGGAATAATTGGAATTTTGGGTGGAATAATTGGAATTTTGGCTGGAATAATTGGAATTTTGGGTGGAATAATTGGAATTTTGGGTGGAATAATTGGAATTTTGGGTGGAATAATTGGAATTTTGGCTGGAATAATTGGGATTTTGGGTGGAATAATTGGAATTTTGGGTGGAATAATTGGAATTTTGGGTGGATTAATTTGAATTTTGGGTGGAATAATTGGAATTTTGGCTGGAATAATTGGAATTTTGGGTGGAATAATTGGAATTTCGGGCAGACAAATTAGAATTTCACGTGGATTTATGCAAATTTCGGGTTGTTTTATGCGAATTTCACGGTGATAAATTTGAATTTTGGGTGGAATAATTGGAATTTTGGGTGGACAAATTAGAATTTCACGTGGATTTATGGGAATTTCGGGTTGTTTTACGCGAATTTCACGGTGATAAATTTGAATTTTGGGTGGAATAATTGGAATTTTGTGTGGAATAATTTGAATTTTGGACGGACAAATTAGAATTTCACGTGGATTTATGGGAATTTCGGGTTGTTTTATGAGAATTTCACGGTGATAAATTTGAATTTTGGGTGGATTAATTTGAATTTCAGGCGGACAAATTAGAATTTCACGTGGATTTATGGGAATTTCGGGTTGTTTTATGTGAATTTCGCGGTGATAAATTCGAATTTTGGGTGGAATAATGGGAATTTTCTCCGTGTCCCAGCTCCGGGCCCGTCGCGGCGTCTCTCGCTCTTGGTGGCGTTTTCGGTTCTGTCGCTGCTCCTGGGGCTGCTCCTGCTCCTCCTCGGCCTCCGACGCTTCCTGCGCCCAGGTGCCACCTCCGCGTCCTTCTTTGTCACTTCTGGGCACTTTTTGTCACTTCTGGGCACTTTTTGTCACTTCTGGTCACTTTTTGTCGCTTTTTGTCGCTTTGGGTCACTTTTTGGGCACTTTTTGTCACTTTTTGTCGCTTTTTGTCGCTTTTTTGGTCACTTTTTTGTCATTTTTTGGCACTGTAATGTCACTTTTATGCTGATTTTTATCACTTTTTTTTTTTGCTTTTTGTCACTTTTTGTTGCCTTTTGTCACTTTTGTGCTGATTTCTGTCGGGTTTTGTCACTTTTTGTCGCTTTTTGTCACTTTTTGTCACTTTTTGTTGCTTTTTGTCACTTTTTGTCACTTTTTGTCGCTTTTGGTCATTTTTTATTGCTTTTTTGGTCATTTTTTTGTCGCTTTTTTGGTCACTTTTTTGTCATTTTTCGGCACTTTAATGTCACTTTTAAGCTGATTTTTATCGCTTTTTGTCACTTTTTGTCCCTTTTTGTCGCCTTTTGTCACTTTTTGGCACTTTTTTGTCACTTTTTGTCGCTTTGTGTTGCTTTTTGTAACTTTTTCTTGCTTTTTGTCACTTTTTGTTGCTTTTTGTCACTTTTTGTCCCTTTTTGTCACTTTTTTGATTCTTTTGCTCACTTTTTGTCATTTTTTGTCGCTTTTTGTCACTTTGTGTCGCTTTGTGTTGCTTTTTGTCACTTTTTGTTGCTTTTTTTTTCACTTTTGTCATTTTTTGTCACTTTTTTGTCACTTTTTCTTACTTTGTGTCGCTTTTTGTCACTTTTTGTAACTTTTTGTCACTTTTTGTTGCTTTTTGTCACTTTTCGTCCCTTTTTTGTCATTTTTTAGATTCTTTTTGTTGCTTTTTGTCACTTTTGTCACTTTTTTGTCACTTTTGGTCACTTTTTTGTCGCTTTTTTGGTCATTTTTTGTTGCTTTTTTGGTCACTTTTTTCTCATTTTTCGGCACTTTAATGTCACTTTTATGCTGATTTTTATCACTTTTTGTCGCTTTTTGTCGCTTTTTGTCACTTTGTGCTGATTTCTGCCAGGCTTTGTCACTTTTTGTGGCTTTTTGTCACTTTTTGTCAATTTTTGTCACTTTTTGTCGCTTTTTGTCACTTTTTGTCGCTTTTTGTCACTTTTTTGTTGCTTTTTTTCACTTTTTGTCACCTTTTGTCACTTTTGTGCTGATTTCTGTCGGGTTTTGTCACTTTTTGTCACTTTTTTGTCACTTTTGCTCACTTTTTGTCACTTTTTGTCGCTTTTTGTCACTTTTTGTCGCTTTTTTGGTCATTTTTTGTTGCTTTTTTGGTCACTTTTTTGCCATTTTTCGTCACTTTAATGTCACTTTTATGCTGATTTTTATCACTTTTTGTCGCTTTTTTTTGCTTTTTGTCACTTTTTGTCGCTTTTTGTCGCTTTGTGTCGCTTTTTGTCACTTTTTGTAACTTTTTGTCACTTTTTGTCGCTTTTTGCCACTTTTTTGTTGCTTTTTGTCACTTTTCGTCCCTTTTTGTCATTTTTTTGATTATTTTTGTTGCTTTTTGTCACTTTTTGTCACTTTTTGTCGCTTTTTTGGTCATTTTTTGTCGCTTTTTTGGTCACTTTTTTGCCATTTTTCGTCACTTTAATGTCACTTTTATGCTGATTTTTATCACTTTTTGTCACTTTTTTTTGCTTTTTGTCACTTTTTGTCGCTTTTTGTCGCTTTTTGTCGCTTTTTTTTGCTTTTTGTCACTTTTTGTCACTTTTTGTCGCTTTGTGTCGCTTTTTGTCACTTTTTGTCACTTTTTGTCACTTTTTGTTGCTTTTTGTCACTTTTCGTCCCTTTTTGTAACTTTTTTGATTATTTTTGTTGCTTTTTGTCACTTTTGGTCATTTTTTGTCACTTTTGGTCACGTTTTGTCACTTTTGGTCGCTTTTTGTCGCTTTTGGTCACTTTTTGGTCACTTTTCGGCACTTTAATGTCACTTTTATGCTGATTTTTACCACTTTTTGTCACTTTTTTGTCGCTTTTTGTCACTTTTTGTCGCGTTTTGTCCCTTTTTGTCGCTTTGTGTCGCTTTTCGGCACTTTTTGTCACTTTTTTGATTCTTTTTGTTGCTTTTTGTCACTTTTGGTCCCTTTTTGTCACTTTTTGTCACTTTTTGTAGCTTTTGGTCACTTTTTGTCACTTTTGGTCATTTTTTGTTGCTTTTGGTCATTTTTTGTTGCTTTTTTGTCACTTTTTGTCACTTTTTTGTCGCTTTTTGTCACTTTTTTTTTGCTTTTTGTCACTTTTTGTCACTTTTTTGTTGCTTTTTGTCACTTTTTTGTTCCTTTGTGTCGCTTTTTGTCACTGTTGCTTTTTGTCGCTTTTTTTTTTGCTTTTTGTTGCTTTTTGTCACTTTTTGTCGCTTTTTGTTGCTTTGTGTCACTTTTTTGTCACTTTTGGTCGCTTTGTGTCGCTTTTTGTCGCTTTTTGTCACTTTTTGTCACTTTTTGTCCCTTTTTGTCCCTTTTTGTCGCCTTTTGTCACTTTTTGTCACTTTTGGTCGCTTTTTGTCACTTTTTGTCCCTTTTTGTCCCTTTTTGTCGCCTTTTGTCACTTTTTGTCACTTTTGGTCGCTTTTTGTCACTTTTTGTCCCTTTTTTTCGCTTTTTTTCGCTTTTTTCCACTTTTTTGGTCCTTTTTGCATCTTTTTGGCACTTTTATGTCATTTTTTGCTGATTTTTGTCGCTTTTTGTCAATTTTATGCCATTTTTATTCTGATTTTTTGGCTATTATGTCACTTTTTGGCACGTTTATGTCATGTTTATGCTGATTTCTGTCACTTTTATGCTGTTTTTTTTCACTTTTTGTCCCTTTTATGTCACTTTTTTTCTGCTTTTGCTGCTTTTTGTCACTTTTATGCTGTTTTTTGTCACTTTTGTCCCTTCTTGTCCTTTTTTGCCCACTTTTACCCCATTTTATCTCATTTTTCCCCATTTTCTCCCTGCAGGTTACTCCCCGCTCCCCGGTGCCACCCACGCAGGTGAGGAACCCCTTTTTTCATATTTTTTGTCCCTTTTTTATCATTTTCTATTACTTTTCGTAAATTTTTGCCCATTTCCCTCTCTTTTTGTCCCTTTTCTACCCCCTTTTTTTCTCCTTTTTTCCCACATTTCCCCCCCACTTTTTCATCAACGTTTGTCCCTTTTTATTGGTTTTTTAAATCTTTTTTTATCCCTTTTTTCTCCTTTTTTCTCCTTTTTTCTCCCTTTTTATTTTGTTTATCATTTTTGTCCATTTTTCCTCCATTTTTTAAACTTTTTCTCCCTTTCTGGTTTTTTCTCCCTTTTTCCTCATCGTTTCACTTTTTCTCCATTTCTGTTGCTTTTTTCTCCCTTTTTCACCTTTTTTTTTCACTTTTTCATCACTATTTATCCTTTTTTGTCCCTTTTTATTGCTTTTTTTCTCCTTTTTTCTCCCTTCTTTCGAATTTTTTCACCTTTTCTCTTTTCCTGTTGTTTTTTTCTCCCCTTTTTCTCCTTTTTTATCTCATTTTTGTCCATTTTTGTCCATTTTTACCCCATTTTCTCCCTGCAGGTTACTCCCCCCTCCCTGGTGACACCTACACAGGTGAGGGACCCCAATGTCACCTCGTGTCCCTTTTTTCCACTTTTTTTCCCCATTTTTTCACCTTTTTTCTCCCATTTTTTATATTTTCCCTTCCCAGGCAGCATCTGAGGATCTTCCCAGGATGATGACGGCGACGAGGCCCAAAAAACCCGAAAATCACCCCAAAAATCTGCCCCAAAACCCCCCCCAGAATCCCCAAATCTCCCTCTAAAATCCCCCAAATCCCACCCAAAAATCCACCCCAAAATCCCATTTAAAACCCAAAAAAAAATCCTCAAAAATCCCCCCTAAAAACGCCCCAAAAATTTTTAAAAATCCCCAAAATAATCCCCCAAAAGTCCGCCCAAAAATCCCCTCAAATTCCCATTAAAAATCGCCCACAAATTTCCCAAAAATACCAAAAAAATCCCCCTCAAATCCCATTAAAAATCTCCCAAAAAACCCCAAAAATCCCATAAAAATCCTCAAAAATCCCCCAAAAATTCGCCTCAAATCCCATTAAAAATCTCCCAAAAATACAAAAAAAAATCCCCCAAAATCCCTCTTAAATCCCATAAAAATCCCCCTCAAATCCCATAAAAATCCCCAAAATTTCTGCCCAAAAATCCCCCTCAAATCCCAAAAAAAAATCCCCAAAAATTCCCCTCAAATCCCATTAAAATCCCCCCAAAATCCCCAAAAATCCCCCTCAAATCCCATTAAAAATCTCCCAAAAATACAAAAAAAAAATCCCCTAAAAATCCCCAGAAAAATTCCCCAAAATTGCCCTGAAATCCCATAAAAATCCCCAAAAATCTGCCTCAAATCCCATTAAAAATATCCAAAAATACAAAAAAAAATCCCCCAAATTTCCGCTCAAATCCCATTAAAAATCTCCAAAAATACAAAAAAAAAAATCCCCAAATTTCCCCTCAAATCCCATTAAAAATCCCCCAAAAATACCCAAAAAAACCCCAAATTTCCCCTTAAAATCCCATTAAAAATCCCACAAAAATACAAAAAAAATCCCCCAAATTTCCCCTCAAATCCCAATAAAAATCCCACAAAAATACAAAAAAAAAAAATCCCCCAAATTTCCCCTCAAATCCCAATAAAAATCCCCAAAAATACAAAAAAAAAATCCCCCAAATTTCCCCTCAAATCCCAATAAAAATCCCACAAAAATATAAAAAAAATCCCCCAAATTTCCCCTCAAATCCCATTAAAAATCCCCCCAAAATTCCCATAAATCCCCCTGAAATCCCATTAAAAATCTCCCAAAAATACAAAAAAAAAATCCCCTAAAAATCCCCAGAAAAATTCCCCAAAATTGCCCTGAAATCCCATAAAAATCCCCAAAAATCTGCCTCAAATCCCATTAAAAATCTCCGAAAATACAAAAAAAAATCCCCCAAAATCCCTCTTAAATCCCATAAAAATCCCAAATTTCCCCTCAAAATCCCAATAAAAATCCCCAAAAATACAAAAAAATCCCCCAAATTTCCCTTCAAATCCCAATAAAAATCCCCCAAAAATACAAAAAAAATCCCCCAAATTTCCCCTCAAATCCCAATAAAAATCCCACAAAAATCCCAAAATATCCCCCAAAATTTAATAATAATAAAATTATTACAATTAGAGTAATAAAAATTTACAATTAATTACGGATATTTGGATATAGGAAATACCCTAAAACAATAAACTGTTGAATATTCATATCTCCCTCATGTTTATGCAAATTTTTATTTAAATCAATCGACTATTGCATATTCATATCTCCCTCATGTTTATGCAAATATTTCATTTAAAACAATAGACTGTTGCATATTCATATCTCCCTCATGTTTATGCAAATATTTTATTTAAAACAATAAACTGTTGAATATTCATATCTCCCTCATGTTTATGCAAATATTTTATTTAAAACAAGAATTCTGTTTCCTTTAATCCCCAAATCCCCCTAAAAAAAACTTCCCTCACGTAAATAAATTTATTTTAAAATATAAATTTATTTTAAAACAATTTATTTTAAAATATAAAATCAATTTTAAACATCAATTCATTAAAAAAAAAAATTCATTTGAAAACATCAATTTATTTTAAAACATCAATTTATTTTAAAATATAAATTTATTTTAAAAAATAAATTTATTTTAAAACAATTTATTTTAAAATATAAAATCAATTTTAAACATCAATTCATTTTAAAAAATAAATTTATTTTAAAATATCCATTTATTTTGAAACATCAATTTATTTTAAAATATAAATTTATTTTAAAATAAAAATTTATTTTAAAACGATTTATTTTAAAATATAAAATCAATTTTAAATCATTTTAAAAAATAAATTCATTTTAAAACATCCATTTATTTTCAAACATCAATTTATTTTAAAATATAAATTTATTTTAAAAAATAAATTCATTTTATAACGATTTATTTTAAAAAATAAATTCATTTAAAAACATAAATTTATTTTAAAATATAAATTCATTTTAAAACATCCATTTAATTTAAAACATCAATTTATTTTAAAATATAAATTTATTTTAAAAAATAAATTCATTAAAAATTAATGTGTGAATTTCCTTTCATTTTGGGTGGATTAATTTGAATTTGGGTGGATTAATTTGAATTTTGGGTGGATTTATTTGAATTTCGGGTGGATTTATTTGAATTTTGGGTGGATTTATTTGAATTTGGGTGGATTAATTTGAATTTTGGGTGGATTAATTTGAATTTCAGGTGGATTAATTTGAATTTGGGTGGATTTATTTGAATTTCGGGTGGATTTATTTGAATTTGGGTGGATTAATTTGAATTTCTGTGTGAATTTCCTTTCATTTTGGGTGGATTAATTTGAATTTAGGTGGATTAATTTGAATTTCGGGTGGATTTATTTGAATTTGGGTGAATTTCCTTTAATTTTGGGTGGATTAATTTGAATTTTGGGTGGATTTATTTGAATTTAGGTGGATTAATTTGAATTTCTGTGTGAATTTTCTTTCATTTTGGGTGGATTTCTTTCAATTTCATGTGGATTTATTTGAATTTTGGGTGCATTTATTTATATATATATATATATAATAAAAATAATTATAATTTTAATTAATAATAATAATAATAATAAATATTTTGGTACATCCCAAGTATGAAACACCCAAAACTACAAATAAATATTCATATTTATTTGTATAATAATTAATACAATAATAATAATAAATATAATCATAACTATAATAAAAGAATCATTATAATATACAAATATAGTATAATGAATATATACAATATAATAAATGTATATAATAAATATATACATAATTTGAAAATAATTATAATTAATAATAATAATAATAAATATTTTGGTCCATCCCATTCCTCACTTCTCATGCTAATCATTTTGTATGCTAATCATTTCGTATGCTAATCATTTCATATGCTAATCATTTCATATGCTAATCATTTCATATGCTAATCATTTTATTTAATTAATTAATTTATATCCTTCATTATAAACCCAGCTAATTAAATATTGTGCTGACGAGCAACCGATTATTAATTAATTACTAACTCTTAACCTCATCAAGGCCTACTCAGTTATTTTAATTAACTCTAATTAAAACCTTCTAAAATCTCTAAAATTTAAATTTTCTATTTCCGGCCCCCCCCCCAATCAGAACCCGGAAGTGTCCCACCACCCCCCGCGGCCGGACTACAACTCCCAGCGTCCCCCGCGGCACCGCGCACAGTGGGCGTGGCCTCCGCCATTTTCTCGTCGCTCCCTCAGCGGGTCCGGCGGTTCTTAAAGGGGGCACGGCCCGCGGTGGGGCCCACCGGGCGCGGGATGGAGCGCGGAGCGGCGGAGAAGGTTCGGGAATGGCGGCGAGAGGGTGGAAAAGGCGGCGGGACCGTCGTGGAGCCGCGGGGATTCCGCGTTCCGCCCCTCTCCGTTCTCCGGTTGCTTCATCCGCTTTAAGGCGCGGTGGTGGGGATGGGGGGGGCGCCCCGGGGGAAGGGGCGTGGCTTAAAGGGGTGTGGCTTAAAGGGGCGTGGCCAAACGGGGTGTGGCCAATGGGGGGGGAGGATTTGGGAGGTGGGGCTTGGGGGGGCCACACCCTTATGGTGACCCCCTCCATGTGTCCCTTCCCCCCTTAACACCACCCCATAATTAGCGTCCCCATAATTAATTAAGGGACCCACCACCCCCATAATTAGCGTCCCCATAATTAATTAAATAACACCACCCCCGTAATTAGCGTCCCCATAATTAATTAAGGGACCGTAATTCCTCACCTAAACCCCCTCCTGGACCCCCTCCATGTGTCCCTTCCCCCCTTAACACCACCCCCATAATTAGCGTCCCCATAATTAATTAAGGGACCCACCACCCCCATAATTAGCGTCCCCATAATTAATTAAAGGACCGTAACTCCTCACCTGAACCCCCTCCTGGACCCCTTCCATGTGTCCCTCCCCCCTTAACACCACCCCATAATACCACCCCCATAATTAGCGTCCCCATAATTAATTAAATAATACCACCCCCATAATTAGCGTCCCCATAATTAATTAAATAACACCACCCCCATAATTAGCGTCCCCATAATTAATTAAGGGACCCTAATTCCTCACCTAAACCCCCTCCTGGACCCCCTCCATGTGTCCCTTCCCCCCTTAACACCACCCCCATAATTAGCGTCCCCATAATTAATTAAATAATACCACCCCCATAATTAGCGTCCCCATAATTAATTAAGGAACCCCTGTCACCCTTCTGGTGACCCCCTCCATGTGTCCCTTCCCCCCATAATACCACCCCCATAATTAGCGTCCCCATAATTAATTAAATAATACCACCCCCATAATTAGCGTCCCCATAATTAATTAAGGGACCCACCACCCCCATAATTAGCGTCCCCATAATTAATTAAGGGACCGTAATTCCTCACCTAAACCCCCTCCTGGACCCCCGCCATGTGTCCCTTCCCCCCTTAACACCACCCCCATAATTAGCATCCCCATAATTAGCGTCCCCATAATTAATTAAGGGACCGTAATTCCTCACCTAAACCCCCTCCTGGACCCCCTCCATGTGTCCCTTCCCCCCTTAACACCACCCCATAATACCACCCCCATAATTAGCGTCCCCATAATTAATTAAATAATACCACCCCCATAATTAGCGTCCCCATAATTAATTAAGGGACCGTAATTCCTCACCTAAACCCCCTCCTGGACCCCCTCCATGTGTCCCTGTCACCCTTAACACCACCCCATAATACCACCCCCATAATTAGCGTCCCCATAATTAATTAAATAATGCCACCCCCATAATTAGCGTCCCCATAATTAATTAAATAATACCACCCCCATAATTAGCGTCCCCATAATTAATTAAGGGACCCACCACCCCCATAATTAGCGTCCCCATAATTAATTAAGGGACCGTAATTGCTCACCTAAACCCCCTCCTGGACCCCCTCCATGTGTCCCTTCCCCCCTTAACACCACCCCATAATACCACCCCCATAATTAGCGTCCCCATAATTAATTAAGGAACCCCTGTCACCCTTCTGGTGACCCCCTCCATGTGTCCCTTCCCCCCATAATACCACCCCCATAATTAGCGTCCCCATAATTAATTAAGGGACCGTAATTCCCCACCTAAACCCCCTCCATGTGTCCCTTCCCCCCTTAACATCACCCCCATAATTAGCGTCCCCATAACTAATTAAGAGCATTAATTAAATTTATTAATTTTTTAATTTAAAATAAATTAAATTAATTAATTAAAGGACCCCTCCAGACTGACCCCAGCCCCGTTTCCCCCACCCCGTGTCCCCCCAGCCCCTCGCCCACGGGGGTCCCGCGCCGCTCCCGGAGTTGTCCCGGCGGCAGAAGCGCCGTGAGTTGGACGCGCGGCGCAGCAAATGCCGCATCCGCATCGGGGGGCACCTGGAGCGCTGGTGCCGCCTCAAGGAGCAGCTCGGATTCGCCCTCCACTCCCAGCTGGCACAGTTCCTCCTCGACAGGTCATTAAAAAACTCCTTAAAAACCCCAAAAACCGTCCCCGACCTCTCACGGGGAAAAAAATCCGGATTTTCTCCTCGCTCATCTCTCGTCTTCCCACGCAGGTACAGCTCTCACGGCTCCACCTGGAGCTCAGGTGGGTGTTTCCCTCCTAATTTCACCTGGTTTGGGTCATTTAGAAGTTCGTGGTGGTGGATTCCTCTTGGGTTGGGTGCTGGAGAAGCAGCCGGAGCTGCTTTGGGTTTGCAAATCCTGCGTTCCCTAATTTTGGCATCGCCAAAAAATTGTTTTGTTTTTTTTTTTGGGAAGCTGTTTGAAAGTTCCTCGTCACAACGAGAACCTTGAGAGCCTTGCGGCCGTCCCAACGCACCTAAAAAACGCGATTTTGGAGGCGTTTTTCACCGATTTCTGTGTTTTTTTCCCAGCAGAGTCGGAGCGGCTGCAGCCGGCGGCGCTGCAGCGCCTGGTGCTGCTGTCCCACAGCCACGGGCAGGAGTGCGGCTTCGTGCCCGACATCCAGCTGCCAACAGCTGGCAGCGCGGCACCGCTGGTTTGGGAATGCGTGGCCGGGCACCGCTTCTCGTGGGGCGGAGATTCCGGCGATTCCGGCGATTCCGGCGATTCCGGTGATTCCGGGGCCGGTGGTGATTCCGGGGACGTCGGGTGCGGCCCCACATTGGGCGCCACGCGTCGGCGATCGCTGCGAAGGGACGCGGCCGGAGCCAACGAGGACGGAGAGGAGGGAATGGCCAAGTCTCACCAGGGTGACAATGAGATGGGAGATGGGGGTGACAGCGGTGGCACAGGTGAGCACATCCCGGTAACGTTTCTGTCCTCAAGTCCCCCTCGATTCCTCACCTGCAGCCCCTCGACCAGTTCTTGGGTGGTTCCAGTTAGACCATCAGCCCAGTAAGATCAGACGCTGCCCCAAACCCAAAACTTTCCCAACGCGAATCCTAAAATTAAGTCTAAACCCTAATCCTAATCCTAACCCTAACCCAAATCCTAATCTTAACCCAAACCCAAACCCTAACCCTAACCCTAACCCCTCTCCCAGTTCGAGGGTGGTTCCAGTTAGACCATCAGCCCAGTAGGATCAGACGCTGCCCCAAACCCAAAACTCTCCCAACGCTAATCCTAAAATTAAACCTAAACCCTAACCCTAACCCTAACCCTAACCCAAATCCTAATCTTAACCCAAACCCTAACCCTAACCCTAACCCCAAACCCAAAACTTTCCTAACGCTAATCCTAAAATTAACCCAAATCCTAATCTTAACCCAAACCCAAACCCAAACCCTAACCCTAACCCTAACCCTAACCCTAACCCTAATCTTAACCCAAACCCTAACCCTAACCCTAACCCTAATCCTAATCTTAACCCAAACCCTAACCCTAACCCAACCCCAAAACTTTCCTAACACGAATCCTAAAATTAAGCCTAAACCCCAATCCTAATCCTAACCCTAAACCAAATCCTAATCTTAACACAAACTCATCATCCCAGAAGGATCAGACGCTTCCCCAACCCCAAAACTTTCCTAACCCAAACCCAAACCCAAACCCAAACCCAAACCCACCATCCCAACAGAATTGGACACTTCCCCAACCCCAAAACTTTCCTAACCCTAATCCTAACCCAAACCCAAACCCAAACCCAAACCCACCACCCCACTAGGATCAGACACTTCCCCAACCCCAAAACTTTCCTAACCCTAACCCTAACCCTAACCTTAACCCAAACCCAACCCGTAACCCAAACCCATAACCCAAACCCAAACCCACCATCCCAATAGAATCAGACACTTCCCCAACCCCAAAACTTTCCTAACCCTAACCCAAACCCAAACCCACCATCCCAATAGAATCAGACACTTCCCCAACCCCAAAACTTTCCTAACCCTAACCCTAACCCTAACCCTAACCCTAACCCTAACCTTAACCCAAACCCAAACCCAAACCCAAACCCAAACCCAAACCCAACCCCACCATCCCAACAGAATCAGACACTTCCCCAACCCCAAAACTTTCCTAACCTTAATCCTAATCTAACCTTAACCCAAACCCATAACCCAAACCCAAACCCAAACCCACCATCCCAATAGAATTGGACACTTCGCCAACCCCAAAACTTTCCTAACCCTAATCCTAACCCAAACCCAAACCCAACCCCAAGCCATAACCCAAACCCAAACCCAACCCCACCATCCCAATAGAATCAGACACTTCCCCACCCCCAAAACTTTCCTAACCCTAATCCTAACCCTAACCCTAACCCAAACCCAACCCGTAGCCCAAACCCAAACCCAAACCCACCATCCCAACAGAATCAGACACTTCCCCAACCCCAAAACTCTCCTAACCCTAATCCTAACCCTAACCTTAACCCAAACCCAAACCCAAACCCAAACCCACCATCCCACTAGGATCAGACACTTCCCCAACCCCAAAACTTTCCTAACCCTAATCCTAACCCAAACCTTAACCCAAACCCATAACCCAAACCCAAACCCACCATCCCAATAGAATCAGACACTTCCCCAACCCCAAAACTTTCCTAACCCTAACCCTAACCCTAACCCTAACCCAAACCCAACCCGTAACCCAAACCCATAACCCAAACCCAAACCCACCATCCCACTAGAATCAGACACTTCCCCAACCCCAAAACTTTCGTAACCCTAACCTTAACCCAAACTGTAGCCCAAACCCAACCCCACCATCCCAATAGAATCAGACACTTCCCCAACCTCAAAACTTTCCTAACCCTAATCCTCACCCTAACCTTAACCCAAACCCATAACCCAAACCCAAACCCAAACCCAAACCCATCCCAACAGAATTGGACACTTGCCCAACCCCAAAACCTTCCTAACCTTAATCCTAACCCTGACCCTAACCCAAACCCTAACCCAAACCCAAACCCAACCCCACCATCCCAATAGAATCAGACATTTCCCCAACCCCAAAACCTTCCTAACCTTAACCCTAACCCTAACCCTAACCTTAACCCAACCCCAACCCATAACCCAAACCCAAACCCACCATCCCAATAGAATCAGACACTTCCCCAACCCCAAAACTTTCCTAACCCTAATCCTAACCCTAACCCAACCCGTAACCCAAACCCAAACCCAAACCCAAACCCAAACCCAAACCCACCATCCCAACAGAATCAGACACTTCCCCAACCCCAAAACTCTCCTAACCCTAATCCTAACCCTAACCCAACCCCAACCCAAACCCAAACCCAAACCCAAACCCAAACCCAAACCCAAACCCAAACCCACCATCCCACTAGGATCAGACACTTCCCCAACCCCAAAACTTTCCTAACCCTAATCCTAACCCTAACCTTAACCCAAACCCAACCCATAACCCAAACCCAAACCCACCATCCCAATAGAATCAGACACTTCCCCAACCCCAAAACTTTCCTAACCCTAATCCTAACCCTAACCTTAAACCAAACCGTAGCCCAAACCCAAACCCAAACCCAACCCCAAACCCATCATCCCAATAGAATCAGACACTTCTCCAACCCCAAAACTTTCCTAACCCAAACCCTAACCCAAACCCATAACCCAAACCCAAAATCCCAACAGAATCGGACACTTCCCCAACCCCAGACCTTTCCAACACCCCCATTCTCCCCAACTCTCCATCATCCTCCTCCTCCTCCTCCTCACCTCTCCCACCCCTCCCTCACCACCCTCCTGTCCCCTTCCAGCCCCTCAGGACCCGGAGCCGGCGCCGGCAGCCGCCGACAGGTGAGTGGTGGCACACCCGGTTCCGTTTGGCGCTGTCTGACCCATCCCCGTGTCCCCACCACGACCATCCGTGGTCGAACCATCCCAGCAGAGCTGATCCCGCTCCGTGTCCGGCAGCGCCGTGCCGGGGGATGATGATGGAGCTGAACCCCGAGAGGAAGAGGAGGATGAAGATTTTGACCTGGCTTACAGCGATGATCTACGTGATGAGAATTATCACCCGTCCATGGAGAGGTGAGAGAGCTGGGAGGGAATGGGATGGTGTGGGACACTCCACGGCGCCCGTGGGTGCCGTCCCAGTTCAGACCAGTATAGCACTGGGAGGGTTTTGGCGGCCTCACATCTCTGAGATGTTTTTATCCTGGTGCAGCTGCCCCGGCGGAGCGGGGAGGAGGTGGGAACAGCGTCCACGTGGTGTTAAAATAATAATTTATTTTGGGGTCAAAGGGGATTTTGGAGAGGGATTTTTATGGATCACCTGTGGGAAGGTCTTTGCCATATCCAACCGATGGTCAACCCGTGTCTAACCAAATCCAGTCCTTGACCGACCATAACTCGCTCGTTTCCACCACATCAAACCCATATCGAGCACCCAAACCCAAACCCAAACCCAAATCCAAACCCAAATCCAGTCCTTGACCAACCATAACTCGCTCATTTCCACCACGTCCAACCCATATCGAGCACCCAAACCCAAATCCCAACCCAAATCCAGTCCTTGACCAACCATAACTCGCTCATTTCCACCACATCCAAACCATATCGAGCACCCAAACCCAAATCCAAACACAAATCCAGTCCTTGACCAACCATAACTCGCTCATTTCCTACAAAATCCAACCCAAACCCAAATCCAATCCTTGACCAACCATAACTCACTCATCTCCTACCACGTCCAACCCAAACCCAAATCCAGTCCATGACCAACCATAACTCGCTCATTTCCACCACGTCCAACCCAAACCCAAATCCAGTCCTTGACCAACCATAACTCGCTCATCTCCTACCACGTCCAACCCATATTGAGCACCCAAACCCAAATCCAAATCCAAATCCAAATCCAAACCCAAATCCAATCCATGACCAATCATAACTCGCTCATTTCCACCATGTCCAACCCATATCGAGCACCCAAACCCAAATCCAAATCCAAATCCAGTCCATGACCAACCATAACTCGCTCATTTCCACCACGTCCAACCCAAACCAAAATCCAGTCCTTGACCAACCATAACTCGCTCATTTCCACCACATCCAACCCTTATCGAGCACCCAAACCCAAATCCAAACCCAAATCCAAACCCAAATCTAGTCCTTGACCAACCATAACTCGCTCATTTCCACCACATCCAACCCATATCGAGCACCCAAACCCAAATCCAAACCCAAACCCAGTCCTTGACCAACCATAACTTGCTCATTTCCACCACATCCAACCCAAACCCAAATCCAGTCCTTGACCAACCATAACTCGCTCATCTCCTACCACGTCCAACCCATATCAAGCACCCAAACCCAAATCCAAACCAAAATTCCAGTCCATGACCGACCATAACTCGCCCATTTCCACCATGTCCAACCCATATCAAGCACCCAAATCCAAACCCAAATCCAGTCCATGACCAACCATAACTCGCTTATTTCCTACAAAATCCAACCCAAACCCAAACCCAAATCCAATCCTTGACCGACCATACCTCACTCATTTCCTACCACGTCCAACCCATATCGAGCACCCAAACCCAAATCCAAACCCAAACCCAAATCCAGTCCATGACCAACCATAACTCGCTCATTTCCTACCAAATCCAACCCAAACCCAAATCCAATCCTTGACCAACCATAACTTGTTCATCTCCTACCACGTCCAACCCTTATCAAGCACCCAAACCCCTTTCACCCAACCCACTCTGTGCCCCAAACAGCAACTCGGAGCCGCAGCGACGTCAGAACCAACCCAAAACTCGCAAGAAGCCGATCAAGGAGGAGCAGCCCCGGCTCGAGCCGCCCCTGCCCGGCTCCAACCCCTTGGAGGAGAAGAGCGGCCGGGTCAGGTGAGTCGTGGTGGCCACCACGGTGAGGGGACAGCGGTCGGAGTCGTCACCTTGGGAGCGTTGGCCATGGGGCAGGAGCTGTGTGTCCTCAAGTTTGGGGGGCGGAGTTGTGTTTTTTTGGGTCTCGTTGAGCAAACGAGGGTCTGGCTCACCAAAATCACTGCAGGGGCTTCCTGAGCTTGGTGTCACCCATCTTGGTGTCCCTCGTGGGGACAATCCAGGGTGGTCAGGGAACAAGGAGAGGCAGCCAAAGGTGGGGCTGCCATGGAAGGGGATGAAGAACCTCTTGAACCACCAGCTTGGAGATGGAACAACCCAAAATCCATCAATCCCACCACAAATTCCTCCACAGATGGATCCACGGCTTCTCCAGCAGCTTCGCGTTGGGTTTGCAGCTCTCCGAGCGCACAAAATTTAATGTTTTGGGCTAAAAAAAAGCTTAAATCGGGTTTGGCCTCAAGATCCGACACATCTAGATGGATTTCCACAAAATTCAAAGTACACAAAATTCAATGTTTTGTGCTAAAAAAAAGCTTAAATCGGCCCCTCAGGGTTTCACTGGGGTTGGCCTCAAGATCCGACACACCTAGATGGATTTCCACAAAATTCAATGCACACAAAATTCAATGTTTTGTGCTAAAAAAAATCTTAAGATCCGACACACCTAGATGGATTTCCACAAAATTTAATGTGCACAAAATTCAATGTTTTGTGCTAAAAAAAAGCTTAAATCGGCTTAAATCGGCCCCTCGAGGTTTCACTGGGGTTGGCCTCAAGATCTGACACATCTAGATGGATTTCCACAAAATTCAAAGCGCACAAAATTCAATGTTTTGTGCTAAAAAAAAGCTTAAGATCCGACACACCTAGATGGATTTCCACAAAATTCAATGCACACAAAATTCAGTTTTTTGTGCTAAAAAAAGGCTTAAATTGGCCCCTCGGGGTTTCACTGGGGTTGGCCTCAAGATCTGACACACCTAGATGGATTTCCACAAAAATTCAATGCGCACAAAATTCAATGTTTTGTGCTAAAAAAAAGCTTAAATCGGCCCCTCGGGGTTTCACTGGGGCTTGGCCTCAAGATCCGACACATCTAGATGGATTTCCACAAAATTCAAAGCGCACAAAATTCAATGTTTTGTGCTAAAAAAAAGCTTAAGATCCGACACACCTTGATGGATTTCCACAAAATTCAAAGCGCACAAAATTCAGTTTTTTGTGCTAAAAAAAACCTTAAGATCCGACACACCTAGATGGATTTCCACAAAATTCAATGTGCACAAAATTCAATGTTTTGTGCTAAAAAAAAGCTTAAATCGGCTCCTCGGGGTTTCACTGGGGCTTGGCCTTAAGATCCGACACATCTAGATGGATTTCCACAAAATTCAAAGCAAAATTTAATGTTTTTTGCTAAAAAAAGGCTTAAATTGGTCCCTCGGGGTTTCACTGGGGTTGGCCTCAAGATCCGACACACCTAGATGGATTTCCACAAAATTCAATGTTTTGTGCTAAAAAAAAGCTTAAATCCGACACATCTAGATGGATTTCCACAAAATTCAATGCGCAGAAAATTCAATGTTTTGTGCTAAAAAAAAGCTTAAATCCGACACATCTAGATGGATTTCCACAAAATTCAATGCGCAGAAAATTCAATGTTTTGTGCTAAAAAAAAGCTTAAATTGGCTCCTCAGGGCTTCACTGGGGTTGGCCTCAAGATCCGACACGCCTAGATGGATTTCCACAAAATTCAATGAGCATAAAATTCAATGTTTTGTGCTAAAAAAAAGCTTAAATCGGCTCCTCGGGGTTTCACTGGGTTTGGCCTCAAGATCTGACACGCCTAGATGGATTTCCACAAAATTCAATGCGCAGAAAATTCAATGTTTTGTGCTAAAAAAAAGCTTAAATTGGCTCCTCAGGGCTTCACTGGGGTTGGCCTCAAGATCCGACACGCCTAGATGGATTTCCACAAAATTCAATGAGCATAAAATTCAATGTTTTGTGCTAAAAAAAAGCTTAAATCGGCTCCTCGGGGTTTCACTGGGTTTGGCCTCAAGATCTGACACGCCTAGATGGATTTCCACAAAATTCAATGCGCACAAAATTCAATGTTTTGGGCTAAAAAAAAGCTGAAATCGGCCCCTCGGGGTTTCACTGGGGTTGGCCTCAAGATCTGACACACCTAGATGGATTTCCACAAAATTCAATGCGCACAAAATTCAATGTTTTGTGCTAAAAAAAAGCTTAAGATCCGACACACCTAGATGGATTTCCACAAAATTCAAAGCGCACAAAATTCAATGTTTTGTGCTAAAAAAAAGATTAAATCGACCCCTCGGGGTTTCACTGGGGTTGGCCTCAAGATCCGACACACCTAGATGGATTTCCACAAAATTCAAAGCGCACAAAATTCAATGTTTTGTGCTAAAAAAAGGCTTAAATTGGCTCCTCGGGGTTTCACTGGGGTTGGCCTCAAGATCTGACACATCTAGATGGATTTCCACAAAATTCAAAGCGCACAAAATTCAATGTTTTGTGCTAAAAAAAAGCTTAAGATCCGACACACCTAGATGGATTTCCACAAAATTCAATGCGCACAAAATTCAACGTTTTGTGCTAAAAAAAAGCTTAAATCGGCTCCTCGGGGTTTCACTGGGGCTTGGCCTCAAGATCTGACAAACCTAGATGGATTTCCACAAAATTCAAAGCGCACAAAATTCAATGTTTTGTGCTAAAAAAAAGCTTAAATTGGCTCCTCGGGGTTTCACTGGGGCTTGGCCTCAAGATCTGACAAACCTAGATGGATTTCCACAAAATTCAAAGCGCACAAAATTCAATGTTTTGTGCTAAAAAAAGGCTTAAATTGGCTCCTCGGGGTTTCACTGGGGTTGGCCTCAAGATCCGACACACCTAGATGGATTTCCACAAAATTCAATGCGCACAAAATTCAACGTTTTGTGCTAAAAAAAAGCTTAAATTGGCTCCTCGGGGTTTCACTGGGGCTTGGCCTCAAGATCTGACAAACCTAGATGGATTTCCACAAAATTCAAAGCGCACAAAATTCAATGTTTTGTGCTAAAAAAAGGCTTAAATTGGCTCCTCGGGGTTTCACTGGGGTTGGCCTCAAGATCCGACACACCTAGATGGATTTCCACAAAATTCAAAGCGCACAAAATTCAATGTTTTGTGCTAAAAAAAGGCTTAAATTGGCTCCTCAGGGCTTCACTGGGGTTGGCCTCAGGATCTGACACATCTAGACGGATTTCCACAAAATTCAAAGCGCACAAAATTTAATGTTTTGTGCTAAAAAAAAGCTTAAGATCCGACACACCTAGATGGATTTCCACAAAATTCAATGCGCACAAAATTCAGTTTTTTGTGCTAAAAAAAGCTTAAATCGGCCCCTTGGGGTTTCACTGGGGTTGGCCTCAAGATCTGACACATCTAGAGGGATTTCCACAAAATTCAAAGCGCACAAAATTCAATGTTTTGTGTTAAAAAAAAGCTTAAGATGCGACACACCTAGATGGATTTCCACAAAATTTAATGAGCATAAAATTTAATGTTTTGTGCTAAAAAAAAGCTTAAATCGGCCCCTTGGGGTTTCATTGGGGTTGGCCTCAAGATCCGGCACATCTAGATGGATTTCCACAAAATTCAAAGCGCACAAAATTCAATGTTTTGTGCTAAAAAAAAGCTTAAGATCCGACATACCTAGATGGATTTCCACAAAATTCAAAGTGCACAAAATTCAATGTTTTGTGCTAAAAAAAAGCTTAAATCGGCCCCTCGGGGTTTCACTGGGGTTGGCCTCAGGATCTGACACATCTAGATGGATTTCCAAAAATTCAATGTGCACAAAATTCAAACCTAGATGGATTTCCACAAAATTCAAAGCGCACAAAATTCAATGTTTTGTGCTAAAAAAAAGCTTAAGATCCGACACACCTAGATGGATTTCCACAAAATTCAAAGTGCACAAAATTCAATGTTTTGTGCTAAAAAAAAGCTTAAGATCCGACACACGTAGATGGATTTCCACAAAATTCAATGCGCACAAAATTCAATGTTTTGTGCTAAAAAAAGGCTTAAATCGGCCCCTCGGGGTTTCACTGGGGCTTGGCCTGAAGATCTGACACACCTAGATGGATTTCCACAAAATTCAATGAGCATAAAATTCAATGTTTTGGGCTGAAAAAAGGCTTAAATCGGCTCCTCAGGGTTTCACTGGGGTTGGCCTCAAGATCCAGCACACCTCGATGGATTTCCACAAAATTCAAAGCGCACAAAATTCAATGTTTTGTGCTAAAAAAGGCTTAAATCGGCGCCTCGGGGTTTCACTGGGGTTGGCCTCAAGATCCGACACATCTAGATGGATTTCCACAAAATTCAAAGCGCACAAAATTTAATGTTTTGTGCTAAAAAAAGCTTAAATTGGCCCCTCGGAGTTTCACTGGGGCTTGGTAAAAGATCCGACACATCTAGATGGATTTCCACAAAATTCAAAGCAAAATTCAATGTTTTGTGCTAAAAAAAAGCTTAAGATCTGACACACCTAGATGGATTTCCACAAAATTCAAAGCAAAATTTAATGTTTTTTGCTAAAAAAAGGCTTAAATCGGCTCCTCGGGGTTTCAGTGGGGTTGGCCTCAAGATCCGAAACATCTAGATGGATTTCCACAAAATTCAATGTGCACAAAATTCAGTTTTTTGTGCTAAAAAAAGGCTTAAATTGGCTCCTCGGGGTTTCACTGGGGCTTGGCCTCAAGATCCGACACATCTAGATGGATTTCCAAAAAATTCAATGCGCACAAAATTCAATGTTTTGTGCTAAAAAAAAGCTTAAGATCCGGCACACCTAGATGGATTTCCACAAAATTCAAAGCGCACAAAATTCAATGTTTTGTGCTAAAAAAAAGCTTAAATCGGCTCCTCGGGGTTTCACTGGGGTTGGCCTCAAGATCCGACACATCTAGATGGATTTCCAAAAATTCAATGTGCACAAAATTCAATGTTTTGTGCTAAAAAAAGGCTTAAATTGGTCCCTCGGGGTTTCACTGGGGTTGGCCTCAAGATCTGACACATCTAGATGGATTTCCACAAAATTCAATGTGCACAAAATTCAATGTTTTGTGCTAAAAAAAAGCTTAAGATCCGACACACCTAGATGGATTTCCACAAAATTTAATGTGCATAAAATTCAATGTTTTGTGCTAAAAAAAAGCTTAAGATCCGACACGCCTAGATGGATTTCCACAAAATTCAATGTGCACAAAATTCAATGTTTTGTGGTAAAAAAAAGGCTTAAATTGGGTTCTCGGGGTTTCACTGGGGCTTGGCCTCAGGATCTAACACACCTAGATGGATTTCCACGAAATTCAATGCGCACAAAATTCAATGTTTTGTGCTAAAAAAAAGCTTAAGATCCGACACACCTAGATGGATTTCCACAAAATTCAAAGTGCACAAAATTCAATGTTTTGTGCTAAAAAAAGGCTTAAGATCCGGCACACCTAGATGGATTTCCAAAAATTCAATGTGCACAAAATTCAATGTTTTGTGCTAAAAAAAAGCTTAAGATCCGACACACCTAGATGGATTTCCACAAAATTTAATGCACACAAAATTCAATGTTTTGTGCAAAAAAAAGCTTAAATCGGCTCCTCGGGGTTTCACTGGGGCTTGGTCTCAGGATCTGACACACCTAGATGGATTTCCACAAAATTCAATGCGCACAAAATTCAATGTTTTGTGCTAAAAAAAAGCTTAAAATGGGGCTTAAAATGTCTCTTTCCTCTTGCAGTTGCGACCAAGACACGGCTCAGATCGGCCCCAAGAGGATCAGGTACTCGGGAAAAACGGAAAAGGGACATTTCCAGGCTCCGAAAATATTTCTTTGCTTCATTTTAAATTTTTTAGGTGGGGAAAAAAAATTGAAGGTGGGTGAGGAGGAAAAGAGCTGGTGGGGGGCGGGGTCAGATCCATATTCCGGAGCTTTTCCAACATTCCTGATGATTTTTTCCCCGTTTTTTCTCTCGACAGGAAGGCGGCAAAGCGGGAGATCCTCCTCTGCGACTTCGAAGGCTGCGGCAAAATCTTCTCCAACCGCCAGTACCTGAACGTGAGCGGCCGGGAAAGATCCAAAATTTCTGGAGCGTTGGGTGGGGATGTCCTGGAGCTGGAATTTGGGAGCTGATAGGTGGTTTTTTTTTAATTTTAATTTTTATTGTGATGGCAGCATCACCAGAAGTACCAACACGTGCACCAGAAAACCTTCACCTGCTCCGAGCCCACCTGTGGGAAGTCCTTCAACTTCAAGAAGCACTTGAAGGAACATGAGAAGCTGCACAGTGGTGAGCGCGACGTTTCCGTCGGAATTAAACCTCCTGGAGGAGTTACAACTCCCATCCATGGATTTTCACACGGATTTATGGAATTTCACAGGGATTTTACACCTCCCTTATCGCACTTCCTCTACGGATTCCACCACCTCCCGTCGGATTCACACCTCCTGTTCCCCCTTCCCCACCCACCCATTCCCAAATTCCCATCTCTGGGAATTTCTGCCCCCCAAATCTCTCCCAAAGTTCATCCTGAGGGTCCTGATGGTTCTTCCAGGTTGGATCAGCCCCGATTCCCGTTTTTTTTTCCCTCCCAGACCAGCGGGATTACATCTGCGAGTTCTGCGCGCGCTCCTTCCGCACCAGCAGCAATTTGATCATCCACCGACGCATCCACACCGGGGAGAAGCCGCTCCAGTAAGTCCCAGTCCCATTCCCTCCCAGTAAATCCCAGTTCCATTCCCAGTAAATCCCAGTTCCATTCCCACCCAGTAAATCCCAGTTCCATTCCCGTTCCCTTCCAGTAAATCCCAGTCCCATTCCCACCCAGTAAATCCCAGTCCCATCCCTGCCCTTCCAGTAAATCCCAGTCCCATCCCTGCCCTTCCAGTAAATCCCAGTTTGATTCCCACCCAGTAAATCCCAGTCCCATTCCCAGTAAATCCCAGTTCCATTCCCTCCCAGTAAATCCCAGTCCCATTCCCACCCAGTAAATCCCAGTTCCATTCCCAGTAAATCCCAGTTCCATTCCCACCCAGTAAATCCCAGTTCCATTCCCTCCCAGTAAATCCCAGTCCCATTCCCTCCCAGTAAATCCCAGTTTGATTCCCACCCAGTAAATCCCAGTTCCATTCCCACCCAGTAAATCCCAGTTCCATTCCCAGTAAATCCCAGTCCCATTCCCTCCCAGTAAATCCCAGTCCCATTCCCAGTAAATCCCAGTCCCATTCCCAGTAAATCCCAGTCCCATTCCCAGTAAATCCCATTCCCATTCCCTCCCAGTAAATCCCAGTTTGATTCCCACCCAGTAAATCCCAGTTCCATTCCCTCCCAGTAAATCCCAGTCCCATTCCCACCCAGTAAATCCCACTTTGATTCCCTTCCAGTAAATCCCAGTTCCATTCCCAGTAAATTCCAGTCCCATCCCCTCCCAGTAAATCCCAGTTCCATTCCCACCCAGTAAATCCCAGTCCCATCCCTGCCCTTCCAGTAAATCCCAGTCCCATTCCCTTCCAGTAAATCCCAGTCCCATTCCCTCCCAGTAAATCCCAGTTCCATCCCTGCCCTTCCAGTAAATCCCAGTCCCATTCCCTTCCAGTAAATCCCAGTTCCATCCCCAGTAAATCCCAGTCCCATTCCCAGTAAATCCCAGTTCCATCCCCAGTTAATCCCAGTTCCATTCCCTCCCAGTAAATCCCAGTCCCATTCCCACCCAGTAAATCCCAGTCCCATTCCCTCCCAGTAAATCCCAGTTTGATTCCCTTCCAGTAAATCCCAGTTTGATTCCCTCCCAGTAAATCCCAGTCCCATTCCCTCCCAGTAAATCCCAGTCCCATCCCTGCCCTTCCAGTAAATCCCAGTCCCATTCCCATTCCCTCCCAGTAAATCCCAGTTCCATTCCCAGTAAATCCCAGTCCCATCCCCATCCCCTTCCAGTAAATCCCAGTCCCATTCCCACCTAGTAAATCCCAGTCCCATCCCTGCCCTTCCAGTAAATCCCAGTTCCATTCCCATCCCCTTCCAGTAAATCCCATCCCCATCCCCTTCCAGTAAATCCCAGTTCCATTCCCTCCCAGTAAATCCCAGTCCCATTCCATTCCCAGTAAATCCCAGTTCCATTCCCTCCCAGTAAATCCCAGTCCCATCCCTCCCCTTCCAGTAAATCCCAGTCCCATTCCATTCCCAGTAAATCCCAGTTTGATTCCCTCCCAGTAAATCCCAGTTACATTCCCTCCCAGTAAATCCCAGTTTGATTCCCACCCAGTAAATCCCAGTCCCATTCCCAGTAAATCGCAGTCCCATTCCCAGTAAATCCCAGTCCCATTCCCACCCAGTAAATCCCAGTTCCATTCCCAGTAAATCCCAGTTCCATTCCCTCCCAGTAAATCCCAGTTCCATTCCCAGTAAATCCCAGTCCCATTCCCACCCAGTAAATCCCAGTTCCATTCCCATCCCCTTCCAGTAAATCCCAGTTCCATTCCCACCCAGTAAATCCCAGTTCCATTCCCAGTAAATCCCAGTTCCATTCCCAGTAAATCCCAGTCCCATTCCCACCCAGTAAATCCCAGTTCCATTCCCATCCCCTTCCAGTAAATCCCAGTCCCATTCCCACCCAGTAAATCCCAGTTCCATTCCCATCCCCTTCCAGTAAATCCCAGTCCCATTCCCAGTAAATCCCAGCCCCATTCCCAGTAAATCCCAGTCCCATTCCCACCCAGTAAATCCCAGTTCCATTCCCAGTAAATCCCAGTCCCATTCCCACCCAGTAAATCCCAGTTCCATTCCCTTCCAGTAAATCCCAGTTTGATTCCCTTCCAGTAAATCCCAGTTCCATTTCCATTTCCCTCCCAGTAAATCCCATTCCCATTCCCTTCCAGTAAATCCCAGTTTGATTCCCACCCAGTAAATCCCAGTTCCATTCCCTCCCAGTAAATCCCAGTTTGATTCCCACCCAGTAAATCCCAGTTCCATTCCCATTCCCACCCAGTAAATCCCAGTTCCATTCCCTCCCAGTAAATCCCAGTTCCATTCCCAGTAAATCCCAGTCCCATCCCTGCCCTTCCAGTAAATCCCAGTTCCATTCCCTCCCAGTAAATCCCAGTCCCATTCCCACCCAGTAAATCCCAGTTCCATTCCCATCCCCTCCCAGTAAATCCCAGTCCCATCCCTGTCCTTCCAGTAAATCCCAGTCCCATTCCCACCCAGTAAATCCCAGTTCCATTCCCTCCCAGTAAATCCCAGTTCCATTCCCAGTAAATCCCAGTTCCATTCCCAGTAAATCCCAGTCCCATCCCCACCCAGTAAATCCCAGTTCCATTCCCAGTAAATCCCAGTCCTATTCCCAGTAAATCCCAGTTCCATTCCCAGTAAATCCCAGTCTCATTCCCAGTAAATCCCAGTCCCATTCCCAGTAAATCCCAGTTCCATTCCCAGTAAATCCCATTCCCACCCAGTAAATCCCAGTCCCATTCCCAGTAAATCCCAGTTCCATTCCCAGTAAATCCCAGTTCCATTCCCAGTAAATCCCAGTCCCATTCCCTCCCAGTAAATCCCAGTCCCATTCCCAGTAAATCCCAGTTCCCTTCCAGTAAATCCCAGTCCCATTCCCACCCAGTAAATCCCAGTCCCATTCCCAGTAAATCCCAGTTTGATTCCCTCCCAGTAAATCCCAGTCCCATTCCCACCCAGTAAATCCCAGTCCCATTCCCAGTAAATCCCAGTTCCATTCCCAGTAAATCCCAGTCCCATTCCCACCCAGTAAATCCCAGTCCCATTCCCAGTAAATCCCAGTTCCATTCCCAGTAAATCCCAGTTCCAGTCCCAGTAAATCCCAGTCCCATTCCCACCCAGTAAATCCCAGTTCCATTCCCAGTAAATCCCAGTCCCATTCCCAGTAAATCCCAGTTCCATTCCCACCCAGTAAATCCCAGTTCCATTCCCAGTAAATCCCAGTTCCATTCCCAGTAAATCCCAGTTCCATTCCCATCCCCTTCCAGTAAATCCCAGTCAAATTCCCACCCAGTAAATCCCATTCCCATTCCCTCCCAGTAAATCCCAGTTCCATTCCCTCCCAGTAAATCCCAGTCCCATTCCCAGTAAATCCCAGTTCCATTCCCAGTAAATCCCAGTTCCATTCCCAGTAAATCCCAGTCCCATTCCCAGTAAATCCCAGTCCCATTCCAACCCAGTAAATCCCAGTTCCATTCCCAGTAAATCCCAGTCCCATTCCAACCCAGTAAATCCCAGTTCCATTCCCTGTAAATCCCAGTCCCACTCCCTCCCAGTAAATCCCAGTCCCATTCCCAGTAAATCCCAGTCCCATTCCCAGTAAATCCCAGTCCCATTCCCAGTAAATCCCAGTTCCATTCCCAGTAAATCCCAGTCCCATTCCCACCCAGTAAATCCCAGTTTGATTCCCTTCCAGTAAATCCCAGTCCCATTCCCTCCCAGTAAATCCCAGTCCTATTCCCATTCCCAGTAAATCCCAGTTCCATTCCCAGTAAATCCCAGTTCCATTCCCATTCCCTTCAAGTAAATCCCAGTCCCATTCCCAGTAAATGCCAGTCCCATTCCCACCCAGTAAATCCCAGTTTGATTCCCACCCAGTAAATCCCAGTCCCATTCCCAGTAAATCCCAGTCCCATTCCCAGTAAATCCCAGTCCCATTCCCTTCCAGTAAATCCCAGTTCCCACCCAGTAAAACCCCGAAACTTCAAATTCCAAGGTCGCTTCTCCCCGTGCCACATCCCTGAGGGATATTTTTTTTTTTGGTTGGATATTTTTTTTTTTGGTTGGATATTTTTTTTTTGGTTGGATATTTTTTTTTGGTTGGATATTTTTTTTTTGGTTGGATATTTATTTTTTGGTTTTTAACCCTCCCAGGTGTGAAATCTGCGGCTTCACCTGCCGCCAAAAAGCGTCTCTGAACTGGCACATGAAAAAACACGACGCCGACTCCTCCTACCGATTCCCGTGCGACGTCTGCGGCAAGAAATTCGAAAAACGCGACAACGTCGCCGCCCACAAGAGCAAAAGCCACGCCGGGAATTTTGGGGACGGAATTCGGAACCAACCGGAGCCCCCCGGGAACGCGGAACCTCCGGAGATTTTTGGGAATGTCCCAGGGAGAGGGAGGACCCCGCTGGAATATGGGGCGGGATCTGGGAATTTTGGGAGGAAAAAAGGGGACTTGGGGGGAAAAAATGGGAATTTGGGCTGAAAAATGGGAATTTTGCAGGGGCAATCAGGGATTTTGGGGGAGAAAAAAATGGGGATTTGGGGAGGAAAAATGAGAATTTTGGGAAAAAAATGGGGATTTGGGGGGAAAAATGGGGATTTGGGGGGGAAAATGGGGATATGGTGAGGGGAAATTGGGGTTTAAGGGGTTAAAATGGGGTTTAGGGGGAAAATGGATATTTTGAAATGATAAAATGGAGATTTTGGGAGAAAAAATCTGAATTTTTTTTTTGCCAAATCTGGGGAAAAATCTGGGGAAAATTCTGGGGAAAAATCCCAGATTTTCAGTTTGGGCGCTGGAGGAAAATCGGGGAAAATGGGAAAGGTAAAACTGGGGGAAAATCCCAATTTTTCAGCCAAATCCTTCTTTTTTTTTTATTGCCAAATCTGGGGGAAAATCTGGGGAAAAATCTGGGGAAAAATCTGGGGAAAAATCTGGGGGAAAATCCCAGATTTTCAGTTTGGGCACTGGAGGAAAATCGGGGAAAATGGGAAAGGTAAAATTGGGGGAAAATCCCAGTTTTTCAGCCAAATCCCAGATGAAACCCCAAGTTTTCAGACAAATCCTTCCTTTTTTTTTGCCAAATCTGGGGAAAAATCCCAGATTTTCAGTTTGGGCACTGGAGGAAAATCGGGGAAAATGGGAAAGGTAAAACTGGGGGAAAATCCCAATTTTTCGGACAAATTCTTCCTTTTTTTTTGGCCAAATCTGGGGAAAAATCTGGGGAAAAATCTGGGGGAAAATCTGGGGAAAAATCTGGGGAAAAATCTGGGAAAAATCCCAGATTTTCAGTTTGGGCGCTGGAGGAAAATCGGGGACGATGCTGGACCGTGTGAGGCAGCTCTAGGTGCCAAAAATATATGGGAGAGGTAAAACTGGGGGAAAATCCCAATTTTTCAGCCAAATCTGGGGAAAAATCCCAGATTTTCAGTTTGGGCGCTGGAGGAAAATCGGGGAAAATGGGAAAGGTAAAACTGGGGGAAAATCCCAATTTTTCAGCAAAATCCTTCCTTTTTTATTGCCAAATCTGGGGAAAAATCTGGGGAAAAATCTGGGGAAAAATCTGGGGAAAAATCCCAGATTTTCAGTTTGGGCACTGGAGGAAAATCGGGGAAAATGGGAAAGGTAAAACTGGGGGAAAATCCCAATTTTTCAGACAAATCTTTCTTTTTTTTTTGCCAAATCTGGGGAAAATCTGGGGAAAAATCTCGGGAAAAATCCCAGATTTTCAGTTTGGGCACTGGAGGAAAATCGGGGAAAATGGGAAAGGTAAAACTGGGGGAAAATCCCAATTTTTCAGACAAATCCTTCTTTTTTTTTTCGCCAAATCTGGGGAAAAATCTGGGGAAAAATCTGGGGAAAAATCCCAGATTTTGAGTTTGGGCGCTGGAGGAAAATCGGGGAAAATGGGAAAGGTAAAACTGGGGGGAAAATCCCAATTTTTCAGACAAATCCTGCTTTTTTTTTTTGCCAAATCTGGGGGAAAAATCTGGGGAAAAATCTGGGGAAAAATCTGGGGAAAATCTGGGGAAAAATCCCAGATTTTCAGTTTGGGCGCTGGAGGAAAATCGGGGAAAATGGGAAAGGTAAAACTGGGGGAAAATCCCAATTTTTCAGCCAAATCCTTATTTTGTTTTTTTGGCCAAATCTGGGGAAAAATCTGGGGAAAAATCTGGGGAAAAATCCCAGATTTTCAGTTTGGGCACTGGAGGAAAATCGGGGAAAATGGGAAAGGTAAAACTGGGGGAAAATCCCAATTTTTCAGACAAATCCTTCTTTTCTTTTTTTGGCCAAATCTGGGGAAAAATCCCAGATTTTCAGTTTGGGCACTGGAGGAAAATCGGGGAAAATGGGAAAGGTAAAACTGGGGGAAAATCCCAATTTTTCAGACAAATCCTTCTTTTCTTTTTTTGGCCAAATCTGGGGAAAAATCCCAGATTTTCAGTTTGGGCACTGGAGGAAAATCGGGGAAAATGGGAAAGGTAAAACTGGGGGAAAAACCCAATTTTTCAGCCAAATCCTTCTTTTTTTTTTGCCAAATCTGGGGAAAAATCTGGGGAAAAATCTGGGGAAAAATCCCAGATTTTCAGTTTGGGCACTGGAGGAAAATCGGGGAAAATGGGAAAGGTAAAAATGGGGGAAAATCCCAATTTTTCAGCCAAATCCTTCTTTTTTTTTGCCAAATCTGAGGAAAAATCTGGGGAAAAATCTGGGGAAAAATCTGGGGAAAAATCTGGGGAAAAATCCCAGATTTTCAGTTTGGGCACTGGAGGAAAATTGGGGAAAATGGGAAAGGTAAAACTGGGGAAAATCCCAATTTTTCAGACAAATCCTGCTTTTTTTTTTTTTGCCAAATCTGGGGAAAAATCTGGGGAAAAATCTGGGGAAAAATCCCAGATTTTCAGTTTGGGCACTGGAGGAAAATCGGGGAAAATGGGAAAGGTAAAACTGGGGGAAAATCCCAATTTTTCAGACAAATCCTTCCTTTTTTTTTTGCCAAATCTGGGGAAAAATCTGGGGAAAAATCCCAGATTTTCAGTTTGGGCGCTGGAGGAAAATCGGGGAAAATGGGAAAGGTAAAACTGGGGGAAAATCCCAATTTTTCAGCCAAACCCTTCTTTTTTTTTTGCCAAATCTGGGGAAAAATCCCAGATTTTCAGCCAAATCCCAGATGAAACCCCAATTTTTCAGCCAAACCCTTCTCTTTTTTTTGCCAAATCTGGGGAAAATCCCATATTTTCAGCCAAATCCCAGATGAAACCCCAAGTTTTCAGACAAATCCTTTTTTTTTTTGCAAACTCTGGGGGAAAATCCCATATTTTCAGCCAAATCCCAGATGAAACCCCAAGTTTTCAGACAAATCCTTCTCTTTTTTTTGCCAAATCTGGGGAAAAATCCCATATTTTCAGCCAAATCCCAGATGCAATCCCAAGTTTTCAGACAAATCCTTCTTTTTTTTTGCAAACTCTGGGGGAAAATCCCAATTTTTCAGCCAAATCCCAGATGAAACCCCAAGTTTTCAGACAAATCCTTCCTTTTTTTTTCCAAATCTGGGGAAAAATCCTAAATTTTCAGGCAAATCCCCGGATGCAATCCCAAATTTTCAGCCAAATCCCATTTTTTTTTCATTTTTTTTGCCAAATCCCAGCTTCCCTCGAGCCCGGTATTGCCACAAGTGGATCCTCAATAAATGCTTATTTTGGGTAAAAGTGGGATTTGCTGTCAGATATTTATTAATAAATAAGAAAGTGAGATTTGGGTGGTTTGGGGACACCAAACACCCAATTTGGGACCCAAATTTGGGAGCTTCAAACTTTTCCTTGAAACTTCATTTAATTTCCATTTAAAACTCTTTGATTTAAACCAGAATTTGAACTTACAGATCCTCAGAAGCTCCAAAACTGGAATTTCAAGTGCCCCAAATTTGGGAGCTCCCAATTCTTCAAACTTTTCCTTGAAACTTCATTTAATTTCCATTTAAAACTCTTTGATTTAAACCAGAATTTGAACTTACAGATCCTCAGAAGCTCCAAAACAGGAATTTCAAGTGCCCCAAAACCCCTCAGATTTGGAGACACGAACATTTTTTTGTCTCCATTCCCTCCTGATCAGGAGCAGCTTTTCCTCCTCTTCCAGCACCAAAAAAAACCCACAAAATTATTGTATTTTAGGATATTTTTTTTTAGTTTTTTTTTTGCACAGCGACTTTTATTTCCCCACTAACAGTGACAGGGCAAAGGACACGAACAGCAGCAGGAGGAAAATGGGGGGAAAAAGGGGAGTGGGCAAGTGCAAGATCACACCTAAAACACAAAAAAAAACCCAAAAATCACCCCCAGCCCCCCAAAAATCACCCCCAGCGCCCCAAAAATCACCCCCAACCACCCCAAAAATCACTCCCAGCCCGGGTTTGAGGTGACCCCAAATATCCACATTTTTTAGGGATTCTGGAATTCCAGGGGGGGGTTCAGAATTTAACAGGGAGAAATGGTGGGAGGGGGTGAAATGGGAAAAAAAGGCAAAAAATGGATGTGGGGGGCAGGAAAATGGGGGGACAAGGATGGGGGGAAAATGGGGGGAAAAAGGGGAGTGGGCAAGAGCAAGATCACACCTAAAACACAAAAAAAACCCCAAAAATCACCCCCAGCACCCCAAAAATCACCCCCAGCACCCCAAAAATCACCCCCAGCACCCCAAAAACCACTCCCAGCCCGGGTTTGAGGTGACCCCAAATATCCACATTTTTTTGGGATTCTGGAACTCTGGGGGGGTTCAGAATTTAAGAGGGAGAAATGGTGGGGGGGGATGAGAAGGGAAAAAAAGGCAAAAAAGGCAAAAAAGGGACTTGGGGGGCAGGAAAATGGGGGGACAATGATGGGGGGAAAATGGGGGGCACAAGGGGAGTGGGCAAGAGCAAGATCACACCTAAAACACAAAAAAAAAACCCCAAAAATCACCCCCAGCACCCCAAAAACCACTCCCAGCACCCCAAAAACCACTCCCAGCCCGGGTTTGAGGTGACCCCAAATATCCACATTTTTTTGGGATTCTGGAATTCCAGGGGGGGGTTCAGAATTTAAGAGGGAGAAATGGTGGGAGGGGGATGAGAAGGAAAAAAAAGACAAAAAAAGGGATGTGGGGGGCAGGAAAATGGGGGGACAATGATGGGGGGAAAATGGGGGGCACAAGGGGAGTGGGCAAGCGCAAGATCACACCTAAAACACAAAAAAAACCCCCTTAACTCACCCCCAGCACCCCAAAAATCACCCCCAGCACCCCAAAAACCACTCCCAGCTCAGTTTTGAGGTGACCCCAAATATCCACATTTTTTTGGGATTCTGGAACTCTGGGGGGGTTCAGAATTTAAGAGGGAAAAATGGTGGGAGGGGGGATGAGAAGGGAAAAAAAGGCAAAAAATGGATGTGGGGGGCAGGAAAATGGGGACACAAAAGCTTTGGCTACTATTCGAAATTAGGATGGGATCAGCCTTTCCCTGTTCCAACGGGGCTCCAACTCGAAAGAAAAACACAAAATTAATTTAACAGGAGGTGTAGAACCAACAATAAGGACGGGACGCTCAAGCAGAGCCCCCTCCTCGCCAAAAAGGAAGATTTTGAGGGGAAAAAACTCCAAACTTTGAACAGGAAAAAAAAACCAACAAAATCCCCCCTTAAACAACCACGGGTGGGATTTTGGGGCGTTTTGCTTGGAAGCAAAGGAAAACTGAAGGATGGAAAGATGGGGATGCTGGCAGCGAGCTCAGTTGCACAGGGACAGCGAGGAACCCACGTAAAAAAGCCAAAAAAAGGGGAAAATCCTCTCGGAGAAGGCGGCGGTGAAGGTGAAGATGGGAGCCACCCAGCCGCCCTCGTAGTCCAGGTACACCCCGATCTTGCGCGTCTCGGGAGAGGTGAACGCCTGGTACTGATCCCAGTTGAAGATTTTGAGGGGAAAAAACTCCAAACTTTGAACAGGAAAGAAAAACCAACAAAATCCCCCCCCTTGAACAACCACGGGTGGGATTTTGGGGGCGTTTTGCTTGGAAGCAAAGGATGGAAAGGATGGAAAAAGGGGGATGCTGTCAGCGAGCTCAGTTGCACAGGGACAGCGAGGAACCCACGTAAAAAAGCCAAAAAAAGGGGAAAATCCTCTCGGAGAAGGCGGCGGTGAAGGTGAAGATGGGAGCCATGCTGTCGGCGTTGTAGAACGCCACCCACCCGCCCTCGTAGTCCAGGAGAGGTGAACGCCTGGTACTGATCCCAATTGAAGATTTTGAGGGGAAAAAACTCCAAACTTTGAACAGGAAAAAAAAACCAACAAAATCCCCCCCTTGAACAACCACGGGTGGGATTTTGGGGCGTTTTGCTTGGAAACAAAGCAAAACCTAAGGATGGAAAGAGGGGGACACCGTCAGCGGGCTCAGTTGCACAGGGACAGCGAGGAACCCACGTAAAAAAGCCAAAAAAAGGGGAAAATCCTCTCGGAGAAGGCGGCGGTGAAGGTGAAGATGGGAGCCATGCTGTCGGCGTTGTAGAACGCCACCCACCCGCCCTCGTAGTCCAGGAGAGGTGAACGCCTGGTACTGATCCCAATTGAAGATTTTGAGGGGAAAAAACTCCAATCTTTGAACAGGAAAAAAAAAACCAACAAAATCCCCCATTTGAACAGCCACGGGTGGGATTTTGGGGCGTTTTGCTTGGAAGCAAAGGAAAACCTAAAGATGGAAAGAGGGGGGCAGCGAGCGTGGCGGGCTCAGTTGCACAGGGACAGCGAGGAACCCACGTAAAAAAGCCAAAAAAAGGGGAAAATCCTCTCGGAGAAGGCGGCGGTGAAGGTGAAGATGGGAGCCATGCTGTCGGCGTTGTAGAACGCCACCCACCCGCCCTCGTAGTCCAGGTACACCCCGATCTTGCGCGGCCGCTCGCAAAGCGACAGCGGCGTCTCGGGAGAGGTGAACGCCTGGTACTGATCCCAATTGAAGATTTTGAGGGGAAAAAACTCCAAACTTTGAACAGGAAAAAAAAAACCAACAAAATCCCCCCCTTGAACAGCCACGGGTGGGATTTTGGGGCGTTTTGCTTGGAAACAAAGGATGGAAAGAAGAGGACACCGTCAGCGAGCTCAGTTGCACAGGGACAGCGAGGAACCCACGTAAAAAAGCCAAAAAAAGGGGAAAATCCTCTCGGAGAAGGCGGCGGTGAAGGTGAAGATGGGAGCCATGCTGTCGGCGTTGTAGAACGCCACCCAGCCGCCCTCGTAGTCCAGGAGAGGTGAACGCCTGGTACTGATCCCAATTGAAGATTTTGAGGGGAAAAAACTCCAAACTTTGAACAGGAAAAAAAAACCCAACAAAATCCCCGCCTTGAACAACCACGGGTGGGATTTTGGGGCGTTTTGCTTGGAAGCAAAGGATGGAAAGAGGGGGACACAACAGCGAGCTCAGTTGCACAGGGACAGCGAGGAACCCACGTAAAAAAGCCAAAAAAAGGGGAAAATCCTCTCGGAGAAGGCGGCGGTGAAGGTGAAGATGGGAGCCATGCTGTCGGCGTTGTAGAACGCCACCCACCCGCCCTCGTAGTCCAGGAGAGGTGAACGCCTGGTACTGATCCCAATTGAAGATTTTGAGGGGAAAAAACTCCAAACTTTGAACAGGAAAAAAAAACCAACAAAATCCCCCCTTGAACAACCATGGGTGGGATTTTGGGGCGTTTTGCTTGGAAGCAAAGGATGGAAAGAGGGGGACACCGTCAGCGAGCTCAGTTGCACAGGGACAGCGAGGAACCCACGTAAAAAAGCCAAAAAAAGGGGAAAATCCTCTCGGAGAAGGCGGCGGTGAAGGTGAAGATGGGAGCCACCCACCCGCCCTCGTAGTCCAGGAGAGGTGAAGGCCTGGTACTGATCCCAATTGAAGATTTTGAGGGGAAAAAACTCCAAACTTTGAACAGGAAAAAAAAACCAACAAAATCCCCCCCTTGAACAGCCACGGGTGGGATTTTGGGGCGTTTTGCTTGGAAGCAAAGGATGGAAAGAGGGGGACACCGGCAGCGAGCGCGGTGGGCTCAGTTGCACAGGGACAGCGAGGAACCCACGTAAAAAAGCCAAAAAAAGGGGAAAATCCTCTCGGAGAAGGCGGCGGTGAAGGTGAAGATGGGAGCCATGCTGTCGGCGTTGTAGAACGCCACCCACCCGCCCTCGTAGTCCAGGTACACCCCGATCTTGCGCGGCCGCTCGCAAAGCGACAGCGGCGTCTCGGGAGAGGTGAACGCCTGGTACTGATCCCAATTTTTGCCCTTCCAGTTGAGCCCCACCGCCCAAATCCCCTCCTCGGGGGCGAAGTCGACTTTCTCCTTGCGGCGCACGGACTCGCGGGCGGCTCCCAGCACCCAACTCTCCCCGTCTCCCACCTCCACCTCCCAGTAGTGGCGGCCGGCGGAGAATCCCTCGCAGGTCAGGACGCAGAAGGCGAAGTCGAAACGTTTGGGGTGAGCCGGCAGCTCCTGGGGCGCCCCGCGGAGTCGCACGCTCCGCTTGTCCTCCGACAGCACCAGGTAAGGGTTGGCGGTGTCGGGGTCCAGGGAGAGCTCGCCTGGATGGGGAAAAAATAAATAAAATTAAAAAAATTTGGAGGAGTTAACTGTGGGATTGGATTGGCAGGTTGGGATTTGGTGGTTGAGTCCTCAAAGCAAAGGGAGGGTGGAGGTGAGGAAGGTGTGGAATTGTGATGGGGTTGTGGCCAACACTGGGATCAGAATCTGTGGTATTGATGATCCCAAAATTGTAAAAGTCTCTGTCTTTCTGCCCTGCTACCAAAAAATAAGCCATAATTTGTTTGTGCTGTTTTTAAGGTTGTTTATTTTTGCTTATCTATAAAATGTTCTGCTGCAGGTCTGTCCTGAGCTCTGCCCTCAGTGGGATGTTACAAACATTAAATACCAGAAATTACAACATTATAAATACCAGAAATTACAAACATTAAATACCCGAAATTACCTGTACTATATTTACAATAATGTGCCAATGTAACACCCCTCAGTGGGATGTTACAAACATTAAATACCAGAAATTACGTGTACTATATTTACAATAATGTGCCAATATCTATCCCTGTTTGCCAGGGTCTAAAATGCTTCTGAGCAAGCCTGGAACCTCTAAAAATGTCTGAGGGATGTTTTGGGTTCTGACAAGAAAGTTAGAAAGTGTCGGAATTTGTGGTATTGATGATCCCAAAATTGTAGAAAATCTCTATTTTTCTGCCTTGTTGCCAAAAAAGAAACCATAATTTGTTTGTGCTGGTTTCAAGGTTGTTTATTTTTGCTTATCTATAATAAATTCTGCTGCCCTGCCGCAGGTCTGTCCTGAGCTCTGCCCTCAGTGGGATGTTAAAAACATTAAATACCAGAAATTACCTGTACTATATTTACAATAATGTGCCAATGTAACACCCCTCAGTGGGATGTTAAAAACATTAAATACCAGAAATTACCTGTGCTATATTTACAATAATGTGCCAATATCTATCCCTGTTTGCCAGGGTCTAAAATGCTTCTGAGCAAGCCTGGAACCTCTAAAAATGTCTGAGGGATGTTTTGGGTTCTGACAAGAAAGTTAGAAAGTGTCGGAATTTGTGGTATTGATGATCCCAAAATTGTAGAAAATCTCTGTTTTTCTGCCCTGCTGCCAAAAAAGAAACCATAATTTGTTTGTGCTGGTTTCAATGTTGTTTATTTTTGGTTATCTATAAAATGTTCTGCTGCAGGTCTGTCCTGAGCTCTGCCCTTAGTGGGATGTTACAAACATTAAATACCAGAAATTACGTGTACTATATTTACAATAATGTGCCAATATCTATCCCTGTTTGCCAGGGTCTAAAATGCTTCTGAGCAAGCCTGGAACCTCTAAAAATGTCTGAGGGATGTTTTGGGTTCTGACAAGAAAGTTAGAAAGTGTCGGAATTTGTGGTATTGATGATCCCAAAATTGTAGAAAATCTCTGTTTTTCTGCCTTGTTGCCAAAAAAGAAGCAATAATTTGTCTGTGCTGTTTCCAGGTTGTTTATTTTTGCTTATCTATAAAATGTTCTGCTGCAGGTCTGTCCTGAGCTCTGCCCTCAGTGGGATGTTACAAACATTAAATACCCAAAATTACGTGTACTATATTTACAATAATGTGCCAATATCTATCCCTGTTTGCCAGGGTCTAAAATGCTTCTGAGCAAGCCTGGAACCTCTAAAAATGTCTGAGGGATGTTTTGGGTTCTGACAAGAAAGTTAGAAAGTGTCGGAATTTGTGGTATTGATGATCCCAAAATTGTAAAAATCTCTGTTTTTCTGCCCTGCTGCCAAAAAAGAAACCATAATTTGTTTGTGCTGGTTTCAATGTTGTTGATTTTTGCTTATCTATAATAAATTCTGCTGCAGGTCTGTCCTGAGCTCTGCCCTCAGTGGGATGTTACAAACATTAAATACCAGAAATTAAGTGTATTATATTCACAATAATGTGCCAATGTAACACCCCTCAGTGGGATGTTACAAACATTAAATACCCGAAATTACCTGTACTATATTTACAATAATGTGCCAATGTAACACCCCTCAGTGGGATGTTACAAACATTAAATACCAGAAATTACAACATTATAAATACCAGAAATTACAAACATTAAATACCAGAAATTACCTGTGTTATATTTACAATAATGTGCCAATGTAACACCCCTCAGTGGGATGTTACAAACATTAAATACCAGAAATTATGTGTACTATATTTACAATAATGTGCCAATGTAACACCCCTCAGTGGGATGTTACAAACATTAAATACCCGAAATTAAGTGTATTATATTCACAATAATGTGCCAATGTAACACCCCTCAGTGGGAAGTTACAAACATTAAATACCAGAAATTACGTGTATTATATTTACAATAATGTGCCAATATCTATCCCTGTTTGCCAGGGTCTAAAATGCTTCTGAGCAAGCCTGGAACCTCTAAAAATGTCTGAGGGATGTTTTGGGTTCTGACAAGAAAGTTAGAAAGTGTCGGAATTTGTGGTATTGATGATCCAAAAATTGTAGAAAGTCTCTGTTTTTCTGCCCTGTTGCCAAAAAAGAAACCATAATTTGTTTGTGCTGTTTTCAATGTTGTTTATTTTTGCTTATCTATAATAAATTCTGCTGCCCTGCCACAGCTCTGTCCTGAGCTCTGCCCCTCAGTGGGATGTTACAAACATTAAATACCAGAAATTACGTGTACTATATTTACAATAATGTGCCAATGTAACACCCCTCAGTGGGATGTTACAAACATTAAATACCAGAAATTACAACATTATAAATACCAGAAATTACAAACATTAAATACCAGAAATTACCTGTACTATATTTACAATAATGTGCCAATGTAACACCCCTCAGTGGGATGTTACAAACATTAAATACCAGAAATTAAGTGTATTATATTTACAATAATGTGCCAATATCTATCCCTGTTTGCCAGGGTCTAAAATGCTTCTGAGCAAGCCTGGAACCTCTAAAAATGTCTGAAAAACATTTTGGGTTCTGACAAGAAAGTTAGAAAGTGTCGGAATTTGTGGTATTGATGATCCCAAAATTGTAGAAAGTCTCTGTTTTTCTGCCCTGCTACCATAAAAGAAACCATAATTTGTTTGTGCTGGTTTCAAGGTTGTTTATTTTTGCTTATCTATAATAAATTCTGCTGCCCTGCTGCAGGTCTGTCCTGAGCTCTGCCCTCAGTGGGATGTTACAAACATTAAATACCAGAAATTACAACATTATAAATACCAGAAATTACAAACATTAAATACCAGAAATTACGTGTACTATATTTACAATAATGTGCCAATGTAACACCCCTCAGTGGGATGTTACAAACATTAAATACCAGAAATTACCTGTACTATATTTACAATAATGTGCCAATATCTATCCCTGTTTGCCAGGGTCTAAAATGCTTCTGAGCAAGCCTGGAACCTCTAAAAATGTCTGAGGGATGTTTTGGGTTCTGACAAGAAAGTTAGAAAGTGTCGGAATTTGTGGTATTGATGATCCCAAAATTGTAGAAAATCTCTGTTTTTCTGCCCTGCTGCCAAAAAGAAGCAATAATTCATCTGTGCTGTTTCAAGGTTGTTTATTTTTGCTTATCTATAATAAATTCTGCTGCCCTGCTGCAGGTCTGTCCTGAGCTCTGCCCTCAGTGGGATGTTAAAAACATTAAATACCAGAAATTAAGTGTATTATATTTACAATAATGTGCCAATATCTATCCCTGTTTGCCAGGGTCTAAAATGCTTCTGAGCAAGCCTGGAACCTCTAAAAATGTCTGAGGGATGTTTTGGGTTCTGACAAGAAAGTTAGAAAGTGTCGGAATTTGTGGTATTGATGATCCCAAAATTGTAGAAAGTCTCTGTATTTCTGCCCTGCTGCCAAAAAATAAGCAATAATTCATCTATGCTGTTTTCAAGGTTGTTTATTTTTGCTTATCTATAATAAATTCTGCTGCCCTGCCACAGCTCTGTCCTGCAGGTCTGTCCTGAGCTCTGCCCTCAGTGGGATGTTAAAAACATTAAATACCAGAAATTAAGTGTATTATATTCACAATAATGTGCCAATGTAACACCCCTCAGTGGGATGTTACAAACATTAAATACCCGAAATTACAACATTATAAATACCAGAAATTACAAACATTAAATACCAGAAATTACCTGTACTATATTCACAATAATGTGCCAATGTAACACCCCTCAGTGGGATGTTACAAACATTAAATACCCAAAATTACGTGTATTATATTTACAATAATGTGCCAATGTAACACCCCTCAGTGGGATGTTACAAACATTAAATACCAGAAATTACCTGTGCTATATTTACAATAATGTGCCAATGTAACACCCCTCAGTGGGATGTTACAAACATTAAATACCAGAAATTACAACATTATAAATACCAGAAATTACAAACATTAAATACCAGAAATTACCTGTGCTATATTTACAATAATGTGCCAATATAACACCCCTCAGTGGGATGTTACAAACATTAAATACCAGAAATTACAACATTATAAATACCAGAAATTACAAACATTAAATACCAGAAATTACCTGTACTATATTTACAATAATGTGCCAATATAAATAACATCCTCAGTGGGATGTTACAAACATTAAATACCAGAAATTAAGTGTATTATATTCACAATAATGTGCCAATATAACACCCCTCAGTGGGATGTTACAAACATTAAATACCCGAAATTACGTGTACTATATTTACAATAATGTGCCAATATCTATTATCTAATTTAAACACTGTGTCCCCAGCCTAATCCAATAAAAAAATACCAACATCACCAAGAACATGGAGGTGAGGAAGAAGAAGGAGGAGGAAGAAAAGGATCAGGTCCACTTTCCTCCATCTTAGAACTCCTGACCCCCCTGTACAAAATAAAACTCCCTGTACAGGTGTTAAAATTACAATACTAAAAAATTACAATACTAAAAAATTACAATACTAAAAAATTACAATACTAAAAAAATACAATACTAAAAAATTACAATACTAAAAAATTACAATACTAAAAAATTTTTCCCTCTAATTTGTGACTATTTTTACTATATTATCTAACTTTCTATGCTTATTCCACCTTTAAAGTTGGTAATTAATGGTTCAAACTCAAAATTACAGCTGTTTTCTGCTCTTGCCAGGGTTTAAAATGCTTCTAACCAAGGCCTGGAACCTCTAAAAATGTCTAAAAATGTCTAAAAATGTCTAAAAATGTCTAAAAATGAGGGACATTTTGGGTTCTGACACACTGGGATCGTTATCCCACTGCGTGGGCTGATCCCAAAATTTGTCCCAAAACAAAAAAAAGGATCCAGGTGAGGCAGGGTCAATTTTGGAGAGGCCCCACAGAGCCCCAGCCTGGAAATTCTGACTTAAACGCTTGGAAAAGGGAGTTTTGAGCCTGTGTTCCCCCAAATCCCGGGAAATTCCCACATTTGGGAATTTGGGAAGTCACAGCCCCAAATTCCAGCCAAAATCCTGGAAAACAGAGGTTTTGTCCCAATCCTGAGGGCCTCACCTGTGTCGTTCTCCAGCTCGAAACGCAGATTTTCTGTGGGAAGAGAAAAAAGGAATTAAATCCCAAAACTACCCAAACCATTTTTTTGGAATTAGGAATTATTAAGTATTATTAGGAAGTATTAAGGAATGATCCCTACTCCACATTTCCACCCTCAAATCCCCAAAAAAATCACTTTTCCACCTCTTCCCCAAGCGCAGGTTTTCTGTGGGAAGAAAAAAAGGAATTAAATCCCAAAACTACCCAAACCATTTTTTTGGAATTAGGAATTATTAAGTATTATTAGGAAGTATTAAGGAATGATCCCAACTCCACATTTCCACCCTCAAATCCCAAAAAAATCACTTTTCCACCTCTTCCCCAAGCGCAGGTTTTCTGCGGGAAGAGAAGGGAGGAATTAAATCCCAAAACTACCCAAACCATTTTTTTGGAATTAGGAATTATTAAGTATTATTAGGAAGTATTAAGGAATGATCCCTACTCCACATTTCCACCCTCAAATCCCAAAAAAATCACTTTTCCACCTCTTCCCCAAGCGCAGGTTTTCTGTGGGAAGAGAAGGAAGGAATTAAATCCCAAAACTACCCAAACCATTTTTTTGGAATTAGGAATTATTAAGTATTATTAGGAATTATTAAGGAATGATCCCTACTCCACATTTCCACCCTCAAATCCCAAAAAAATCACTTTTCCACCTTTTATCCACAATGAGACAACGCTCAAACAACTCAGAGTGGGAAAATTAGAGCCCAGCTCCATCCCAGCCCTAATTTTGGTGTTTTTCCATGTGGGAATGTGGCTGGAAAAGCATTTTTATTTTTATTTTTTATTCCCATAAAATAAAAATTTTAAATTCCACCTTTAAATTCCAGCAGCACTTCCTTGAGCACGGCGCTTTTTTGGGAAAAACTCTTCAGTTTCTTCTCCAGCTCGGAAAATCCTGGCTCGGGTTTGAGGAACATCCAACTCTCCGGGCTGCAAAAATATGGGAGTTAGTGACCCAAAATTAAGGAATTTTTAATGGGAATGGGGTAAAATAACCAGTTCCACCCACCATCAGAACCTCAAAATTCACCCAGATCACTCACCTGCTGCCAGCCGGGACGACACCCTGGAAATGGGAAGAAAACCCAAAAAATTCGTTAAAATCGGCATTTTTCCCATCTCAGAAATCTCAAAAACCACCCCAAAATCTGGGAGGATCCCACCAAAGGATTTTTGTCCCCGTAAAAATATCTTTAAATGGAATTTATCAACCCGTTAATAAAATTTTTTTCCCCCCACAATAAATTTATTGCCCCGATAAATAAATAAATAAATAAATAAATAAATAAATAAATAAATAAATAAATAAATAAATATTTTGACCCATAAATGGAAATTCTCGACTAGATAAATGGAACTTTTTCCACCCCATAAACAGGACTTTTTTGTCCACATAATCAGGACTTTTTTTGTCCCCTAAAAGGTATCTTTGTATCTATAAATGGAATTTTTCACCCCGTTAATAAAACTTTTTTCCCCCCAATAAATAAATAAATATTTTGACCTATAAATGGAAATTCTCGCCTGGATAAATAGAACTTTTTGGAACTTTTTCCACCCCACAAACAGGACATTTTTGTCCCCACAAACCGAACTTTTTTGTCCCCATAATCCGGACATTTTTATCCCCACAAACGCTATTTTCAACCCCATATATCGGTTTTTCTCCCTATTTTTGCCCAAAATTCGGGAATTCCGAGTGTCCCACCTCGCCAGGCGCGTTCCCCGTCCCGCCGTCCCCTCCCTGCTCCGCCAGGAGTTTGTCCAGCCCCCACATCACGACATTTTTACCTCCACAAACGCTATTTTCAACCCCATATATCGGTTTTTTTCCCTATTTTTGCCCAAAATCCGGGATTTCTGTGCCCATAAACGGGAATTCCGAGTTCCCACCTCTCCAGGCGCGTTCCCCGTCCCGCCGTCCCCTCCCTGCTCCGCCAGGAGTTTGTCCAGCCCCCACAATCACGACATTTTTACCCCCACAAACGCTATTTTCAACCCCATATATCGGTTTTTTTTCCCTATTTTTGCCCAAAATTCGGGATTTCCGCTCCCTTTATCGGGAATTCCGAGTTCTCACCTCGCCAGGCGCGTTCCCCGTCCCGCCGTCCCCTCCCTGCTCCGCCAGGAGTTTGTCCAGCCCCCACAATCACGACATTTTTACCCCCACAAACGCTATTTTCAACCCCATATATCGGTTTTTTTTCCCTATTTTTGCCCAAAATCCGGGATTTCTGTGCCCATAAATGGGAATTCCGAGTGTCCTCACCTCGCCAGACGCGTTCCCCGTCCCGCCGTCCCCTCCCTGCTCCGCCAGGAGTTTGTCCAGCCCCCACAATCACGACATTTTTACCCCCACAAACGCTATTTTCAACCCCATATATAGATTTTTTTCCCCATTTTTGCCCAAAATTCGGGAATTCCGAGTTCCCACCTCGCCAGGCGCGTTCCCCGTCCCGCCGTCCCCTCCCTGCTCCGCCAGGAGTTTGTCCAGCCCCCACAATCACGACATTTTTATCCCCAAAAACGCTATTTTCAACCCCATATATAGATTTTTCTCCCTATTTTTGCCCAAAATCCGGGATTTCCGCTCCCGTTATCGGGAATTCCGAGTTCCCACCTCGCCAGGCGCGTTCCCCGTCCCGCCGTCCCCTCCCTGCTCCGCCAGGAGTTTGTCCAGCCCCCACAATCACGACATTTTTATCCCCACAAACGACATTTTCAACCCCATATATAGGTTTTTCTCCCTATTTTTACCCAAAATTCGGGATTTTTGTGCCCAAAATTCGGGAATTCCGAGTCCCCACCTCGCCAGGGTCGTTCCCCGTCCCGCCGTCCCCTCCCTGCTCCACCAGGAGTTTGTCCAGCCCCACAATCACGACATTTTTACCCCCACAAACGAGATTTTCAACCCCATATATCGGTTTTTTTTCCTATTTTTGCCCAAAATTCGGGAATTCCGAGTTCCCACCTCGCCAGGCGCGTTCCCCGTCCCGCTGTCCGCCAGGAGTTTGTCCAGCCGGGCGATGTCCTCGTCCAGCCTGGCCACGCTCTGGTCCCTGCGGCGCCCGATGTTCTTCTCCAGCTCCTCCAGGCGGGACAGGAGGAGCTGCTCCTTCTCCTCCAGGAACTCCTTCAGATCTTTGACCTCTTCCACGATTTTCTGACGCTCCACCTCCGTTTGTTTCTGTAATTCCAGAGGAAAAACCACCTCAAGTGAGAAAATCTCTGCGGGGTGAGATTCCTCACAGGAAATTTATTTATTTATTTATTAAATAAAAAATCAATTAAAATCAATTTATTGATTTATTAAAAAAATATAGATATTGATTTAGTATCAATATCCAGCTGGGACGGATAAAAATCCACCTCAGGGTAGGGAATCCTCACCCTCAAGTGGGAAAATCTCACAGGAAAAGGGGATTGATTTATTAAAAAAATATAGATATTGATTGAGATATAGATAGATATAGATATTGAGGAAAATCCACCTCAGGGCAAGGAATCGTCACCCCCAAGTGGGAAAATCTCACAGGGAAAGGGGAGTGATTTATTAAAAAAATATAGATATTGATTGAGATATAGATAGATATAGATATTGAGGAAAAACCACCTCAGGGGATCCTCACCCCCAAGTGGGAAAATCTCTGCGGGGTGAGATTCCTCACAGGAAATTTATTTATTTATTAAATAAAAAATCAATTAAATTTTTTAAATTTAAATTTTTAAATTTTTTAAATTTTTTAAATTTTTTAAATTTAAATTTAAAAATAATTTATTGATTTATTAAAAAAATATAGATATTGATTGAGATATAGATAGATATAGATATAGATATAGATATAGATATAGATATAGATATAGATATAGATATTGAGGAAAATCCACCTCAGGGTAGGGAATCCTCACCCTCAAGTGAGAAAATCTCTGAGGGATGAGATTCCTCACAGGAAATTTATTTATTTATTAAATAAAAAATCAATTAAATTTTTTAAATTTAAATTTAAATTTTTAATTTTTTTAAATTTTTTAAATTTAAATTTAAAAATAATTTATTGATTTATTAAAAAAATATAGATATTGATTGAGATATAGATAGATATAGATATAGATATAGATATAGATATAGATAGATATAGATATAGATATAGATATAGATATTGAGGAAAATCCACCTCAGGGTAGGGAATCCTCACCCCCAAGTGAGAAAATCTCTGCGGGGTGAGATTCCTCACAGGAAATTTATTTATTTATTAAATAAAAATCAATTAAAATCAATTTTAAAATAAATTAAAATAAAAAATCAATTAAAATCAATTTATTGATTTATTAAAAAAATATAGATATTGATTGAGATATAGATAGATATAGATATAGATATAGATATAGATATAGATATAGATATAGATATAGAGGAAAATCCACCTCAGGGTAGGGAATCCTCACCCCCAAGTGGGAAAATCTCTGAGGGATGAGATTCCTCACAGGAAATTTATTTATTTATTAAATAAAAAATCAATTAAATTTTTTAAATTTAAATTTAAATTTTTAAATTTTTTAAATTTTTTAAATTTAAATTTAAAAATAATTTATTGATTTATTAAAAAAATATAGATATTGATTGAGATATAGATAGATATAGATATAGATATAGATATAGATATATATAGATATAGATATAGATATAGATATAGATATAGAGGAAAATCCACCTCAGGGTAGGGAATCCTCACCCCCAAGTGGGAAAATCTCTGAGGGATGAGATTCCTCACAGGAAATTTATTTATTTATTAAATAAAAAATCAATTAAATTTTTTAAATTTAAATTTAAATTTTTAAATTTTTTAAATTTTTTAAATTTAAATTTAAAAATAATTTATTGATTTATTAAAAAAATATAGATATTGATTGAGATATAGATAGATATAGATATAGATATAGATATAGATATAGATATAGATATAGATATTGAGGAAAATCCACCTCAGGGCAGGGAATCCTCACCCACAAGTGAGAAAATCTCTGAGGGATGAGATTCCTCACAGGAAATTTATTTATTTATTAAATAAAAAATCAATTAAAATCAATTTATTGATTGAGATATAGATAGATATAGATATTGAGGAAAATCCACCTCAGGGGATCCTCACCCTCAAGTGAGAAAATCTCTGCGGGGTGAGATTCCTCACAGGAAATTTATTTATTTATTAAATAAAAAATCAATTAAAATAAATTTTAAAATAAATTAAAATAAAAAATCAATTAAAATCAATTTATTGATTTATTAAAAAAATATAGATATTGATTGAGATATAGATAGATATAGATATTGAGGAAAATCCACCTCAGGGTAGGGAATCCTCACCCCCAAGTGGGAAAATCTCTGAGGGATGAGATTCCCCACAGGAAATTTATTTATTTATTAAATAAAAAATCAATTAAAATCAATTTATTGATTTATTAAAAAAATATAGATATTGATTGAGATATAGATAGATATAGATATTGAGGAAAATCCACCTCAGGGCAGAGAATCCTCACCCCCAAGTGGGAAAATCTCTGAGGGATGAGATTCCTCACAGGAAATTTATTTATTTATTAAATAAAAAATCAATTAAAATAAATTTTAAAATAAATTAAAATAAAAAATCAATTAAAATCAATTTATTGATTTATTAAAAAAATATAGATATTGATTGAGATATAGATAGATATAGATATTGAGGAAAATCCACCTCAGGGTAGGGAATCCTCACCCTCAAGTGGGAAAATCTCTGAGGGATGAGATTCCTCACAGGAAATTTATTTATTTATTAAATAAAAAATCAATTAAATTTTTTAAATTTAAATTTAAATTTTTAAATTTTTTAAATTTTTTAAATTTAAATTTTAAAAATAATTTATTGATTTATTAAAAAAATATAGATATTGATTGAGATATAGATAGATATAGATATAGATATAGATATAGATATAGATATAGATATAGATATAGATATAGATATTGAGGAAAATCCACCTCAGGGCAAGGAATCCTCACCCTCAAGTGGGAAAATCTCTGAGGGATGAGATTCCTCACAGGAAATTTATTTATTTATTAAATAAAAAATCAATTAAATTTTTTAAATTTAAATTTAAATTTTTAAATTTTTTAAATTTTTTAAATTTAAATTTAAAAATAATTTATTGATTTATTAAAAAAATATAGATATTGATTGAGATATAGGTAGATATAGATATAGATATAGATATAGATATTGAGGAAAATCCACCTCAGGGCAGGGAATCCTCACCCCCAAATGGGAAAATCTCTGCGGGGTGAGATTCCTCACAGGAAATTTATTTATTTATTAAATAAAAAATCAATTAAAATCAATTTATTGATTTATTAAAAAAATATAGATATTGATTGAGATATAGATAGATATAGATATTGAGGAAAATCCACCTCAGGGCAGAGAATCCTCACCCACAATTACTCTAATTGTATTCCTATCTTTATATTATTATTAAACTTTTATAATTTTGAAAAAACAAGCTATTGGCGTTTTCACAGTGGACCCAAATTGACCAGAATTTTGGAGATTTTCCCCAACACAACCCAGACCAGTGCGGATCTCACCTGTGCTGGCAGCAATTCCATCCCCATTTTTCTCTCTTTTTATGCTTTTATCTCCTTTTTTTCCCCCTCTCTCACATTTATTATTTTGGCCCCTAATAAAGGCGGATTTGTGGTGATTAAAGTGATGGTTCCCTGCTGGTTTTGTATTTTTGTATTTTTGTATTTTTGTATTTTTGTATTTTTGTATTTTTGTATTTTTGTATTTTTGTATCCCTTTGTTCACAAGGGATTTTTTCATGACTTATTGCCCAAGAGCATCCAAACATCTGTAATTTTTTGCTTTTTATTGCCTTGTAATTCTCCTAACTCTAACCTTTATTACTCTAATTGCATTCCTATCTTTATATTATTATTAAACTTTTATAATTTTGAAAAAACAAGTGATTGGAGTTTTCACAGTGGACCAAAATTTTGGATATTTTCCCCAACACAACCCAGACCAGCGATGATCTCACTGTGCTGGCAGCAATTCCATCCCCATTTTTCTCTCTTTTTATGCTTTTATCTCCTTTTTTTTTCCCCTCTCTCTCACATTTATTATTTTGGCCCCTAATAAAGGCGGATTTGTGGTGATTAAAGTGATGGTTCCCTGCTGGTTTGGTATTTTTGTATTTTTGTATTTTTGTATTTTTGTATTTTTGTATTTTTGCATTTTTGTATTTTTGTATTTTTGTATCCCTTTGTTCACAAGGGATTTTTTAATGACTTATTGCCCAAGAGCATCCAAACATCTGTAATTTTTTTGCTTTTTATTGCCTTGTAATTCTCCTAACTCTAACCTTTATTACTCTAATTGCATTCCTGTTTTTATATTATTATTAAACTTTTATAATTTTGAAAAAACAAGTGATTGGCGTTTTCACAGTGGACCCAAATTGACCAAAATTTTGGATATTTTCCCCAACACAACCCAGACCAGCGAGGATCTCACTGTGCTGGCAGCAATTCCATCCCCATTTTTCTCTCTTTTTATGCTTTTATCTCCTTTTTTTTCCCCTCTCTCACACATTTACTATTTTGGCCCCTAAAAAGGCGGATTTGTGGTGATTAAAGTGATGGTTCCCTGCTGGTTTGGTATTTTTGTATTTTTGTATTTTTGTATTTTTGTATTTTTGTATTTTTGTATTTATGTATTTTTGTATTTTTGTATTTTTGCATTTTTGTATTTTTGTATTTTTGTATCCCTTTGTTCACAAGGGATTTTTTCATGACTTATTGCCCAAGAGCATCCAAACATCTGTAATTTTTTGCTTTTTATTGCCTTGTAATTCTCCTAACTCTAACCTTTATTACTCTAATTGTATTCCTATTTTTATATTATTATTAAAATTTTTATTAATTTTATTATTAAATATTTTAATTAAATATTAAATAATTTTATTATTAAAATATTTTTGGCACTCACCAGCAGCTCCTGGCTCTGCCGCTCCCGCTCAGCTTTGGCCTCTTCACGTCCTTTCCTCAGGGAGCTCAAATGCTCCTGGGGCACCTCCTGAAATCACAACAACACAAACTTTGGGAATTCTTCACTTTTAAATGACTAAATTTACCAAATCTGGGTTTATTTGGGTTTATTTCGGGAGCTGGAACCAGCAGCTGCCCTTAAAAACATCAAAATTCACCCCCAACCAGCCCAAAAAAATGAAAAAAAAAAGGAATTATTTAATTTTAAACAATTCCCCTGTCCTCCTCCCAGCATTACCTCCCAGATTTCTCCTCCTCAAGGTGCCCCAAAATTGGGTTGGACCCCCCACAACAGGAGGAACTGCTGCCTCCGAACTGCTCATTAAATTATTAATTATTAATTAATTAAACTCAGCCTTATTGAAGTGGTTTGACCTCCATGGAGGGCCATACCCTGCAAACAGCAGCTAGCCCTGGGGGCAAATAAATCAAGTTATTTTATAATTAAAACCCTAAATACAAGCATTTTGACTTGTTAAGAGACAGAAGTTGCTGATTTTGGAATTTATCCATAAGATTAAAGCAAAAAAAAAAATAAAAGAGAGAAGGGAGGAGCTCAGCAACAACTGATTATCAAACAGTCATAAAAGTAAATTAATGAGGGGGAAAAAAAAACCCAAAGCAGCAAAAATCTGGATCTACCTAAGGGCGTTTGTGTCTTTTAAAATAAAGGAAAAAATCCCAAATTTGGGGCGGGGGGACAGCGCTAGCATCCCCGGAAGAGGAACCACAACAGTTCCGGGAGAAAATCCCCCTTTAAAAGGATTTAATGAGCACAATAATTAATGCGTGGTGGTTAATGATGATTAACAAATCCCCGTCAGACCCGTTGGAATTCCATAAATCCGTGATTGTGATCAGACCCGCTGGAATTTTCCATAAATCCCCGATCGTGATCAGACCCGCTGGAATTCCATAAATCCATGATCATGATCAGATCCACTGGAATTCCAGACCCCCTGATTGCGATCAGACCCGCTGGAATTCCATAATTCCCTGATCACGATCAGACCCGCTGGAATTCCATAAAAATTCCATAAATCCCCGATCGCGATCAGACCCGCTGGAATTCCATAAATCCCCGATCGCGATCAGACCCGCTGGAATTCCATAAATCCCCGATCGCGATCAGACCCGCTGGAATTCCATAAATCCCTGATCACGATAATTCCCTGATCACGATCAGACCCGTTGGAATTCCATAAATCCCCGATCGCGATCAGACCCGCTGGAATTCCATAATTCCCCGATCGCCATCAGACCCGCTGGAATTTTCCATAAATCTCTGATCGTGATCAGACCCGTTGGAATTCCATAAATCCGTGATCGTGATCAGACCCGTTGGAATTCCATAAATCCCCGATCGTGATCAGACCCGTTGGAATTTTCCATAAATCCCCGATCGTGATCAGACCCGTTGGAATTCCATAATTCCCTGATCACGATAATTCCCTAATCGCAAACAGACCCGCTGGAATTTTCTGTAACTCCCTGATCGCCATCAGACCTGCTGGAATTCCATAAATCCATGATCGTGATCAGACCCGTTGGAATTCTCCGTAACTCCCTGATCACGATCAGACCCGCTGGAATTCCATAAATCCCTGATCACGATAATTCCCTGATCGTGATCAGACCCGCTGGAATTCCATAAATCCCCGATCGCGATCAGACCCGCTGGAATTCCATAAATCCGTGATCGTGATCAGACCCGCTGGAATTCCATAAATCCGTGATCGTGATCAGATCCGCTGGAATTCCATAAATCCCCGATCGTGATCAGATCCGCTGGAATTCCATAAATCCGTGATCGTGATCAGATCCGCTGGAATTCCATAAATCCCCGATCGCGATCAGATCCGCTGGAATTCCATAAATCCGTGATCACGATCAGATCCCCTGGAATTTTCCATAAATCCGTGATCGAGATCAGACCCGCTGGAATTCCATAAATCCCCGATTGTGATCAGACCCGCTGGAATTCCATAAATCCGTGATCGTGATCAGACCCGTTGGAATTCCATAAATCCCTGATCACGATAATTCCCTGATCGTGATCAGACCCGCTGGAATTCCATAAATCCCTGATCACGATAATTCCCTGATCGTGATCAGACCCGCTGGAATTCCATAAATCCGTGATCACGATCAAACCTGCTGGAATTCCATAATTCCCTGATCACGATAATTCCCTGATCGTGATCAGACCCGTTGGAATTCCATAAATCCGTGATCGTGATCAGACCCGTTGGAATTCCATAATTCCCTGATCACGATAATTCCCTGATCGCCATCAGACCCGCTGGAATTCCATAAATCCCTGATCGTGATCAGACCCGCTGGAATTCCATAAATCCGTGATCAGACCTGCTGGAATTTTCCGTAACTCCCTGATCGCGATCAGACCCGCTGGAATTCAATCCATAAATCCCCGATCGCGATCAGACCCGCTGGAATTCAATCCATAAATCCGTGATCGCGATCAGACCCGCTGGAATTCCATAATTCCCTGATCACGATAATTCCCTGATTGCGATCAGACCCGCTGGAATTCCATAAATCTGTGTTTTGGGGTGATTCAGGTTTTTCTGTGCCCCCCAATTCTGGAAGCATTTGGGGAGGGGATCCAGTATCCTCCCAGTTCAAACCAGTTCGAGCTGTCATTACAAAAACTGGTGTTTACTGCACCTTACCCCGGTTTTTCTGCATTTTGGGGTGATCCAGGTTGTTCTGCACCCCCAATTCTGGAAGCAGTTGGGGAGGTGATCCAGTATCCTCCCAGTTCAAACCAGTTCGAGTTGGCACTACAAAAACTGCTGCTTACTGCACCTTACCCTGGTTTTTCTGCATTTTGGGGTGATTCAGGTCGTTCTGCACCCCCAATTCTGGAAGCAACTGGGGAGGGGGTCCAGTATTCTCCCAGTTCAAACCAGTTCGAGCTGGCACTACAAAAACTGCTGTTTACCCCCATTTTTTCTGCATTTTGGGGTGATTCAGGTTTTTCTGTGCCCCCCAATTCTGGAAGCAGTTGGGGAGGGGATCCAGTATCCTCCCAGTTTAAACCAGTTCGAACTGGCACTACAAAAACTGCAGTTTAAACCCTGGGATATCCAAGTTTTGGGGTGATTCAGGTCATTCTGCACCCCCAATTCTGGAATCAACTGGGGAGGGGATCCAGTATCCTCCCAGTTCAAACCAGTTTAATCTGGCACTACAAAAACTGCTGTTTACTGCACCTTATCCCGGTTTTTTCACATTTTGGGGTGATTCTGGTTGTTCTGCACCCCCAATTCTGGAATCAGTGCCCCCCAATTCTGGAAGCAGTTGGGGAGGGGATCCAGTATCCTCCCAGTTCAAACCAGTTCGAGCTGGCACTACAAAAACGGCAGTTTAAACCCTGGGTTATCCCTGTTTTGGGGTGATTCAGGTCATTCTGCACCCCCAATTCTGGAATCAGAGCCCCCCAATTCTGGAAGCAACTGGGGAGGGGATCCAGTATTCTCCCAGTTCAAACCAGTTCGAGCTGGCACTACAAAAACTGCAGTTTAAACCCCGGGATATCCAAGTTTTGGGGTGATTTAGGTCATTCTGCACCCCCAATTCTGGAAGCAGTTGGGGAGGGGATCCAGTATCCTCCCAGTTCAAACCAGTTCGAGCTGGCACTACAAAAACTGCAGTTTAAACCCTGGGTTATCCCAGTTTTGGGGTGATTCAGGTTGTTCTGCACCCCCAATTCTGGAAGCAACTGGGGAGGGGATCCAGTATCCTCCCAGTTCAACCCAGTTCGAGTTGGCACTACAAAAACTGCTGTTTACTGCACCTTACCCCGGTTTTTCTGCATTTTGGGGTGATTCAGGTTGTTCTGCACCCCCAATTCTGGAAGCAGCACCCCCCAATTCTGGAATCAGCGCCCCCCAATTCTGGAAGCAACTGGGGAGGGGATCCAGTATCCTCCCAGTTCAAACCAGTTCGAACTGGCACTACAAAAACTGTTGTTTAAACCCTGAGTTATCCCAAGTTTTGGGGTGATTCAGGTTTTTCTGCACCCCAAATTCTGGAATCAGCACCCCCCAAATTCTGGAAGCAACTGGGGAGGGGATCCAGTATCCTCCCAGTTCAAACCAGTTCGAACTGGCACTACAAAAACTGCAGTTTAAACCCTGTTTTTTTCACTTTTTGGGGTGATTCAGGTCATTCTGCACCCCCAATTCTGGAAGCAGCACCCCCAATTCTGGAAGCAGTTGGGGAGGGGATCCAGTATCCTCCCAGTTCAAACCAGTTCGATCTGGCACTACAAAAACTGCAGTTTAAACCCCGGGATATCCAAATTTTGGGGTGATTCAGGTCATTCTGCACCCCCAATTCTGGAATCAACTGGGGAGGGGATCCAGTATCCTCCCAGTTCAAACCAGTTCGAGCTGGCACTACAAAAACTGCAGTTTAAACCCTGGGTTATCCCTGTTTTGGGGTGATTCAGGTTTTTCTGTGCCCCCAATTCTGGAAGCAATTGGGGAGGGGATCCAGTATCCTCCCAGTTCAAACCAGTTCGAGCTGGCACTACAAAAACTGCAGTTTAAACCCTGAGTTATCCCAGTTTTGGGGTGATTCAGGTTGTTCTGCACCCCCAAATTCTGGAAGCAGTTGGGGAGGGGATCCAGTATTCTCCCAGTTCAAACCAGTTCGAGCTGGCACTACAAAAACTGCAGTTTAAACCCCAGGATATCCAAGTTTTGGGGTGATTCAGGTTTTTCTGCACCCCCAATTCTGGAAGCAGTTGGGGAGGGGATCCAGTATCCTCCCAGTTCAAACCAGTTCGAGCTGGCACTACAAAACCTGCTGTTTACCCCCGGTTTTTCTGCATTTTGGGGTGATTCAGGTTGTTCTGCACCCCCAATTCTGGAATCAGCACCCCCCAATTCTGGAAGCATTTGGGGAGGGGATCCAGTATCCTCCCAGTTCAAACCAGTTCGATTTGGCACTACAAAAACTGTTGTTTACCCCTGGGTTATCCAAGTTTTGGGGTGATTCAGGTTGTTCTGCACCCCCAATTCTGGAATCAGCGCCCCCCAAATTCTGGAAGCAACTGGGGAGGGGATCCAGTATCCTCCCAGTTCAAACCAGTTCAAGCTGGCACTACAAAAACTGCAGTTTAAACCCCGGGATATCCCTGTTTTGGGGTGATTCAGGTTGTTCTGCACCCCCAATTCTGGAAGCAGTTGGGGAGGGGATCCAGTATCCTCCCAGTTCAAACCAGTTTGAGCTGGCACTACAAAAACTGCTGTTTACTGCACCTTACCCCGTTTTTTCTGCATTTTGGGGTGATTCAGGTTGTTTTGCACCCCCAATTCTGGAATCAGCACCCCCCAATTCTGGAAGCAACTGGAGAGGTGATCCAGTATCCTCCCAGTTCAAACCAGTTTGAGCTGGCACTACAAAAACTGCAGTTTAAACCCTGAGTTATCCCAAGTTTTGGGGTGATTCAGGTTGTTCTGCACCCCCAATTTTGGAAGCAGCGCCCCCCAAATTCTGGAAGCAACTGGGGAGGGGATCCAGTATCCTCCCAGTTCAAACCAGTTCGATCTGGCACTACAAAAACTGCAGTTTAAACCCTGAGTTATCCCAAGTTTTGGAGTGATTCAGGTTGTTCTGCACCCCCAATTCTGGAAGCAGTTGGGGAGGGGATCCAGTATCCTCCCAGTTCAAACCAGTTCGAGTTGGCACTACAAAAACTGCTGTTTACTGCACCTTACCCCGGTTTTTCCACATTTTGGGGTGATTCAGGTCGTTCTGCACCCCCAATTCTGGAAGCAGCACCCCGAAATTCTGGAAGCAACTGGGGAGGGGACCCAGTATCCTCCCAGTTCAAACCAGTTCGAGCTGGCACTACAAAAACTGCAGTTTAAACCCCAGGATATCCAAGTTTTGGGGTGATTCAGGTTGTTCTGCACCCCAAATTCGGGAATCAGAGCCCCCCAATTCTGGAATCAACTGGGGAGGGGATCCAGTATCCTCCCAGTTCAAACCAGTTCGATCTGGCACTACAAAAACTGCAGTTTAAACCCTGTTTTTTTCACGTTTTGGGGTGATTCAGGTCGTTCTGCACCCCAAATTCGGGAATCAGCGCCCCCCAATTCTGGAAGCAGTTGGGGAGGGGATCCAGTATCCTCCCAGTTCAAACCAGTTCGAGCTGGCACTACAAAAACTGCAGTTTAAACCCCGGGATATCCAAGTTTTGGGGTGATTCAGGTTTTTCTGTGCCCCCCAATTCTGGAAGCATTTGGGGAGGGGACCCAGTATCCTCCCAGTTCAAACCAGTTCGAGCTGGCACTACAAAAACTGCAGTTTAAACCCTGTTTTTTTTCACATTTTGGGGTGATTCAGGTTGTTCTGCACCCCCAATTCTGGAAGCAGCACCCCCAAATTCTGGAATCAACTGGGGAGGGGATCCAGTATCCTCCCAGTTCAAACCAGTTCAAACTGGCACTACAAAAACTGCTGCTTACTGCACCTTATCCCGGTTTTTCTGAATTTTGGGGTGATTCAGGTTGTTCTGCACCCCCAATTCTGGAATCAGCACCCCCCAAATTCTGGAAGCAACTGGGGAGGGGATCCAGTATCCTCCCAGTTCAAACCAGTTCGAACTGGCACTACAAAAACTGCTGTTTACTGCACCTTACCCCGTTTTTTCTGCATTTTGGGGTGATTCAGGTTGTTCTGCACCCCCAATTTTGGAAGCAGTTGGGGAGGGGATCCCCCCCTGAGATCCACACAGCCCTTAGTGCACCCCAAAATTGGGGGGCAGGGAACTGGGGGCTCATTTCTGTACTCTCCGTGAAACTGGGGGTCCCCAAAAAGCAGAAACCCAAAAGAAACTTGGGGAAACCCAAAAGGCAGAAACCCAAAAGAAACTTGGGGGGTCCAAAAAAAAAAGACCAGGGATGTGGTCCATTTCTTAGGGGGGATACTGCACCCCAAAAATAAAAAAGACCAGGGATGAGATCCATTTCTTAGGGAGGGGATGCTGCACCCCAAAAATAAAATGTGATCTCCAAAAAAAAAAGACCAGGGATGGGGTCCCTTTCTTAGGACAAGGGATGTGGTCCATCTCTTAGGGGTGATGCTGAACCCCCAAAAAAAATGTGATCTCCAAAAAAAAAGACCAGGGATGGGGTCCATTTCTTAGGGGGGGATGCTGCACCCCAAAAATAAAAAAAAGACCAGGGATGGGGTCCCTTTCTTAGGACAAGGGATGGGGTCCATTTCTTAGGGGGCAATGCTGCACCCCAAAAATAAAAAAAAAAGACCAGGGATGAGATCCATTTCTTAGGGGGGATGCTGCACCCTAAAAAAAAAAAAAAGACCAGGGATGGGGTCCATTTCTTAGGACAAGGGATGGGGTCCATTTCTTAGGGGGGGATGCTGCACCCCAAAAAAACTGTAATCCCCCCCAAAAAAAGAGGGATGGGATCCTCGCTGCTAAGAAACACCCCGAGGTGTTTTTTTTCTCCCTCTCAGGGAATGTGTCTCGATACCCCACGATCCCCCCAGCCGGAAAAAGGGACTATTCTCCTTTTCCCCACGCCAATAGCGGGGGGGGCACTGACCTCGGCGGCGTGGGCGGCCTCCTCGGCGGGCAGCACGGTGTGGGCCCGGTGCTCCCGGGACAAGTGGCACACCACGCACACGGCCCGCCGGTCCTGCACGCAGTAAAGCCGCAGCGGTTCCCCGTGCCGCGGACACCGGGAGGGCCCTGAGGGCACCGGAGCGGCGGGAAGCGGCGGTGAAGCAGCGGGAGGTGGTTCAGCATTACCGGGAGGTAATCCCAGCTGGCGGACGATGTGAACGATGTTACCCAGAGAGCGGTTAGGGCGGAAAAGGCGCTGCGGGACCGGTTCTCGGCATTGCGGGCAGCAAAGGCGGCGTGCGGAGTCTTCCCAGCATTGAGTAACGCAGGCGCGGCAGAAGTTGTGGCCGCACTCCGCCACCAGCACAGGGTCGTTGAAGTATTCCAAACACACCGGGCACGTCAGCTCGTCCTGCAGGCTGCGAGCGGCGCTGCACGGCGCTGGAGGAGCGGCGGGAGGAGCGGGTGGAGCCTCCATAGCGGCAGCGGGGCCGGGGGTGGCTCGGAGGTCGGGGCCGGTCCCGGTCGTGGCGCCGGTGAGGATAAGGAGGCCTTAATAATAAAAAAAAATAAATAAAAAATCCGCGCGGCCCGTCCGTCCCGCACGGCGCCGCCGCCCGACTGAGGGCTGAGGGGAGGGAAAAAAGGCGGGAGAAAAGGCGGGACGGCGCATGCGCGGAAAGGAGAAAGGGGCGTGGTTTCGCTGCATATCATTAAGTGGGCGTGGTCAACGCGCGGCTCTATATAAAGGGAGCGGAAAGGGGGCGTGGCTACGGGTGGGGGGTGCAGTAAGGGGCGTGGCTATGAGTGGGGGGGTGCAGCCGCGCATGCGCAGAACGAGAGGCGCTTGAGTGGGGGGGGCGATACCCCTGAGACCCCATAAGGCCCTAAGGGTTAAAAATGACCAAATTTTAACCCCTAAAAAGGCGTTCCTCCAATATTTGAGGAACGTTTCTGTGAAAAACGCGTATTTTATCATTGGCTTTTGGCAAATATCGCAATGCATATCGTGTGTGTGATGTTAGAAAGTGATGCTGTATTAATTCTCTTAAGTAGGGTGTTAAATATAATTTTAGGTTCCAGCATAAGGTTAAAATAGAGATTATGTATGTGGAGGGGAGTTTGGTTTTTTTTAGGAATGGGATACTGGCTTCGAGGAACACCTAAATCTTCCAGAGAAAATGAATTTATGGTTTTCTTATCAGAAGAAGAAAATTTCTTCAGGCCTTGCTCAGACTCCTTGGGGATTAAAGGAAACAGTTGACATCCAAGAGAGTTCTTGTTTTAAATAAAAAAAAAATGCATAACCATGAGGAATATATGAATATGCAACAGGCTATTTCTTTTAAGGTTATTCCTTTGTTCACAAGGGATGCTTTTTGTGACTTAGTGTCCAAGAGCATCCAAACATCCGCAATTCTTTGCTTTTTATTGCCTTGTAATTGTCCTAACTCTAAATTTTTATTACACTAATTATATTACTATTTTTATAACCATTTCATTATTATTAAACTTTTTCACAGCATCAGCTTCTCTGCCGTGTCCTCACCACTGTTAAAAATCCCCTCCAGGAAGGTGAACTCAGGGATAAAAAAATTACTCAAAAACCACTTTTAAACCAACATCAGCCCTTTCCTAGGGGATTTAGGGATTTACATCCCTACTGGGAGCAATCCCTCCTCCACGAAACAGATGGAGAGGAGAAAACAGCAGCATTTATTTGATTTCATTTACGTTTTTCTGCTTTTATTTACGTTTCCCCGCTGCTGTCCGGGATGAGAGCGGAGCTGCCCTTTTCCGAAATGGCGGCCTCGCCTTCAGGGAAGGACGCGAGGTAAAATGGCGGCGGCCTCCTCCTCCCCATTGCCGCGCTGCGCTGCTCAGCTCAAGATGGCGCCTGAACGTGACGCCCCGGCCGCCATCTTGGATGAGGTCACCCAGCCACCATTGCCCTGTCGTGGGGAAATTTTGGCTTCCAAACCCCTCACGGGGGTTTTTAGTAAATTTTGGGGGTTGTTGATTTATGTCGCGACATGTCGCCTTGATAAAAAACTCCGTTTTTTGCCTTTTTTCTTGCTGCGAAGGGTCATGGCGGCCGCCGTAATGGCGGCGTCCCGCCTTTCCCCTCAGCCCTCACGGTTAAAAAAAATCCTCACTCCGAATTTAGCCCCCCACTAAAAAAAGTGACTCAAAACCACTTTTTCCTTTTTTTTCCCTTTTTCCTTTCTTTTTTTCCCCCTTTTTTTAAAATTATTTTTTTAATTTTATTTTTTTTTTTAGGAAAAAAACACCAACAGCCACCAGGACAGTAAAAAACATTTTTTTTCACTGAATAAAGTGGTTTTTTTAAAAATTTCCACCCACACCCGCAGCTTTTGCCACCAGAAGGCCTCGGTCATTGCGCAAAACATTTTTCTGCCTTTTCCCCCCACCCCTCCTTGTTTTTTTTAATTTTATTTATTTATTTTTTTAATTAATTCCTTCTTCCATTTTTAACTCATCTCGCTTAAGGCTGTGGGAGGGACCCGGTTCATCCAATCCCCACTTTTTTGGGGGGAAAAAAAGGGTTTTTTTGGGAAAAATAAAGGTGTGGGGTTTTTTGCCAACAGCGTCTCAAGAAATTCGGGTTGGGATGTGGGAAAAAAAGGCCAAAAATTGGGTTTTTTTTCCCATTCCCTTTTTTCCCTTCTCCATCCTCCTCTCAAGGTCCAGGATTTCCCAATTTCCAGTTCCAGGGAAGGGGGAAAATGATAAAAAATTATTAAAAATGATTAAAACACTCCCCCCTCCTCTAAGTCCACCCCTTTATTTTCATTTATTTTAGCAGGATGGCAAAAAACTGGATTTTCCCATCCAAACTCGATTTTCACACCAGAACATGGATTTTCCCATCACAAACTGGATTTTCCCATCACAAATTGGATTTTCCAATCAGAACTGGATTTTCTCATCCGAACCTGGATTTTCTCATCCAAACCTGGATTTTCCCATCCGAACCAGGATTTTCCCATCACAAATTGGATTTTCCAATCAGAACTGGATTTTCCCATCCAAACTGGATTTTCGCACCAGAAATGGATTTTCACACCAGAACTGGATTTCCACATCCAAACCTGGATTTTCACACCAGAAATGGATTTTCCCATCACAAACTGGATTTTCCCATCACAAACTGGATTTTCCCATCACAAATTGGATTTTCCCATCACAAATTGGATTTTCCCATCAGAACCTGGATTTTCACACCAGAACATGGATTTTCCCATCACAAACTGGATTTTCCCATCACAAATTGGATTTTCACATCACAAATTGGATTTTCACACCAGAACTGGATTTTCACATCACAAACTGGATTTTCACACCAAAACCGGGATTTTCCCATCCAAACTGTATTTTCACACCAGAACATGGATTTTCCCATCACAAACTGGATTTTCCCATCACAAATTGGATTTTCACACCAGAACCGGGATATTCCCATCACAAACTGGATTTTTCCATCACAAACTGGATTTTCACACCAGAAATGGATTTTCACACCAGAACTGGATTTTCTCATCACAAACTGGATTTTCCCATCACAAATTGGATTTTCTCATCCAAACTGGATTTTCCCATCATAAATTGGATTTTCCCATCACAAACTGGATTTTCCCATCACAAATTGGATTTTCACACCAGAACCTGGATTTTCCCATCACAAACTGGATTTTCCCATCACAAACTGGATTTTCCCATCACAAACTGGATTTTCCCATCCAAACTGGATTTTCACACCAGAACTGGATTTTCTCATCCAAACCTGGATTTTCACATCAGAACTTGGATTTCCACATCTGAACCTGGATTTTCACACCAGAACTTGGATTTTCACACCAGAACTGGATTTTCACATCTGAACCTGGATTTTCCCATCACAAACTGGATTTTCCCATCACAAATTGGATTTTCACACCAGAAATGGATTTTCACATCCAAACTGGATTTTCACACCAAAACTGGGATTTTCACACCAAAACCGGGATTTTCCCATCACAAACTGGATTTTCCCATCACAAATTGGATTTTCATACCAGAACTGGATTTTCACACCAGAACATGGATTTTCCCATCACAAACTGGATTTTCCCATCACAAACTGGATTTTCACACCAGAACTGGATTTTCCAATCAGAACTGGATTTTCATACCAGAACATGGATTTTCCAATCAGAAACTGGATTTTCACACCAGAACTGGATTTCCACATCCGAACCTGGATTTTCCCATCACAAATTGGATTTTCACACCAGAAATGGATTTTCACATCCAAACCAGGATTTTCCCATCCAAACTGGATTTTCCCATCCAAACTGGATTTTCACACCAGAAATGGATTTTCTCATCCAAACCTGGATTTTCACATCAGAACTTGGACAAGGGGTGATGGCCCCACAATTTTGGCGTCTTTTGGCGTCCCCAACACAAGTTTTTTGTCATCCATCGGGCGCCATATTCCTTACGGTTCCTCGCTGCCGTGAGCTCCCGGCGCGTCCCCGGCGAGCCGCGACCCGGCAAGGGGTGATGGCCCCAAAATTTTGGCGTCTTTTGGCACGTCCTCAACACAAGTTTTTTGCCATCCATTGGGCGCCATATTCCTTAGGGTTCCTCGCTGCCATGAGCTCCCGGCGCATCCCCGGCAAGGGGTGATGGCCCCACAATTTTGGTGTCCTTTGGCACGCCCCCAACACAAGTTTTTTGCCACCCATTGGGCGCCATATTCCTTACGGTTCCTCCACGACCCGGCAAGGGGTGATGGCCCCACAATTTTGGTGTCTTTTGGCACGCCCCCAACACAAGTTTTTGCCATCCATCGGGCGCCATATTCCTTACGGTTCCTCGCTGCCGTGAGCTCCCGGCGCGTCCCCGACAAGGGGTGATGGCCCCACAATTTTGGTGTCTTTTGGCACGTCCCCAACACAAGTTTTTTGCCATCCATCGGGCGCCATATTCCTTAGGGTTCCTCCGCGACCCAACAAGGGGTGATGGCCCCACAATTTTGGCGTCCTTTGGCACCCCCAACACAAGTTTTTTGCCATCCATCGGGCGCCATATTCCTTACGGTTTCTCGCTGGCGCGTCCCCGGTGAGCCGCGACCCGGCAAGGGGTGATGGCCCCAAAATTTTGGTGTCTTTTGGCGCGTCCCCAACACAAGTTTTTTGCCATCCATCGGGCGCCATATTCCTTACGGTTCCTCGCTGGCGCGTCCCCGGCGAGCCGCGACCCGGCAAGGGGTGATGGCCCCACAATTTTGGTGTCCTTTGGCACGTCCCCAACACAAGTTTTTCGCCATCCATTGGGCGCCATATTCCTTACGGTTCCTCCGCGACCCGGCAATGGGTGATGGCCCCACAATTTTGGCGTCTTTTGGTGCGTCCCCAACACAAGTTTTTTGCCATCCATTGGGCGCCATATTCCTTACGGTTCCTCGCTGCCGTGAGCTCCCGGCGCGTCCCCGACAAGGGGTGATGGCCCCACAATTTTGGCGTCTTTTGGCACGTCCCCAACACAAGTTTTTTGTCATCCATCGGGCGCCATATTCCTTACGGTTCCTCCACGACCCGGCAAGGGGTGATGGCCCCACAATTTTGGCGTCCTTTGGCACGTCCCCAACACAAGTTTTTCGTCATCCAACGGGCGCCATATTCCTTAGGGTTCCTCGCTGCCGTGAGCTCCCGGCGCATCCCCGGCGAGCCGCGACCCGTCCAGCGGCGCAACCCCCCCATTTTTGGGGAGGTGGCTACGGCGATGCTTGGCGAGATGCGACCCCTGGCTGAACGCCTCGCCGCACTCGCCGCATTTAAAAGGTTTCTCGCCGGTGTGGACGCGCCGGTGCCGCTCCAAATGCGACGCCCACGCGAATCCCTTGCCGCAATCGCCGCAGGCGTGGCTCTTGTGCGCGGCGTGGCCGCGCCGGTGCAGCAGGAAGAGCGGCGCCTCGCCAAAACGCTTCCCGCAGTCGCCGCACTTGTAGGGTCTCTCCGGCGAGTGAATCTTGCGGTGCTGCAGCAGATGAACCTTCTGCGTGAAGCGCTCGCCGCAGCTGCCGCAGCCGAAGGGCCGCTCGCCCGTGTGGACGCGCCGGTGCCGCTCCAAATGCGACGCCCACACGAAACCCTTCCCGCAGTCGGCGCAGCGGTGCGACTGCTCCCGGCTGTGGCGCTGCTGGTGCCGCGCCAACGCCGGCCCCGCCCGGAACAACTTCCCGCAGTGGCCGCAGCGCAGCGGCGTCACGCCCAGGTGCGTGCGGCGGTGCCGCGCCAGCTCGGCGCTTTGGCAAAACGTCTTGCCGCAGGCGGCGCAGCGGTGCGGCCGCCGGCCGGCGTGGCTGCGGCGGTGCTTGGCGAGGTGCGAGCCCTGGCTGAACGCCTCGCCGCACTCGGCGCATTTAAAAGGCTTCTCGCCGGTGTGCACGCGGCAGTGCCGCTCCAAATGCGACGCCCACGCAAATCCCTTCCCGCAGTCACCGCATTTGTGCGGTTTGCCGGCGGCGTGACCGCTGGCATGCGCCGCCAGCTCGGCGGCGGCGGCGAAGCGCTTGCCGCAGACGCCGCATCGGTGCGGGCGGTCGCCGGCGTGGGTGCGGCGGTGCTGGCGCAGGTGCGAGCTCTGGCTGTAGGTCTCGCCGCACTCGGCGCAGCCGAACGGCCGCTCGCCCGTGTGGACGCGCCGGTGCCGCTCCAAATGCGACGCCCACGGGAAGCTCTTCCCGCAGTCGGCGCAGCCGAACGGGCGGTGCCGCGACGCTCCCGCACCGCGCGGCGCTTTGGCACAGCAAATTTTAGGGACAACGACGGGTTTTGGCGAAAAATCAGTCACGGTTTTATCCGGGCGCCGCGTTTTGCGCCGGTTGGAGCCGCGGAGTTTCTCTCGCTCCGGGATGTGCGGTGAGCGCGGCGCGAGACCGGCGCCGCTCTCCGACGCGCCTTTCGACGCCGATTTGTCGCTCACCAGCCCCTGAGCTGCTGGGAAAGGGGAAAAAAGCAGGAAAAGGATTGAAAAAATGGAGTAGAAACAGGATTCTCCTTAAAAAATTTGATATTTTCACTCATCATGAAAAACAGAAAAACAGAAAAAAGCAGGAAAAGGTGAAAATGGGATGAGCAGGATTGAAAAAATGGATTTTCCTTAAAAATTTTGATTTTTTAGCTCAAATAGCAACAGGATTCTCCTTAAAAATTTTGATTTTTTTGCTCACCTAGGAACAGGATTCTCCTTAAAAATTTTGATTTTTTGCTCACCTAGCAGCAGAATTCTCCTTAAAAAAATTGATTTTTTCGCTAATCAGTGAAAAACAGGAAAACAGAAAAAAGAGGAAAAGGTGAAAACACAAAGAGCAGGATTGAAAAAATGGAGTAGAAATAGGATTTTCCTTAAAAAAATTGATTTTTTTGCTCCTCAGTGAAAAACAGAAAAAGCAGGAAAAGGTGAAAACGTGATGAGCAGGATTGAAAAAATGGATTCTCCTTAAAAATTTTGATTTTTTAGCTCAAATAGCAACAGAATTCTCCTTAAAAAAATTTATTTTTTCGCTCTGAGCTGCTGAGAAACGGGAAAAAAGCAGGAAAAGGTAAAAACGTGAGGAGCAGGATTGAAAAAATGGATTCTCCTTAAAAATTTTGATTTTTTAGCTCACCTAGTAACAGGATTCTCCTTAAAAATTTTGATTTTTTTGCTCACCTAGCAACAGGATTCTCCTTAAAAAATTTGATTTTTTTGCTCCTCAGTGAAAAACAGAAAAACAGAAAAAAGCAGGAAAAGGTGAAAACGTGAGGAGCAGGATTGAAAAAATGGATTTTCCTTAAAAAATTTGATTTTTTAGCTCACCTAGCAACAGGATTCTCCTTTAAAAAAATAATTTTTAAAAAGTTTGATTTTTCGCTCATCAGCCCCTGAGCTGCTGGGAAAGGGGAAAAAAGCAGGAAAAGGTGAAAATGTGATGAGCAGGATTGAAAAAATGGATTTTCCTTAAAAATTTTGATTTTTTAGCTCAAATAGCAACAGGATTCTCCTTAAAAATTTGATTTTTTAGCTCACCTAGCAACAGGATTCTCCTTAAAAATTTTGATTTTTTAGCTCAAATAGCAGCAGGATTCTCCTTAAAAAATTTGATTTTTATCTCACCTAGCAACAGGATTCTCCTTAAAAAATTTGATTTTTTTAGCTCATCTAGCAGCAGGATTCTCCTTAAAAAAATTCTGATTTTTTAGCTCACCTAGCAACAGGATTCTCCTTAAAAATTTTGATTTTTTTGCTCACCTAGCAACAGGATTCTCCTTAAAAAATTTGATTTTTTAGCTCAAATAGCAACAGAATTCTCCTTAAAAATTTTGATTTTTTAGCTCAAAGAGCAACAGGATTCTCCTTAAAAAATTTGATTTTTTTTCTCACCTAGCAACAGGATTCTCCTTAAAAATTTTGATTTTTTTTGCTCACCTAGCAACAGGATTCTCCTTAAAAAATTTGATTTTTTTTGCTCACTTAGCAACAGGATTCTCCTTAAAAATTTTAATTTTTTTAGCTCAAATAGCAACAAGATTCTTCTTTAAAAATTTGATTTTTTTGCTCACCTAGCAACAGGATTCTCCTTAAAAATTTTGATTTTTTTGCTCAAATAGCAACAGGATTCTCCTTAAAAAATTTGATTTTTTTGCTCATCTAGCAACAGGATTCTCCTTAAAAAAATTTGATTTTTTTTTGCTCACCTAGCAGCAGGATTCTCCTTGAAAATTTGATTTTTTAGCTCACCTTGCAACAGGATTCTCCTTAAAAATTTTGATTTTTTAGCTCAAATAGCAACAGGATTCTCCTTAAAAATTTGATTTTTTTTGCTCACCTAGCAACAGGATTTTCCTTAAAAATTTTGATTTTTTCGCTCTGAGCTGCTGGGAAACAGGAGAAAAGCAGGAAAAGGTGAAAATGTGATGAGCAGGATTGAAAAAATGGATTTTCCTTAAAAATTTAGATTTTTTAGCTCACCTAGCAACAGGATTCTCCTTAAAAATTTTGATTTTTTAGCTCAAATAGCAGCAGGATTCTCCTTAAAAATGTGATTTTTTTGCTCCTCAGTGAAAAACAGAAAAACAGAAAAAAGAGGAAAAGGTGAAAACGTGAGGAGCAGGATTGAAAAAATGGATTCTCCTTAAAAAATTTGATTTTTTAGCTCATCTAGCAACAAAATTCTCCTTAAAAAAATTGATTTTTTTGCTCACCTAGCAACAGGATTCTCCCTAAAAATTTTGATTTTTTAGCTCCTCAGTGAAAAACAGAAAAAGCAGGAAAAGGTGAAAATGTGATGAGCAGGATTGAAAAAATGGATTCTCCTTAAAAATTTTCCCAGCAGCTCAGGGGTGGCTGAGCAAAAAATCTAAATTTTTAAAAATTATTGTTTTTTCACTCTGAAGGGGAAAAAAGCAGGAAAAGGTGAAAACGTGAGGAGCAGGATTGAAAAAATGGAGTAGAAACAGGATTCTCCTTAAAAAATCTGATTTTTTAGCTCACCTAGCAACAGAATTCTCCTTAAAAATTTTGATTTTTTAGCTCACCTAGCAACAGGATTCTCCTTAAAAAATTTGATTTTTTCAGGATTCTCCTTAAAAAATTTTGATTTTTTAGCTCAAAGAGCAACAGCATTCTCCTTAAAAAATTTGATTTTTTTGCTCACCTAGCAACAGGATTCTCCTTAAAAAAATTGATTTTTTAGCTCAAATAGCAGCAGGATTCTCCTTAAAAAAATTGATTTTTTAGCTCAAATAGCAACAGGATTCTCCTTAAAAATTTTTGATTTTTTAGCTCACCTAGCAACAGGATTCTCCTTAAAAAATTTGATTTTTTTTGCTCTCTAAGCAACAGGATTCTCCTTAAAAAATTTTGATTTTTTTTGCTCAAATATCAACAGGATTCTCCTTAAAAAATTTGATTTTTTTTTTGCTCACCTAGCAACAGGATTCTCCTTAAAAAATTTGATTTTTTAGCTCAAATAGCAACAGTATTCTCCTTAAAAATTTTGATTTTTTCAGGATTCTCCTTAAAAAATTTGATTTTTTACCTCACCTAGCAACAGGATTCTCCTTAAAAATTTTGATTTTTTAGCTCAAATAGCAACAGGATTCTCCTTAAAAAAATTGATTTTTTAGCTCAAATAGCAGCAGGATTCTCCTTAAAAAATTTTGATTTTTTTTCTCACCTAGCAACAGGATTCTCCTTAAAAATTTTGATTTTTTTGCTCACCTAGCAACAGAATTCTCCTTAAAAAAATTGATTTTTTTTGCTCACCTAGCAACAGGATTCTCCTTAAAAATTTTGATTTTTTAGCTCACCTAGCAACAGGATTCTCCTTAAAATGTGATTTTTTTGCTCATCAGTGAAAAACAGAAAAACAGAAAAAAGAGGAAAAGGTGAAAACGTGAGGAGCAGGATTGAAAAAATGGATTCTCCTTTAAAATTTTGATATTTTTTTTGCTCACCTAGCAACAGGATTCTCCTTAAAAATTTGATTTTTTAGCTCACCTAGCAACAGGATTCTCCTTAAAAATTTTGATTTTTTCACTCTGAGCTGCTGGGAAAGGGGAAAAAAAGCAGGAAAAGGTGAAAATGTGATGAGCAGGATTGAAAAAATGGATTTTCCTTAAAAATTTTGATTTTTTAGCTCACCTAGCAACAGGATTCTCCTTAAAAAATTTAAATTTTTAGCTCCTCAGTGAAAAACAGAAAAAGCAGGAAAAGGTGAAAATGTGAGGAGCAGGATTGAAAAAATGGAGTAGAAACAGGATTCTCCTTAAAAAATTTTGATTTTTTTGCTCACCTAGCAGCAGGATTCTCCTTAAAAATGTGATTTTTTCGCTCATCAGTGAAAAACAGAAAAACAGAAAAAAGCAGGAAAAGGTGAAAACACGATGAGCAGGATTGAAAAAATGGAGTAGAAACAGGATTCTCCTTAAAAAAATTTGATTTTTTCGCTCCTCAGTGAAAAACAGAAAAAAGCAGGAAAAGGTAAAAATGTGATGAGCAGGATTGAAAAAATGGATTCTCCTTAAAAATTTTGATTTTTTAGCTCACCTAGCAACAGGATTCTCCTTTAAAAAAATAATTTTTAAAAATTTTGATTTTTCGCTCATCAGCCCCTGAGCTGCTGGGAAAGGGGAAAAAAGCAGGAAAAGATGAAAACGTGAGGAGCAGGATTGAAAAAATGGATTTTCCTTAAAAATTTTGATTTTTTAGCTCACCTAGCAACAGGATTCTCCTTTAAAAAAATAATTTTTAAAAATTTTGATTTTTCGCTCACCAGCCCCTGAGCTGCTGGGAAAGGGGAAAAAAGCAGGAAAAGGTGAAAACACAAAGAGCAGGATTGAAAAAATGGATTTTCCTTAAAAATTTTGATTTTTTTGCTCAAATAGCAACAGGATTCTCCTTTAAAAATTTGATTTTTTTTGCTCACCTAAAAACAGGATTCTCCTTAAAAAAATCTGATTTTTCGCTCAGCTGCCCCTGAGCTGCTGAGAAACGGGAAAAAAGCAGGAAAAGGTGAAAATGTGACGAGCAGGATTGAAAAAATGGATTCTCCTTAAAAATTTTGATTTTTTAGCTCAAATAGCAACAGGATTCTCCTTAAAAATTTTGATATTTTTTTTCCTCACCTAGCAACAGGATTCTCCTTTAAAATTTTGATTTTTTAGCTCAAAGAGCAACAGGATTCTCCTTAAAAATTTTGATTTTTTAGCTCAAATAGCAACAGGATTCTCCTTAAAAAATTTTGATTTTTCTGCTCAAATAGCAACAGGATTCTCCTTAAAAAATTTTGATTTTTTTGCTCACCTAGCAACAGGATTCTCCTTAAAAATTTTGATTTTTTAGCTCTCTAAGCAACAGGATTCTCCTTAAAAATTTTGATTTTTTAGCTCACCCAGCAACAGGATTCTCCTTAAAAATTTTGATTTTTTTGCTCACCTAGCAGCAGAATTCTCCTTAAAAATTTTGATTTTTTAGCTCACCTAGCAACAGGATTCTCCTTAAAAATTTTGATTTTTTAGCTCAAAGAGCAACAGGATTCTCCTTAAAAATTTTGATTTTTTAGCTCAAATAGCAACAGGATTCTCCTTAAAAAATTTGATTTTTAGCTCACCTAGCAACAGGATTCTCCTTAAAAATTTTGATTTTTTAGCTCAAATAGCAACAGGATTCTCCTTAAAAAATTTGATTTTTTTTGCTCACCTCGGAACAGGATTCTCCTTAAAAATTTTGATTTTTTAGCTCACCTAGCAACAGGATTCTCCATAAAAATTTTGATTTTTTAGCTCACCTAGCAACAGGATTCTTATTAAAAATTTTGATTTTTTTGCTCACCTAGCAACAGGATTCTCCTTAAAAATTTTGATTTTTTTTGCTCACCTAGCAACAGGATTCTCCTTAAAAATTTAGATTTTTTAGCTCACCTAGCAACAGGATTCTCCTTAAAAAATTTGATTTTTTGCTCTCCTAGCAGCAGGATTCTCATCAAAAATTTTGATTTTTTTTGCTCACCTAGCAACAGGATTCTCCTTAAAAAAATTGATTTTTTTTGCTCACCTAGCAACAGAATTTTCCTTAAAAAATTTAAATTTTTTTCTCACCTAGCAACAGGATTCTCCTTAAAAATTTTGATTTTTTTGCTCACCTAGCAACAGGATTCTCATTAAAAATTTTGATTTTTTTTGCTCACCTAGCAGCAGGATTCTCCTTAAAAAAATTTGATTTTGTAGCTCAAATAGCAACAGGATTCTCCTTAAAAAATTTGATTTTTTTTGCTCACCTAGCAACAGGATTCTCCTTAAAAAATTTAAATTTTTTAGCACACCTAGCAACAGGATTCTCCTTAAAAATTTTGATTTTTTAGCTCAAATAGCAACAGGATTCTCCTTAAAAATTTTGATTTTTTTGCTCACCTACCAACAGGATTCTCCTTAAAAAAATTTGATTTTTTTTTTCTCACCTAGCAACAGGATTCTCCTTAAAAAATTTGATTTTTCGCTCACCAGCCAAAAATGCAGAATTTTCAATTTAAATTACGATTGGTAAATAATATTTTCGTGAAGAAAAAAAATGAAGGAGAAGGATGAAGATTGGGGAAATCCCTTTGGAAATTCGCAGATTTTTCCAGCATTTTTCCCAAATTTTCGTACTTTGAGAAAAAAAAGGATTTGGGGGGATTTAAAATTAAATTTTTTGGGGGTTTCTTACCCAGGGCCATGAGGGTCTCGTAGCTCTCGTGCATCACGTCGAGGTAAAGCGGCGCCCACGGCTCCATGGCGGCGAAAATCCCGGAAAATTCAGATTATTTCACCCAAAAAAATTCAGATTTCACATTCGAATTGCCCAAAAATTCCCTGCAGGGAAAAGAAATCTGTGAAAAATCAAAATATTCCCCCCATGGCAGCGATTCCTGCTCTGAATAGACCTAAAGGTGTTTTTCTGGTGGAAATAAATGGATTTTTTCGTGTTTTCCTGGTGAAAATAAATGGATTTTTGCTGAAAATAAATGGATTTTTTCTGTGTTTTCATGGTGAAAATAAATGGGTTTTTTCCGTGTTTTCCTGGTGAAAATAAATGGATTTTTTCCGTGTTTTCCTGGTAAAAATAAATGGGTTTTTGCTGAAAATAAATGGGTTTTTTCCATCTTTTCCTGGTGAAAATAAATGGATTTTTTCCCGTGTTTTCCACCTGGAAAAACAGCCCTGATGGTGAAAATAAATTTATTTTTTCCCGTGTTTTCCATGTGAAAATAAATGGATTTTTTCTGTGTTTTCCTGGTGAAAATAAATGGATTTTTCCTGTGTTTTCCTGGTGAAAATAAATGGATTTTTTCCTGTTTTTTCCACCTGGAAAAACAGCCCTGATGGTGTTTTCCTGGTGAAAATAAATGGATTTTTCCTGTGTTTTCCTGGTGAAAATAAATGGATTTTTTCCGTGTTTTCCTGGTGAAAATAAATGGATTTTTCCCGTGTTTTCATGGTGAAAATAAATGGATTTTTTCCGTCTTTTCCTGGTGAAAATAAATGGATTTTTCCCGTGTTTTCCTGCTGAAAATAAATGGGATTTTTCCCGTGTTTTCCACCTGGAAAAACAGCCCTGATGGTGAAAATAAATTGATTTTTTCCGTGTTTTCCTGGTGAAAATAAATGGATTTTTTCCATGTTTTCCTGGTGAAAATAAATGGATTTTTTCCATGTTTTCCACCTGGAAAAACAGCCCTGATGGTGTTTTCCTGGTGAAAATAAATGGATTTTTTCCGTCTTTTCCTGGTGAAAATAAATGGATTTTTTCCGTCTTTTCCTGGTAAAAATAAATGGGTTTTTGCTGAAAATAAATGGGTTTTTTCCATCTTTTCCTGGTGAAAATAAATTGATTTTTTCCCGTGTTTTCCACCTGGAAAAACAGCCCTGATGGTGTTTTCCTGGTAAAAATAAATGGATTTTTTCCGTCTTTTCCTGGTGGAAATAAATGGATTTTTTTCTGTGTTTTCCTGGTGAAAATAAATGGATTTTTTCTGTGTTTTCATGGTGAAAATAAATGGATTTTTTCCGTGTTTTCCTGGTTAAAATAAATGGATTTTTCCCGTGTTTTCCTGGTGAAAATAAATGGATTTTTTCCGTGTTTTCCTGGTGAAAATAAATGGATTTTTTCCGTCTTTTCCTGGTGAAAATAAATGGATTTTTTCCTGTGTTTTCCACCTGGAAAAACAGCCCTGATGGTGTTTTCCTGGTGAAAATAAATGGATTTTCCCCGTGCTTTCCTGCTAAAAATAAATGGATTTTTTCCGTCTTTTCCTGGTGAAAATAAATGGATTTTTTCCCATGTTTTCCACCTGGAAAAACAGCCCTGATGGTGAAAATAAATGGATTTTTTCCGTGTTTTCCCGGTGAAAATAAATGGATTTTTCCCGTGTTTTCCTGGTGAAAATAAATGGATTTTTCCCGTCTTTTCCTGGTTAAAATAAATGGATTTTTCCCGTGTTTTCCTGGTGAAAATAAATGGATTTTTTCTGTGTTTTCCTGGTGAAAATAAATGGATTTTTTTTGTGTTTTCCTGGTGAAAATAAATGGATTTTTCCGTGTTTTCCTGGTGAAAATAAATTGATTTTTTCCCTGTTTTCCCAGTGAAAATAAATGGGTTTTTCCCGTGTTTTCCACCTGGAAAAACAGCCCTGATGGCGAAAATAATTTGATTTTTTCCCGTGTTTTCCAGCTGGAAAAACAGCCCTGATGGTGTTTTTCTGGTGAAAATAAATGGATTTTTTCCGTGTTTTCCTGGTGAAAATAAATTGATTTTTTCTGTGTTTTCCTGGTGAAAATAAATGGATTTTTTCCGTGTTTTCTTGGTGAAAATAAATTGATTTTTTCCGTCTTTTCCACCTGAAAAAACAGCCCTGATGGTGAAAATAAATTGATTTTTTCTGTGTTTTCCTGGTGGAAATAAATGGATTTTTTCCATGTTTTCCACCTGGAAAAACAGCCCTGATGGTGTTTTCCTGGTGAAAATAAATGGATTTTTTCCGTGTTTTCCCGGTGAAAATAAATGGATTTTTTCTGTGTTTTCCTGGTGAAAATAAATGGATTTTTCCCGTGTTTTCCTGGTGAAAATAAATGGATTTTTTCTGTGTTTTCCCAGTGAAAATAAATTGATTTTTCCCCGTGTTTTCCACCTGGAAAAACAGCCCTGATGGTGAAAATAAATGGATTTTTTCTGTGTTTTCCTGGTGAAAATAAATGGATTTTTTCCGTGTTTTCCTGGTGAAAATAAATGGATTTTTTCCTGCGTTTTCCACCAGGAAAAACAGCCCTGATGGTGAAAATAAATGGATTTTTTCTGTGTTTTCCCCCTGAAAATAAATGGATTTTTTCCGTGTTTTCCCGGTGAAAATAAATGGATTTTTTCTGTGTTTTCCTGGTGAAAATAAATGGATTTTTCCGTGTTTTCCCCCTGAAAATAAATGAATTTTTTCCCTGTTTTTTCCACCTGAAAATAGCCCAAAAAAGCTGCCGGTACCCCAAAAAAATCCGAATTTTCCTCCCCGCTCCCCTTTTTCCCCCGTACCTTCCGCACAATGGAGGCGATGACGAAGCGGAAATTTAAATCCGGATCCGGAATTTTCTCCTCCCACTTTTTAACCGGAAACGTCCAAAGGAAAAACAAAAAAAAAGCGATTTTTTTTTCATTTAAAGTCAGGAAAATTGATATTTTGGCACGTTGGGAAAGGGAGGGGTGAGAAATAAAGATTTGTCAGAGGGAAATGAAATGATAAAAATAGGAGTAAATAAATATAAATATAAATATAAATATAAATATAAATATAAATATAAATATAAATATAAATATAAATATAAATATAAATATAAATATAAATATAAATATAAATATAAATATAAATATAAATATAAATATAAATGTAAATATAAATATACATATAAATAATAATATCAATATAAATAATAATAATAATAATGTAATATGTGTTATATTCTTGTTTATAGGATAATATAGATAATATAATATAAAGAGTATAATATATTATACCAATATAATATAATATAATATAATATAATATAATATAATATAATATAATATAATATAATATAATATAATATAATATAATATAATATAATATAATATAATATAATATAATATAATATAATATAATATAATATAATATAATATAATATAATATAATATAATATAATATAATATAATATAATATATATTTATATTATATGTATAATATATATAAGATATTATATTATATATTATATTATATTTTATATATATTTTATGATTATATATATTTTCGCAATTATCACAACGAATATTATATTTTTAATGTTAGAAAGTGATGCCGTATTAATTGTGATTAATTAATTAAGTAATAATTAATTAACTGATGCGTGTTAAATATAATTTTAGGTCACAGCATCACGTTGAAATAGAAATCATGATTTTTTTTAATTTTTAAATTTTTTTAGGATTTTTTTAACAAGCTCAAGCAAGAGATGAGATAATTTAAAAATCTCTTCACACAGAGATCACAGCAAAAAAGGCCCAAAAAAAGTTATTTTTTCCTTATCAGAAAATACAAATATTATTCCACCTTCTCTCCTAATTTTTGGCACCACCATAAGGGGAAGAAATTGCCAAAAAAACAGAAAAAATTCTTAATTTTCAATTTTTTTTTTTTTAAAAACCTTTAAAATTTAAAAAAAACCCAAGTTTTTCACGCTTTTATGTGTTATGACTGTTTTAATGTTTCTTCCTGGTTTAATCCCGTGTTTTATTTGATTACCGATAGAGCCCAAAGAATAAAAAAAATAAGAAAATAAGAAAATAAGAAAATAAGAAAATAAGAGATTAAAAATTGCCAATTTTATTTGTTTTTAGTCCTTCCATGAAGTGTTTTCATGCAAATTAGCTGGAATTAGAGTGGTGGACACAGGAAACCAAAAATTCCCAATTTTATTTTTCTTTAGTGGGAAAAAAGCTGGAAATGTGAGTGATGGACATGGGAAACCAAAAATTGCCAATTTTATTTGTTTTTAGTCATTCCATGAAGTGTTTTCATGCAAATAAGTTGGGAATTAGAGTGGTGGACACGATAAACCAAAAATTCCCAATTTTATTTTTCTTTAGTGGGGAATAAACTGGAAATTTGAGTGGTGGACACGGGAAACCAAAAATTCCCAATTTTATTTTTTCTTAGTCACTCCATGAAGTGTTTTCATGCAAATAAGCTGAAATTAGAGTGGTGGACACAGGAAACCAAAAATTCCCAATTTTATTTTTCTTTAGTGGGGAATAAACTGGGAATTAGAGTGGTGGACACGGGAAATTAAAATTTCCCAATTTTATTTGTTTTTAGTCATTCCATGAAGTGTTTTCATGCAATTTAGCTGAAATTAGAGTGGTGGGCACAGGAAACAAAAAATTCCCAATTTTATTTTTTCTTAGTCATTCCATGAAGTGTTTTCATGCAAATAAGTTGGGAATTAGAATGGTGGGCACAGGAAATCAAAAATTCCCAATTTTATTTTTCTTTAGTGGGGAATAAACTGGGAATTAGATTAATTCTGCCGATTTTCCTCGGAAATAACCGGATTCACACCGCCCACCACCACCAATGATGAATTCTGCCAATTTTCCTCGGCAATAACCGGATTCACACCGCCCACCACCACCAATGATGAATTTTGCCGATTTTCCTCGGAAATAACCGGATTCCCGCCGCCCACCACCGCTAATTATGAATTCTGTTCCACCGCTAATGATGAATTCTGTTCCACCTCCACCACTAATGATGAATTCTGCCGATTTTCCTCGGAAATAACCGGATTCCCGCCGCCCACCACCACCAATGATGAATTTTGCCGATTTTCCTCGGAAATAACCGGATTCCCACCACCCACCACCACTAATGATGAATTTTGCCGATTTTCCTCGGAAATAACCGGATTCCCACCGCCCACCACCACTAATGATGAATTTTGCCGATTTTCCTCGGAAATAACCGGATTCACGCCGCCCACCACCGCCAATGATGAATTCTGCCAATTTTCCTCGGAAATAACCGGATTCACGCAGCCCAAAGCCGCTAATGATGAATTCTGTTCCACCTCCACCACTAATGATGAATTCTGCCAATTTTCCTCGGAAATAACCGGATTCCCACCGCCCAAAGCTGCTAATGATGAATTCTGTTCCACCACCACCATTAATGATGAATTCTGCCGATTTTCCTTGGAAATAACCGGATTCACATCGCCCACCACCGCCAATGATGAATTCTGCCGATTTTCCTCGGAAATAACCGGATTCACGTTGCCCACCACCACTAATGATGAATTTTGCCTATTTTCCTCGGAAATAACCGGATTTCCGCCGCCCAAAGCCGCTAATGATGAATTCTGCCGATTTTCCTCGGAAAGAGCCAAATTCACGTCGCCCACCACCACGAATGATGAATTTTGCCGATTTTCCTCGGAAATAACCGGATTCACGCCGCCCAACACCACTAATTATGAATTCCGTTCCACCTCCACCGCTAATGATGAATTTTGCCGATTTTCCTCGGAAATAACCGGATTCCCACCGCCCACCACCGCCAATGATGAATTCTGCCGATTTTCCTTGGAAAGAGCCAAATTCACGTCGCCCACCACCACCAATGATGAATTCTGCCAATTTTACTCAGAAATAACCGGATTCACGCCACCCAAAGCCGCTAATGATGAATTCCGTTCCACCACCACCACCAATGATGAATTTTGCTGATTTTCCTCGGAAATAACCGGATTCCCACCGCCCAAAGCTGCTAATTATGAATTCTGTTCCACCACCACCATTAATGATGAATTCTGCCGATTTTCCTCGGAAATAACCGGATTCACATCGCCCACCACCACTAATGATGAATTTTGCCGATTTTCCTTGGAAATAACCGGATTCCCGCCACCGAACACCGCTAATTATGAATTCTGTTCCACCGCTAATTATGAATTCTGTTCCACCTCCACCACTAATGATGAATTCTGCCGATTTTCCTCAGAAATAACCGGATTCCCGCCGCCCACCACCACTAATGATGAATTCTGCCGATTTTCCTTGGAAAGAGCCAAATTCACGTCGCCCACCACCACTAATGATGAATTTTGCCAATTTTCCTCGGAAATAACGAGATTCCCACCACCCACCACCATTAATGATGAATTCTGCCGATTTTCCTCGGAAATAACCGGATTCACTCCACCCACCACCACTAATGATGAATTCTGTTCCACCTCCACCACTAATGATGAATTTTGCCAATTTTCCTCGGAAATAACCGGATTCACGCCACCCAAAGCCGCTAATGATGAATTCTGTTCCACCACCACCACTAATGATGAATTTTGCCGATTTTCCTCGGAAATAACCGGATTCCCACCGCCCACCACCGCTAATGATGAATTCTGCCGATTTTCCTTGGAAATAACCGGATTCCCACCACCCACCACCACCAATGATGAATTTTGCCAATTTTCCTCGGAAATAACCGGATTCCCGCCGCCCACCACCACTAATGATGAATTTTGCCGATTTTCCTCAGAAATAACCGGATTCACGTCGCCCACCACCACCACTGATGAATTTTGCCGATTTTCCTTGGAAATAACCGGATTCACATTGCCCACCACCACTAATGATGAATTTTGCCAATTTTCCTCGGAAATAACCGAATTCACGCCGCCCACCACCACCAATGATGAATTTTGCCGATTTTCCTCGGAAATAACCGGATTCACTCCACCCACCACCACTAATGATGAATTCTGCCAATTTTCCTCAGAAATAACCGGATTCACGTCGCCCACCACCGCTAATGATGAATTCTGTTCCACCTCCACCACTAATGATGAATTCGGCCGATTTTCCTCGGAAATAACTGGATTCACACCACCCAAAGTCGCTAATTATGAATTCTGTTCCACCACCACCACCAATGATGAATTCTGCCGAATTTCCTTGGAAAGAGCCAAATTCACGTCGCCCACCACCACCAATGATGAGTTCTGCCGATTTTCCTCGGCAATAACCGGATTCCCGCCACCCAAATCCGTCTGGGCCGCGCTCAGAGCTCTTCCCTCTGCCCGACTCTCCCGAAGCCCCGTCCGGGCGCTTCGGCGCTCTCGTGGTGGATGTTGCTGGCGGCCCTGACGGCCGATTTGACGGCGGTGTCGATCCAGGCGTGCGGCTGCGCCGCGTGCTCCCCGGCGAAGTGGACCCGGCCCTCGTGGGCGAACAAAACCCGCGAGTAATCCACGAATTGGAACGGGGTGAAGTGGGCGAAGGCGCCCAGCGAGTGCCGGTCCAGCTGCCACTTTTGGACGAGGTGCTGGTCGCAGGTGTACTGCAGGTACTCCTTGCTCACCTGGTGGATGTCCGCCAGGTCTTGGAGCACCACGTCCAGGCACTTCTCGTCGGAGAGCGGCAGGAAGAACTCGGCGTCGCTGTTCCAGGTGTAGGAAGCCAGGAGGACGCCCACCCCGCTGGAGAAGTTGTGGCTGGGGTAGTAGATGAAGCGGGAGGGCCGGTCGGTGACCGAGTAGCCGCCGCGGATCCCGTCCTTCTCCCAGAACTTCTCGGAGCACACCAAGATGATTTTGGAGGCGCTGGCGTAGTAGATGGAGCGCAGGGCGTGGGCTTTGGCGGGGGACAGCGGCGGGAGGAACCGGATGTGCCGGGTGGCTTTGGCGCTGGAGGTGACCAGCACAAAATCCGCGGTGAGGACGGTCGGGGCCAGCGTGTCCGGAGCGCGGTAGAACACTCGGACTTTGTTGTCCTTGGTCATGATCTTCTCCACGGTGCAGTTGAAGCGGACAACGTTGGGCAGCGCCTTGTGGAAGGCTCTGGGCAGTTGGTCAAAGCCTCCGGTGATTTCGTCAAAACTGGAAGGGAGGAGAAGCGGGAGGTGTGGGAAGGTTCAGGGAGTTCAAAAAACCCAAATTTGTTCTGGAGAAACTGGTGGAATTTTTAGGCCCCGTCCAGCGGTTCCCGTTTGGAATCGCTCTGATATTTTCTGTCTGTATAAAAACTTTATAAAATTGTTGATTTCATCAAAACTGGAAGGGAGGAGAAGCGGGAGGTGTGGGAAGGTTCAGGGAGTGCAAAAAAACCAAACTTGTTCTGGAGAAACCGGTGGAATTTTTAGGCCCCGTCCAGCGGTTCCCGTTTGGAATCGCTCTGATATTTTCTGTCTGTATAAAAACTTTATAAAATTGTTGATTTCATCAAAACTGGAAGGGAGGAGAAGTGGGAGGTGTGGGAAGGTTCAGGGAGTGCAAAAAACCCAAACTCGTTCTGGAGAAACCGGTGGAAATTTTAGGCCCCGTCCAGCGGTTCCCATTTGGAATCGCTCTGATATTTTCTGTCTTATAAAAGTTTTTATAAAGTTTTTATTATAAAAACTTTTATTTTTTAAAGTTTTTATTATAAAAACTTTATAAAATTTCTGATTTCATCAAAACTGGAAGGGAGGAGAAGCGGGAGGTGTGGGAAGGTTCAGGGAGTTCCAAAAACCCAAACTTGTTCTGGAGAAACCGGTGGAACTTTCAGGCCCCGTCCAACCGTGAGCGGTTCCCGTTTGGAATCGCTCTGACCTATAAAAACTTTATAAAATTTCTGATTTTATCAAAACTGGAAGGGAGGAGAAGCGGGAGGTGTGGGAAGGTTCAGGGAGTGTAAAAAACCCAAACTTGTTCTGGAGAAACCGGTGGAATTTTTAGGCCCCGTCCAGCGGTTCCAGTTTGGAATCGCTCTGATATTTTCTGTCTTATAAAAGTTTTTATAAAGTTTTTATTATAAAAACTTTTATTTTATAAAGTTTTTATTATAAAAATTTTATAAAATTTCTGATTTCATCAAAACTGGAAGGGAAGAGAAGCGGGAGGTGTGGGAAGGACGCTGAGGTTCAGGGAGTGCAAAAAACCCAAACTCGTTCTGGAGAAACCGGTGGAATTTTTAGGCCCCGTCCAGCGGTTCCCATTTGGAATCGCTCTGACCTATAAAAACTTTATAAAATTGTTGATTTTATCAAAACTGGAAGGGAGGAGAAGCGGGAGGTGTGGGAAGGTTCAGGGAGTGCAAAAATCCCAAACTTGTTCTGGAGAAACCGGTGGAAATTTTAGGCCCCGTCAACCCGCGAGCGGTTCCCGTTTGGAATCGCTCTGACCTATAAAAACTTTATAAAATTTCTGATTTTATCAAAACTGGAAGGGAGGAGAAGTGGGAGGTGTGGGAAGGTTCAGGGAGTGTAAAAAACCCAAACTTGTTCTGGAGAAACCGGTGGAATTTTTAGGCCCCGTCCAGCGGTTCCCGTTTGGAATCGCTCTGATATTTTCTATCTTATAAAAGATTTTATAAAGTTTTTATAATAAAAACTTTTTTTATTATAAAAACTTTATAAAATTTCTGATTTTATCAAAACTGGAAGGGAGGAGAAGCGGGAGGTGTGGGAAGGTTCAGGGAGTGCAAAAAACCCAAACTTGTTCTGGAGAAACCGGTGGAATTTTTAGGCCCCGTCCAGCGGTTCCCGTTTGGAATCGCTCTGATATTTTCTGTCTGTATAAAAACTTTATAAAATTGTTGATTTTATCAAAACTGGAAGGGAGGAGAAGCGGGAGGTGTGGGAAGGACGCTGAGCTTCAGGGAGTGCAAAAAACCCAAACTTGTTCTGGAGACACCGGTGGAATTTTTAGGCCCCATCCAGCGATTCCCGTTTGGAATCGCTCTGATATTTTCTGTCTGTATAAAAATTTTCTAAAATTTTATAAAATTTTACTCCTCCTCAGTTTAAAAGAGAAGAAAAGAAACAGCCCAAGACCTGAGATGTCAGGAAAAGAATATTGGGGGTGGGGAAAATAATAGAGTGGCTTTTGACTAAATTTTTTCATTTTAGCCATAAACGAAACCGATTTTTTCCTCCAAGAAAGATTGTATTTTAAGAAGATGCCAGTGAGCCAAGAGAGCTGCTTCAACAGCTAAAAAAAGACAAGAGTGAAAAGAACAAAGCCAGAAAAATTTGTAGTAGTACCCTCTGTCTTCAAAGAAGAAAAAGAGAAAAAAAATTAAAATCTCTGTTCCTGAAACCCTCAGCCCCAGGAGAAGAAAAAAAAAAAATAGGGAGGATTGTTATCCCAAAAAATAAAAAACTGAACTGTTGTTTTTTCCCCTTAAAAGGAAAAATCCTAAAATCAGTCTGTCCATCCATGCGTTAGTAGTAAAAGAAATATGCGTAAAAAAAAGGGTGTTACCACGATAAAGTTTTTTTTTTCCGGTGCCATGTGTGACTAAAAAAAACAAGAAATGAAAACTGTGTTTCTTAAGGGGTTTGTGGCACAAAAAAACTCCTCTCTCCCTCGATAAATTAAGTATTAATTATCTAAAGAATAAAAAACCTGATTAGAGAGTCCAAGTTACGTCTCACTGTAGTTAATTAGAATTGTGGTGGGGAGGGGAAGAGGAATATTTTAAAAGTTTTTATTCTAGAACCAACGCGTGTTTTTCTTTCTTTTTCCTTTTATAAAAGCAATAATTCCATAGAGCTTTTTCCTTTATTATTTATTCACCTGTCGTTCGAGAAGATGTCGAAGTCCCACAGCGAGGCCAGGAAGGACAGGTAGAACCCCGAGTCCTCGTTCAGCACGTCGCCGATCATGTCGACGGCTCCTCGGCTCAGCTCCCCCACCTTGATCAAATATTCCTGGAGATGCCGGGACAGGAGACACCACTGAGGTCGTCACCTCCATCAAGGCCGTGCCGGCCCTTTTCTCGGCGTTTTTTAATCATTTTTTAGGGAAAAACACCCAAAAAGTGACAGAGGATGGGGTTAGAGTTACCCAGACCCTTCTCGAAGCAGAGAGAGGTCTGATGTTGAATTTGCCCTCAACCCAAATCGCTTACCTTGGTGGAGTAGGAGTCATGTTCAGCCAGAAACTTCTTGCAATCCGTGCTCTGGAACTTTTTCAAAGCCTGGAGAAGAAACATCAGAAAAAAAAATCAATTTCCAAAAACGATGGCCAAAATTCCCTCAGGATTTCAGGATTTGGTAAACCCCGGAGTTTCTGGACGTCAAGTTTCATGCAGCTGTGCCTCGGCGTGGCGTTTTCTGCTCGCCCAAGTCCTGCTGCGTGGGGATTTAAAGTTTATTTTTCATTGCTTTGGAAGGTTTGGGACCTCGGTAGGAGGTGACACTGATCTCTGTCCATGGAAAAGAGTTTTTAATCTTACAAGATGAGTTACCGGCTCTGAGTGTTTGATATAAATAATAATTAAGCGTGGCACGGGTGCAAAAGTAAAATTTTAAGTTTCGAAATTGAAAGTTCAAAAGAGACAAAATAGAAAAAATTAAATGTATTTTGTCCTTTTTCGCTTTCTTCACGCCCTCCACGTTTCACTATAGTATGAACATTTTTCTGTTAATTTAAGGTAGAATTTTAGGCACTATTCAACATAAACAATAAATATTAACGCATTATTATAAATATAACACGTTTTTCTAATATATAATATTATATAACACATTTCTAATATATAATATTTATAACAACCCACTAAAAGGCAAAGCGCCACACGCTACCCCGCAAAACAAACCCACAACAAGGCAACAAATCACCTTATAAATAAACAAAAATAACCTTAAAAACTAACACAAATAATATATAGCAACAAAACAAAAAAACCAAACACTTCCCACAATCCCGAAATCACCAACACCACAAATCCCAACATTTGGGCTCCTCCCGAAGGATTTCTTACGGACAAAGACGTGTTTTGCGCGCCATATTTTTTTCTGAACCAACATTTCCACTTTTGACCCCAAAAGGAATCAAAATTCTTCCTCGAATTAGGGACGAATTTTTCCCGCTTTTCTCCAAATTATCATCCAAGGGGAGGGAACGCCGCGGGAAGGGAATCCGGTACCTTGTTGAGGACCTCCCGGTAGAGTTGGACGCCGTTTTTGCCGCGTTCCGACGGTTTCACGGTGTAATTCAGGACGTCGGGGTTCCTCTCCACCTCCCCGGCCCTGACCCGAACGCCCCTCAGGAAGAACCAGGAGTTCTCGTCCCTCTGGATGAACGGATTCAACTTCAACTTGAACTGGCGGATGAATTCACGGACGAGCCTGGACGGAAAAAAATTAAAATGTCAAAATTCCAATCGAGATTTGGAGGGAACGGTAATTTTTAATTTTTTAAAAATTTTTTTAATTTTCCCTTTAAAAGGCATGTGGATTTTCAATATTTTTTTATTATCCTTGGGGATTTCCAATTTAATTTTTATTATACTTGAGGATTTCCAATTTCTTTTTTATTATCCTTGAGGATTTCCAATTTCTTTTTTATTATCCTTGAGGATTTCCAATTTCTTTTTTATTATCCTTGAGGATTTTCCATATTTTTTATTATCTTTGAGGATTTTCAATCTATTTTATTATCCTTGAGGATTTCCAATTTTTTTTTATTATCCTTGGGGATTTCCAATTTCTTTTTTATTATTCTTGGGGATTTTCAATATTTTTTATTATCCTTGGGGATTTCCAATTTCTTTTTTATTATCCTTGAGGATTTTCAATATTTTTTATTATCCTTGGGGATTTCCAATATTTTTTTATTATCCTTGGGGATTTCCAATTTCTTTTTTATTATCCCTGAGGATTTCCTTTTTTTTTTATTATCCTTGGGGATTTCCCATTTTTTTTTATTATCCTTGAGGATTTCCAATTTCTTTTTTATTATCCTTGGGGATTTTCCATATTTTTTATTATCCTTGGGGATTTCCAATTTGTCTTTTATTATCCTTGAGGATTTTCAATATTTTTTATTATCCTTGGGGATTTTCCATATTTTTTATTATCCTTGGGGATTTCCAATTTCTTTTTTATTATCCTTGGGGATTTCCAATGTCTTTTTTATTATCCTTGAGGATTTTCAATTTCTTTTTTATTATCCTTGAGGATTTCCAATTTTTTTTTTATTATCCTTGGGGATTTCCAATTTCTTTTTTATTATCCTTGGGGATTTCCAATTTCTTTTTTATTATTCCTGAAGATTTTCAATTTCTTTTTTATTATCCTTGGGGATTTTCAATCTATTTTATTATCCTTGAGGATTTTCAATATTTTTTATTATCCTTGAGGATTTTCAATATTTTTTTTATTATCCTTGGGGATTTTCAATATTTTTTTTATTATCCTTGAGGATTTCCAATTTTTTTTTTATTATCCTTGGGGATTTCCAATTTCTTTTTTATTATTCTTGGGGATTTTCAATATTTTTTATTATCCTTGAGGATTTCCAATTTCTTTTTTATTATCCTTGGGGATTTTCAACTTTTTTTTATTATCCTTGGGGATTTCCAATTTCTTTTTTATTATCCTTGAGGATTTCCAATTTTTTTTTTATTATCCTTGGGGATTTTCAATCTTTTTTTTATTATCCTTGAGGATTTCCAATTTCTTTTTTATTATCCTTGGGGATTTCCAATTTCTTTTTTATTATCCTTGAGGATTTTCAATATTTTTTATTATCCTTGGGGATTTCCAATTTATTTTTTATTATCCTTGAGGATTTCCAATTTCTTTTTCATTATCCTTGAGGATTTCCAATTTATTTTTTATTATCCTTGAGGATTTTCAATTTTTTTTTTATTATCCTTGAGGATTTCCAATTTCTTTTTTATTATCCCTGAAGATTTTCAACCTTTTTTATTATCCTTGGGGATTTCCAATTTATTTTTTATTATCCTTGAGGATTTTCAATTTTTTTTTTATTATCCTTGGGGATTTCCAATTTCTTTTTTATTATCCTTGAGGATTTCCAATTTCTTTTTTATTATCCTTGAGGATTTTCAATTTCTTTTTTATTATCCTTGAGGATTTCAGGGGAGCTCTCAGGAATTTTTCCTGACGTGGGACCCGCAAAATCTCAAAATCATTTTATACCCTATCGTTAAATATTAATTATTTAACGCTATTTAATTAATTATTTAATCATACATATTAATTATTAAACTTACATCCTTCTGCTGCATACATCGACCTTACTCAACCACGAGTTTCTCGTGATCTTTTCCACGCCCCTGAGCGCAGTTTCTCAATTTATTCTTACGACTGAACAGCAATTATATTTAATTACTAAACAATTATCTCGTTTAGCAAGCACAAGGATTATATTTTCCCACCTTAATTTTCCTTCTAATTCCCCAAATCCACGTGAATTTTAAAATATTTTTGGCCTCACCTGTGCTTTCCTGGCAGGCGCATCGGTCCCAACTCCACGTACCAATCCTGCCCCTCGGGCCGGTACGTCCGGATCCGCCCCCCGACCCAGCTGCTCCTTTCCAGGATGATAACCTAAAAAAAAACCCAAAAAAATGGGTGGAAATCAGAAGATTGGGTTAAAAAAAAGGTCCAGAGGATTGGACAGATCCCCTTCAGGTGGCAAACGAAGCATCTGTAGATCCAAACTCTTCTCTGTCGGTCCTACGGGGCAGTTTCGCGATTTTTGGAGATTTTGGGTCATTTTTGGGTGGCGTTTGGACGCCGGCTTGGTGAGAAGGTTCTCGTGGCGGTTGAGGATCAAACAAAGCTTTGAAAGCAGAACCAATCTGCAAAACACTCACAGGTGGCTCGGGATGGTTTGGAAACCTCTGGAAGACAATCGGCAGAACCGACGCCGGCGGAAATTATTTGAGTTAAATTTTCCCTTCCTTCCTCCACCATTTTGGTTGACCCCTTTTCCATCACCGGCCTGGAAGAACCTTTAGAAGAAATGAAACGAAGCCCACCAGGGAGAACCTGGTGGAACGTTTCCCACCTCGTGCCCGGCGTCCCGGAGAAGTTTGGCCGCCGTCAGCCCCGCGACGCCCGCGCCCACCACGGCCACGCGCGCCGGGCGAGCCGCGGGCTCCAGCCCCTCCTGGACGATCTTCAGGAGATCCTCGTAGTCCTGGTCGTGGAGACAATAGTCGGGGAAGGACGAGAAGCGTTTGGCGCTCAGGAGACCCACCAGAAGGAGGATTTGGAGGAGGGCTGGGGAGGGAAGAGGAGAAAGCGACAACGCGGCGTTGGAAGTCAACGTCGTTCCTGGGGGTTCCCAGGATTGGGATCCGAGACCTAAAAAGTCCTAAAAAGAGCTAAAAATACCTAAAAATATGTAAAAAAACCCCTAAAAAGTCCTAAAAAGACCTAAAAATACCTAAAATTATGTAAGAAAACCTAAAAAGTCCTTAAAAGACCTAAAAATACCTAAAAATATGTAAGAATACCTAAAAAGTCCTAAAAATACCTAAAAAAGACCTAAAATAGACCTAAAAAGTCCTAAAAAGACCTGAAAATACCTAAAAAGACCTAAAAAGTCCTAAAAATACCTAAAAATACATAAGAAGACCTAAGAAGACCTAAAAATACCTTAAAAAGACCTTAAAATACCTAAAAAGACCTAAAATGACCTAAAAAGACCTAAAAATACCTAAAAATATGTAAGAAAACCTAAAAAGTCCTAAAAATACCTAAAAATACCTAAGAAGACCTAAAAAGTCCTAAAAATACCTAAAAAGTCCTAAAAAAGACCTAAAAAGACCTAAAAAGACCTAAAAAGACCTAAAAAGACCTAAAAAGTCCTAGAAAGACCTAAAAAGTCCTAAAAAGACCTAAAAAGACCTAAAAAGACATAAAATGACCTAAAAAGACCTAAAAAGACCTAAAAAGTCCTAGAAAGACCTAAAAAGTCCTAAAAAGACCTAAAAAGACCTAAAAAGACATAAAATGACCTAAAAAGACCTAAAAAAGATCTAAAAAGTCCTAAAAAAGACCTAAAAAGACCTAAGAAGACCAAAAAAGACCCAAATAGACCGAAAAAGTCCTAAAAAAGACCTAAAAAATCCTTAAAAAGACCTAAAAATATCTAAAAATACCTAAAAATACATAAGAAGATCTAAGAAGACCAAAAAAGACCTAAAAAGACCTAAAAAGTCCTAAAAAGATCTAAAAAGACCTAAAAAGACCTAAGAAGACCAAAAAAGACCTAAAAATACCTAAAAAAGACCTAAAATGGCCAAAAAAGTCCTAAAATGACATAAAAAGTCCTAAAAAGACCTAAAAAGACCCAAAACCCTGGTCTGATGGTGAAGCCCCAGCAGATCCATCACGGAAGGCGCCAAGAGACGTCAACGACGACAATTCCCGTTTTTTAAGAGAAAAATCAACCCACGGATGAATTTTTTTTGACTTTTTACATCTCTCACGTGTCGTGGTGAGTTCCCAAAACCACTTTGACCTTCTTAAATTAATCTCCGAAGCCGTCGAGGGCGGTAATTAACGTCGCCGACGCGTCACCGGCGTGACGCAACCGGAGCACCGCGGTGACCTTCGCCGTGGCCGCGGCGATTCCGGGAATTTTTTATGGGAAGGGCGGAGGGAAAAAAGACGGGATTGGGAAGATGGAGATGAAGAAAAAAGCCGGAGACAAAAATTCCCCCGAAAAAAATGGATAAGAATGAGAAAAATGAAGAAAAACGGGATTTATCTTCGTTAAAATTGATTAATTAAAATGGTTCTATTTTGAGAGAAAAGAATTTTATTCTCCTTTCAATTCCTTTAAAATCCCTTTTTTTCAAAAATCCCTCCCAATTATTTTTAAATTATTCTGTCTTCGAGACGCCCACAGAGAGCAGCAAAAAGACCCAAAAATGATAATTTCCACCAAAACAGACGCGACGTTATTTAACATTTTTTTTTACAGTGAAATAAAATTCTGGTTTTGAACCATTTTCTGTCCCCCCACCTTTGGGATTTTCCTACTTTTGATTTCTGTTTTTTAAAAATAACTCAAAACCAACTTTCATTTTCTTTTCCTTCTCCCGAGTGCTGCCGATTATTTTTTTTTTTTCGGGGGGAAAAAACCCCAAAAAGCTTCAGAAATTCTATTTTGGGTAATTCTTACTGCTGGAAAATCCGATTTTTTTTTGGGGGGGGGGGGGGGGTTTTTTGTTTATTTTTGTTTTGGTTTTGGTTTTGGTTTTTTTTTTTTTTTTTTTGGGGGTTTTTTTGGGTTTTTTTTGGTTTTTTTTGGGTTTTTTGGGGTTTTTTTTGTTTTTTTGTGGGGATTTTGGGGGTTTTTTTGGGGTTTTTTTTTTTTTGTTTTTTTAGTGGGGTTTTTTTGGGGTTTTTTTGGGTTGTTTTTTTGTTTTGTTTTGCTTTTTTTTTAACCAAAAATCCACCTCGGATCTTTAATCATCCAACACCCGCGGCAGTTGTTTCAACACCTCCTTGAGCCGATCAAAACACCAACCACGAGTGCAAAAAAAAAATAAAAATATTTTGCAATAACCTGCTCCGGTAGTTCTGTTAACAGCGGGATAAAGTTGGATTGGCCTGCCCCGATCATAATTAATAATCATAATTAATAATAATAATTAATTGGGGAAAAAAATCATGGACAAGGTGGGAAATCCCATTTGGAGATCACAGCAAATATCCTGGGAGGTGTCACTGGATCTCCACCTTCCACCAGGTGGATTTTTTTGGTAGAAAAATGATTTTTTTTTTTGGGAAAATGATTTTTTTTTTTTTGGGAAAATGATTTTTTTTTTTTTTTGGAGGATTGAGGCATCTCAGAAATTCCCAGTTGGTGTTTCCTGAAAAAAATCAGGATTATCCCACAGCTGAGATTTGAAGGGAGTTCTCCCATGGAATAATCCAGCTGGAAAAAAAAAGGAAAATTTGGAAAAAAAGGAGGTGGTGAAGAAATGGAACCGAAACATCAAATTTGGGCAATAAAGGTGAAAAAAAATCAGAAAAAAACCCCAAAAAAACCAAAAATAAATGACATTAAGAGCTCAGGATCGAGAGGAGGAGTCACTTACCAATCCCAGTCATCGCTCCAGGATGAAGATTAATCCTCTGCTGAGACTGGAATTCATTTTATACCTCAGCTTAAGGAAAAAAAAATTAAAAAAATAAATAAAAACCACCCCGGTGCCTCCAAAAAAAAAAAAAAAATAAAATCTCTGCCAATCAGCGCAACCCGGAAATGAAGAGTCGTTTGTCATGGAAGGGGAACCCGAAATTGAGCAGTCAGCTCAAATTAATTTAAATTTTATTTATTTTTTTTTTGGGTTTTGGGGTGGACCAAACCACAGCGACCACGCCCCACTCGCAGCAATTTCCCAGAAGGGAACAATGAGCTTTAATTTATTTTGTTTTTCTTTTTCCTGGTATTGCACAAAAGTACGGCTGAAATCTTTAAAAAAACCACGGGGAGACTTGAAAATATAATTTCAAGGGTGAAAATTAGAATTTTTTGGGAAAATTCAGCTACCAGATGCTCCTGGGTGTTGGTAATTTTGGGTTGGTTTTGCCTCCATTAGAATGGAAAATTTAAAAAAATTTGGGTGGGAAGGAGATATTAAAAATCATCCAGAATTTCACTAAAATGGCCAAAAAAAGGTATTTTTCTAGAAAAATTTTAGGGAAATTTCATCTATTGGATGCTTTGAGTGTTGACAATTTTGGCTTATTCTTGTCTCCATTAGAATGGAAAATTAAAAAAAAAATTGGGTGGGAAGGAGACGTTCAAAAACATCCAGAATTTCACTAAAATGGCAAAAAAAATTGTATTTTTCTAGAAAAATTTATAGGGAAAATTAATCTATTGGATGCTCCTGGGTGTTGACAATTTTGGGTTGGTTTTGCCTCCATTAGAATGGAAAATTTAAAAAATTTTTGAGTGGGAAGGAGACATTAAAAATGATCCAGAATTTCACTAAAATGGCAAAAAATTTGTATTTTTCTAGAAATTTTTTTAGGGAAAATTAATCTACTGGATGCTTTGAGTGTTGACAATTTTGGGTTGGTTTTGCCTCCATTAGAATGGAAAATTTAAAAAATTTTTGGGTGGGAAGGAGACGTTCAAAAACATCCAGAATTTCACTAAAATGGAAAAAAAAATGGTATTTTTCTAGAAAAATTTTAGGGAAAATTAATCTACTGGATGCTTTGAGTGTTGGCAATTTTGGTTTGGTTTTGCCTCCATTAGAATGGAAAATTAAAAAAAAATTTGGGTGGGAAGGAGACGTTCAAAAACATCCAGAATTTCACTAAAATGGCAAAAAAATTGTATTTTTCTAGAAATTTTTTTTGGAAAATTAATCTACTGGATGCTTTGGGTGTTGACAATTTTGGGTTGGTTTTGCCTCCATTAAAATGGAAAATTAAAAAAAAATTTGGGTGGGAAGGAGACCTTAAAAATGATCCAGAATTTCACTAAAATGGCCAAAAAAAGGTATTTTTCTAGAAAAATTTTAGGGAAATTTCATCTACCGGATGCTCCTGGGTGTTGACAATTTTGGGTTGGGTTTGCCTCCATTAGAATGGAAAATTTTAAAAAAATTTGGGTGGGAAGGAGACGTTCAAAAACATCCAGAATTTCACTAAAATGGCAAAAAAATTGTATTTTTTAGAAAAATTTTTTTGAAATTCATCTTCTGGATGCTCAAAACTGGGGCAGAATTTTGGAGATTCACCCCAAGAATATTTTCGGGTTTCATTTACGGGATCTCCTCGTTTCGCTGGAATTGCGACGCGGAAATTTGGGATTTGCGGCGTTCCAGGGATCTCCTCAGGAGGAGCCGCCATGTTGGGTTTTGCCCAAAATTTTGTTTTTTGGCGGCGTTTTGGGGGTTTTTTTTGGGGTTTTTTTTGTGGTTCCCGCAGGATTCCCAACACCACGTTGGGTGGGGAATTTCACAAAGGAACGATGAAATCCGAAGAGTTTTTGAGGTTTTCAACGGTTCTCCTCAGAAAACTAATTCCAAATGGGTGTCGCTGTTCTGATTTGCTTAAAATCACTTAAAATCACTTAAAATTGGGTGAAAAACACCTTCAGAAAATTTCCTTCTAATAAAAACTGAAAATTTTGCTTGTTTTTTATTTAATTAAATTAAATAATTAATTTAAATTAAATTAAATAAATTTTTATTTTTTAATTTTTTTTGTCTTGGAGCACGTCTCCATTTAAGAAATTCCACCAGCTGGACATGAAAAAAAAGTAAAAAAATCATTTTTTGAGGGAAAAAAACCCTTTTTGGTTCTGATTTTACGATTTGGGGGTATCAACGTTGAATT